GCTTGAAATGCAACCTGGAGCCAAATTGCAAGCATATCTAGGGGTCATTATTTTGCAGCCACGCCTGCGCGCAGCGTTTTAGACTTCGAATCCTTCGCAGGACGAGGTCCTTTCCTGGACGGACGAGTGCTAGGAGCCTGTCAGGTAGAATAGAACCCATTTGGGAAACCCCCTCTAAAGAGAAAGGCATATGCAATGGGACAAAACAGCGCACCTCTAAGCGTCACTGGTGCGCTATTGCAAGGAAGAAGTGGTTCCTTTGTCAAGATTTTAAGAGACTCCAGCTGCTTAAGGGCACCAAGTTTAAGGATTGCTGGTGCTTGCACTTGCGGCGTTATACTGGCGCCCTTAACTGTTGGCTCAAACCTTTCCTTCCAATTTAAGGGCTAGATTTGGTGGACAAGTGAGTGGCCACGCATTCCACCCAGTGGCTTACCTTTCAGTCCAGGTTTGGGCGGCGCTTGTCTGCCCTCACCCCCTATGGCCTTCTTGGGGACCCCCTCTTTTTGGGTGTTCTCCCTTTTCTCCTTTTGGACCTTTGATGCTCTACCCCGTGTGCTGAAAAGGAGTGCTTGCGCTCAAGGTTCCTTTGTTAAGTATTTTGAGAGAGGGCACCAAGTGTAAGGGGACGGGGGCGTGAGTCAGCTTTGGGGGTGTGAACTGTTGCTGTTGTGTTCTTCTTCTTTCTTTCTTTGGGGGGGCGTGAAGGGGGAAAGAATGTAAGTCAGGTTGGGGGTGTGCGAAGGGGACGGGGGCGTGAGTCAGCTTTGGGGGGGTTGCTGTTGTGTTCTTCTTCTTTATTTGGGGGGGGTGTGAAGGGGGAACTCTTGGGGGGTGCGCGAAGGGGAAGGGACGTGAAGGGGAAAGGATGTGAATCAGCTTTGGGGGGCACGAAGGGGCGCTCTGCCAGGAAGTGTGCTCTTGCCCAACCTCCCCGGAATCGGCTCCGTAGTTTTTTGATGCTCGTCGCGGGAATCTCCCTGGACATGAACTACTATGGCACGAAGGGGCGGGGGCATGACCTGGCACTCTTCGCGAGCGGCCTGCCCTTTGTCGTGAGCATCAACGACGTGCCGGAGGCCCGAGAGCTTTACAGCAGGGCCGACTCCACCACGAGCCTGAGCTAGAACAGTTCCAGCAGTCCTGTTGCCAGTGCAGGATTGACGAGACCAATCCTGTTGCCAGCGCAGGAATGATGGGGCTGTGCCCCGCGCCAGGCCCGCGCCAGGCCCGCGCCAGGCCCGCACCAGGCCCGGACCAGGTGCGCCTGATCGGAATTGATCGGTGGCATCGGTCGACTCAAGCTCCCTGGTCCAGATTGTGATGCCACCCCGAGCTCCGCACGACGCTCGAAATTTCAAGACAGATCGCCGAACATTTCGTCCACAACCTGCGGGCTGAGCGCCAGGTGGGAGAGCAAAGTCGGAATTCCGACCTCGGTGGGAAAGCGAAATCGGAATTCCGACCTTGGTGAAAAAGCAAAGTTGGAATTCAAGACATTCTCGTCGTAGCGCATAGCTACAATGATTTGAGGGGAAATATCCTTCAATTCAAGTTCCTCTGGTCGAGGTCGTCGTACCAGCGGAACTCCAGGGTCCTTGCTAAGTGTCTCACTTTATGCATACAATGCATATTTGGACCATATTACATACAGCAAGGAATCGGGGGAGCCGCGTGGCCCACGGTGGTGACAGGCGGTGACACGCTCGGCTGGCTGCTTTTTCCACCCAAAAGCGATATCCAAAGATCCATTGGCTCAGTGGTCAAGCCCGGTCTCTGCGATTTGCCGCGTTCCGGGGCTCGATTCCCGGCGGTGACGTACCGGTGACAAACGGGGACAAGCTCAGCTGGCTGCTTTTTCCACCAAATGCGCCCCGGTGACAAGCGCGCCGGTGACGAGCAGCTCGGCGGACTTCCACACAAAAGTGCTCCGGGGACGAGCGGTGGCTAGCGGTGACAAGCGGTGACAAGCTCGGCCGGCTGCTTTTCCAGCAAAAGAAGCTCCCTTGTCTCAGTTAAGCGCAGTCTCTGCGCCACCCTGGTCTGGGGCTCGAATCCCGCCCATTAATGAACCAATATTGTTTCAAGCCGATTCAAGATTGACTCAAACTTGCCAAGATTTCAAGCCCTGGAAGTCCCTCCGCGTTCGGCAGGTTGGCACGTTAGACCCGGTGACAAAAGGCGGTCAAGTTCGGCAGGTTGTCGGGGCAGGGGTGAGGACCTCGGCAGGCTGCCGTGCTTGGGCGAAAAACGGAAAATCGTGTGAAGAACGAAGTCTTCGGGAAGTCGGGAAGTTGGCTGTTTTTTTGCGCACTTTTTCAACCCAAAAGGGAGCGGTGACGTAGCGGTGACAAGCGGTGACAAGCGGTGACAAGCTCAGCGGGATGGAACTTGCTTCGGGCCGAAAGCGGAAATCGAGACAGTGTACGTGTCTGGAGCCTGTTTTCGACCAAAAACGAGCGAATCGAGAGGCAGAGGCACCTCACTTGCCGTCTGATAGGAAAAAACGATCTTTTCGGGAATTCGGCCGTTTTCAGCCCAAAAGGGAGCGGTGACATCCACCGGTGACATCGGAAAAACGTTCAGCCGGATGGAGAATTTGGTAAGCTGGTGTTCCTTACTACTCCTTGCGGGGGCTCTATCCACAGCGCCTGGCTATGAGACCTCTGTGCCTTGCAGGGGCTCTCCAATGTGGATAGCACCTGGCTATGACTTCTCTGCGCCTTGCGGGCGCTCTATCCACAATGTGGATAGCACCTGGCTATGACTTCTCTGTGCCTTGCGGGGGCTCTATCCACAATGGATTTGCGGGCGCTATCCACAATGTAAAATAGGAACTGGCTATGACTTCTCTGCGCCTTGCGGGGGCTCTGTCCACAAGGTGGATAGCGCAGCACCTGGCTACGACTTCTCCGTGCCTTGCGGGGGCTCTATCCACAATGTGGCTGTGACTTCTCTGTGCCTTGCGGGGCTCTATCCAGAATGTGGGTGGATAGCACCCGGCTATGGCTTCTCTGTGCCTTGCAGGGCTGTATCCACAATGTGGATAGCACCTGGCTATGGCTTCTCTGTGCCTTGCGGGGGCTCCATCCACAATGTGGATAGCACCTGGCTATGACTTCTTTGTGCCTTGCGGGGGCTATCCACAATGTGGATATCTCTGCGCCTTGCGGGGGCTCTACCCACAATGTCGATAGCACCTGGCTATGACTTCTCTGTGCCTTGCGGGGGCTCTACCCACAATGTGGCTAGCACCTGGCTATGAGATTGTGTGAGATTGTGTGGCTTGCGAGGGCTCTACCCACAATGTGGATAGCCTGGCTATGGCTTCTCTGTGCCTTGCGGGGGCTCTACCCACAATGTGGATAGCCCCCGCTATGGGCCTTGCGGGGGCTCTATCCACAATGTGGATAGCACCTGACTATGGCTTCTCCGTGCCTTGCGCGGGCTCTGTCCACAATGTGGCTAGCACAGCACCTGGGTACGACTTCTCCGTGCCTTGCGGGGGCCGTATCCACAATGTGGATAGCACCTGGCTACGACTTCTCTGTGCCTTGCGGGGGCTCTATCCACAATGTGGATAGCACCTGGCTATGATTTCTCTGTGCCTTGCGGGGGCTCTATCCAGAATGTGGATAGCACCTGGCTATGACTGGACACGCGTTGTCGTCCCTCCTGCATCCTCGAGCCTGGACTTCTGAGCAACTCCAAATAAAAAAGGAGCAGGGCGATTATTACTGGTCCCCTCTTGGCTTGAAGCAGTGAACAGGATTCTATCGAATTGGAATGTCAAGTGCTGTGCGCTGCATGTAATGAGTGCATGTGCACCAATTGCCATTTTGGTGAATTGAAACTTTTTCAATCCCCACCCACCCTCCTTTCACTGCATGCCTCCAAAACCTTCCGGTCGTCGAATTCAGCAGTGATCGATCGAGTGGACGGAGAACGTCCACTCCTTTTCGACACCTTGCTGTGCAACATTTTGGTTTGCATGCACTTGCATTCGCTTGCCTGTATTTTGTTGTTCCTTGCTTTTGAGTCAGTGGTGTTTTGAGAGACACGACGAAAATGTTGATCGACCAACAGGTACGATCCCACCAGTGTGGCAAAAACAGTCTGACCGACGCTGGTTGCCGTCGACTCTGGAGCGGTTCGTTGTTGCGCATGGGAGTCCGCACGATGCCCGGCAAGAACACGCGTCTGGAATTCTTTTGTATAGTTCGTTGTCCCTTGCATGCTGACGATGCGATTGTGCATCAAGCATGGGTTGTTTGCTGCAGCCTTGAGGGGCGCCTGTCACCAGCAGCGCAACCAGATTGCAGGGTTTCCATTTTTTTGGTGTGATCGTGATATTTGAGCAAGTCGAACTGCCCGTGTGTTCAGCGTTTCTGTGTTTTTTTGGCACGGAGAGCGAAATCACCGGCGATTTTTGCCATCGCGCGCTCCCGTGGTCCGTGCGGGTGCCATGTACCTGCACTCCTGCCGTGGCAGGACGGTCAGAAGTCTTGGAGGCTGCCTCCAGAAGATTCCTCCCAATGCAAAAGCGCAACCAGAGGGCCGAGCGTGCCTGTGCTTGCGGCAGCGTACCATTTCTTTTGCATTGTGTCTTGCACAGAGCAAGGTGCGGAAGCGCTCGTTTTGACAATCGGCAAATCGCTCAAATTCACCCAGCCATGCAAAGTGAAATTTGGCAGAGTACAGTTAGTACAGCTTGGAGTTGTTGTACTTGGTTACATTTTTGTCAGTATTTTAGAATGGGTGTCGTTGCTTTCAGCGGACCAGTGGTAACGTTCGTGCCAAAACACCAAAACTAGTAGAATCAATGATGAGGGAACTGCGGCCGCACGGTCGATGCTCAACTCTGAACATGTCAAAACTTTGCTTGTGTCAGACGGGGACCACTCTGTGGGGATGAACGCATCCGTCAGGGTCGCTGGCGTTTTCTTTTCCACGTGTGGGTGGATCGGCGCTGCATTGCGAATCGCCGTTGGCTCTCGCCAAAGATTAGCTGTAGTGTTTGGCCGGCCCAAGATGGCAGACAAGGCGCATAGCATTCTCGTTTGACAAATCCAGACATTGATTCTGAGGTTTCAGAAGAGCTGCCGCCCTTCGACGTGAGCCCCATGTCCATTCAGCTTTGCACCAAGCATGGCTTCTTGTTTTGCAGGGCGGAGACGAAGACACACCAAAAGAGGCGAGCACGGATGTTGCAGACAAGTCGCAATGAACCCAATTGAACATCAAGACCACGGCATTTGTGACTCCTTACGCGTGTTTAGGCGTGCTGCTTTGTTTTCATGAACATCTTGCCAGGTTGACGAGACCTTACCATCATTTTTTGTCCGGCCCTCTGCTGAAGAGAGCTGCAGTACTCCAGCAATATGCTTTAAGACTGGAAAACACAAACTTGCGCGTGCTGAGCGTGCTGGCCACACATGTATGTCAGACATGTGTCCAGGATGAAGACGAGACACCAAAGGCTGGCTCCGTAGCTGGTTCTATCGCGTTTTTTCTCTTGCGCCGGCCATCGCCGTTTTTAATGTCTGCTTCTTGCATGGCTTCCAGGCAAGCTCCTCCCAGGTGAGCACAGAGGAGGTCGCGCTCTAGTTACGGGCTTTTGGATGTGCATAGCGATGTCTTGGCTTTGCAGGACAAGGCCAAGGACAAGGCCAAGGCAGAGGCAGAAGAGGCCTTAAAGTGTTGCCGGCCAAAAAGCTTGTTGTGGGTGCCGGCGGCTTGTGCTGGCTGCTTATGGGGTTTGTCAGGCTGCCCAGAAGCAGGCTGCTGAGGCAGCTGCCAAAGCTGCCGAGGTGCTGTGTGCTTGCACAGGCATTTATAGCTGCCCTTTGCACTGTGCAGGCTGCAAAGAAGGCGGCTGAGGCCGTGATCCGAATAAGGCCTTAGCATTCTGGCACATTCTGACTGCAGGAAGCCAAGAAAGAAGCAGAGGCCAAGGCATGGGGCGTGAGAAGAGCTGAAGTCTTTGCGCAGATTCACCTTTCAGGCCGAGGAGGAGAGACAAAAGGCAGCTGCTGAGGCGGCAGCTGCCGCGGCTGCCGCGGCTGCCGCGGCTGCCGAGGCAGCGGCTGCCGCGCTAGATCCTGCTGAGAAGAAGAGAAAGGCCCTGACCTCAGCGAGATCTCTTGGGCAGTGGTTGTTCTCCGAAGGAGCGAGAGGCTGCTGAGCGCAAGCGAAAGAATGAAAAGAAGAAGAAGCTGAAAGAGAAGAAAAAGGCAAGGAAGGGCGGACAGTTTGTTTATATGCTTGTTTCTATGATTGTTTATATGTTTTTTGTGCATGTTTGTTCGCTGAGTCTTAATAGTTTGCTCATCACAGTGTGTGTGTGTGTGTTTGTTGAGTGTTATTCCTTTGTTTTGCTCGTGCTTTGCCCGAGTTTGCTTTGCCAGGCTGACAAACGAATACTAGCAACATGCTGCTCAAAGATATGGGCGCCTACAAAGCGGTGGTTTTTCAGTTTCCCTTCGACATCAACCAAAACGGGATCCCTGAATTTTGGGCCACCCCCCCTTCTTGCGAGGCGGCAAAGGCAGAAGAATACAAAGAGCTGGGCCTACCACCACCAGGAAAGGGTGGTAAGGGCGGCAAAGGCCGGCTGAGTCGTTCAGTCACCAGACTCCCGCATGATCAGACTGAGGCTCACATGTCCATGTCAGGTGCGAAGGGAAAGTTTGGCGCCAAGGGCAAGGCTGGGATCTTTGCCCGCATGCAAGTTGAAGCCGAGATACTCTCAAGGTGCCGGTTGGCAGAACACCTGGTTTGATCAGCAAGCCCAAGGATGATGATGACATCGAGGTGGGTAGAAGCAAGCTCTTGCCCTCACCGGAACGGAACGAGCATGCGCATGTGTTGGCAAGGTGGACTACGCTGGGATCTCGGGTTCTTTCGAACTGTTGGCTGGGTGAAAATCGAGTGATGTTGTGCCCATTTCTGCCTTTCTGCATGAGGTGGTGCCAGAAGTGCTGGCTGGCAACGATCAGCCTGAAGACGAGACTTTTGCAGCCATCATGGAGAGGTTCAAGTATGTCGAGCCCGAGAAGAAGGCATCGAAGTGAGTTGTCTTGGCTGCTGTTCCGGGGCCCTCAACGATCTCTGATAAACACGTTCCACCTTGGATGAAAGGACAATACTGTGCGTAGCATCCGACGGGATCCCATTTGTTAGAACTCATGGAGGGTCCCCCAGCTTTACCAGGAGGAAATGGACGAGGATGAGGAGAAGCCCAAGAAGCGGACGAAGCCAAAGGCATCTTTGCTGGAAGAGGCTGAGGACTGCGGGATTTGTTTCTTGCTGCGTTTGCATGCCTTGTACCTACCAGGCGCCTGCGATTTAAAGTCTCCGTTGAAACTAAATATGTTCATCCGCTGGAACTACCTCAACTGTTTTGCCAGATTTCCTGATCTTCACATGGACCCGTACAGGCGAGCAACATGTATTATCACTGAGCTGTCAAATTATACAGTGAGCTGTACTTGCAATGTTAAGCATCCACGGCGGTATGGTTCATTAGCTGTCCTACCTTGCGCAACAAAATAGAAAATCGTCAAACAACATGACGCCACAGGACGCATCCACGCAGCATCACCGCCCTCTGTTGCATGACATGGTTTTGCCTTTGGCTTCAGAAGCCACGGCGTATCGATGCATGTGAGCCATGTGCGGTTATCCAACACATGGTTTGGATCAATTGCCAAATCTTTTTCTGCTGAACAACAATCCCAAACTTGCGCTCAGGCAGGTGTGGCAGCGCTTGGCTAGTGCAATGGCTGTTGCCCTTTCAATCATGGTCAATCCACACGTGGTGTTGCTGCCGCCTCCGTCCGTCTATTGTGCGAAGGTGCTGCCTCGTGTCGCCTCAGATTAAGACCTGATCTCGCCCACACAGGCCGCAAATGCAGGAATTTGCAAAAACACAAAAAAACACTCAAAAAAAACCCAATCCGAAAAACTCAATCTGAAATAGTCTGAATCTGGGAAGACTCAAAAGAAACTCAAAAAAAACTCAAAAAAGAACTCAAAAAAAACTCAAAAACAACTCAAAAACAACTCAAGCAACAACTCAAGCAGGGCTCTGGGGAGGGTTCTGGGGGTGGGGGAGGGCGTAGAAAACAAAAAAAAACACAAAAAGACCAAAAAACAACAAAAATCCAAAAAAAAACTCAAAAGAAACTCAAAAAAAACTCAAGCAAGGGTTTGGGGAGGGTTCTGGGGGTGGGGGAGGGGCAAAATGCAAAAACAACCGCAGAAAACACACACAAAAAAAACAAAAAAACACAAACAAAAAGTCAAAAGAAACTAAAAAAAACTCAAAACAGACTCAAAAAAAACTCAAGCAGGGGTCTGGGGAGGGTTCTGGGGGTGGGGGAGGGGCAAAATGCAAAAACAACCGCAGAAAAAAAATAACACAAAACAACTCAAAAAAAAACTCAAAAACAACTCAAAACAGACTCGAACAAAACTCAAAAAAAACTCAAATCTCCTGCTGTGTTTTTTTGTTGTGTTTTGTTTAAGTCTCCTGCTGTGTTTTTCTTGTTTTTTTTGAGTCTCCTGCTGTGTATTTTTTGTGTTTTTTTGAGTATCATGCTGTGTTTTTCTTGTTTTTTTGTGTCTCCTGCTGTGTATTTTTTGTGTGTTTTTTTTTGAGTCTGTGTTTTCAGTTGAGTTTTTGGCTGAGTTTTTTCTGAGTTTTTTTTTGTTCCGCTAAAACCTCTCCTGTCTGAGCCCGTCTGGTCATAAGCCTCAGAGCGCTGTTGGGCCTATGGGAGCCAGAAGCTGACACGCAGGACAGTGATGATGACGAGCAGGATGCCAACAAGCTTTCAAAGAAGAAGCGCAGGGTGCGGCCGGCAAATGTGTTTTTGGAGCACTGGCACCGGACGCAGTCAGCATGGAAGAAATAGGATAGTGTCTGCAGATCAGAATAGTGTTGCTGGCTTCTTAAAACGAGCGGGGGATGACATTTCCCACACCACGCCAGGTTCAAAGCCGAATGTCGGTGGCAGAGCTGAAGACATTAGTCAAGCGTCCTGATGTGGTGGAAGTTTGGGCCGCTAGCTGAGCAACATTTTGTGCTGTTTTAATGGATTGCTTGCAATGCAAGGACACTACTGCCTCGGATCCGCGCTTGCTGGTCTACCTCAAGGCCTTTCGGTGCTCACGAGAGTGTATCGGTGTGGCGAACATGTCCTGTGTCTGATGGTCAATTCGGGAGGGACACGGCGGACTGCTGACTTACTATTTTTATCAAGCATGCCAGGCGGTTCACTAATGTTCGCATGTTCTTTTAGGGAACCGCATAGTGCGACGGTGGTTTTGTAAAGCAAACGTGGAAGAGGCACATGCGAGCCACTGGCTTATAAATGCCTCTTGCCTGCTTGCCTCCCAACAGAACATGCACAGCAACCGGGCCATTGTGTTTCGGGTTGGCAGCGTGGCAGTTTGGCAGATGGGTACAAGGGCCGTTTTGCCAGGCGTATCGCAACACAGTTGCGGTGCCAAGACACTGGAGCAGCATGGGCCTCGGCATGCGAGGGGTCGTTGCAGAGTGCCACGTGCCGTAGTCAACTGCAAATGTCTCCTTTTTGTTTTAAGTTCTCTTCCAATGATGGACGTGGACATGGCGGTTCCCCAACACGACAGTCTCCCAAACCTCGTCAGCTTCCATTGGGAGCAGTTTGTTATTAAGGCAAGCGGAAGTACATGGCTGGGAAGCGCGGCGTAGAGAAGCGGCAGCCTTAGCTTGCTTGTTCACCTGACCCCAATATTCATAAGGTTTCTCGAAATCGAAACCTAAAACATGGGAATATGTGGCTCTAGCCTTCCGGGTTTGGTCCCTTTGAATGTGCACTTTGCTCTTGGAAACAACACGCATTACCGCAGTAGCCGCAGAAGTGAACAGGGAGACATGCTTTGCAATCCGTTTTGTCAAAAGATGGCCTGATCCGAGGCCTCCCTTCAGGCTGCCAGACTTCATTGAAGCAACAGGCATTGCCAAGATCCGCCAGGCGGAACTTGCATATGGACCCAAGCGACACTTGGGGGTGTGCAGTTTTGAGGGCACTGTTTTCATCTTGGTTGAAAGCAACAACAAACGGGACACCAGCTTGTTTTGGGTCCTTGTCCCCGTATTTTGACACATACTCACTCGTATGCCAGGCAATCATGGAGAAGCAGGTGCGCTGAGTTTGTGTCTATGCGCTACGGAACGCCCAATCGCTCTATCCGCCTTTGCAGGCTGACATGTCCTTCAGACAGAAGAGCCGTGAGCGTGTGCATCCCAAAATGGGCAAGCTGGACATCGACTACCAGGCACATGTTGTGGAATGTGTCCAAATAGCAATGTTTTGAACAGGGAACACCCTCAATATGGTTGGCGGACATAAATCCCTGTTGAAAATCTTTCCAAACGTCAAACGGCTCCTGTAGATCGGGCAGTTACTTTCAGTATCCTCAAGAAGCGTCCCAAATATCTCCAATATGCTTTTTTGCTTGTTCTTGGATTAACATGTTGGCAGACTTGGCATTTCCATCTTGGCCTTTGCTGTTCGCCTGGTTTCTTTCAGTGGGGGCTTATATGAAGGCCTGCAAGAAACATAATTATGTTGGTAGAACCCATAATCAACGGGTTTTGGGTGAGGTGTTGCACGACGCCTTCTTCAAGTTCGCCTCGAAGCCTAAGCTCTCGCACCTGGGACAAAAGCGGTAGTGATTTGCGGTGTGGTTGAGTGTGTTGTAAAATAAGGTGAACCCTCCAAATTGTTGCTTGTCTTTTGACGGAATACGCGTCTCGTTGTTTTAAAACTCCCATTTAGGCCGAGCTCAACAATGTTGTCAACAAGGTTGACAGGAACGAAAAGAGAAACAAGAGAAGGGAAAAAGGAAAGTGGACGAGGAGGGTGCCGGCAAGGAGATGCGAGGAACTTGTGGAACCCAAGGCAATGCACGTGAGGCGAAGGAGCGGAATGAGGGAAACTATTGTTCGTGGCAGAGGAAGCGAAAGTACAAGGAAGTTGCGGTGTAGATTAAACAGGAAGGAAGGGGAGGGGCAAGGAAAAGGGCAAGGGAGCAAGGAACGGCGGAGGGGCAACGGAAAGGGACCTCAATCGGAATGTAGCAAACCAAGCAGCGATATGTTCGCAAGAGCCTTTATATGGATGGCATGAAGACTCGAAGAATGAAGAATGAGTTTGACTATGGCACCAGGGGGATGACAAGATTAGTTTGAGCGCGGATCATATACTGTATAATCAGCCGCTTCCTGCTGAGGAAGCACAATGATATGTACTATGAGGGCAAGGCAAGCCGAGAGACGTTGGCTGCGAATGAGCCTTTACCGCCTGACACTTTTCTCAACCAGGAATATGAGACAAAGATGCTGACCAAGAGGCTGGGAGGTGGGTGTCTTGCCTCCGCTGGCTTTTGCGTCGCTGAGGCCCGGGCAGCTGAGCGCTGCTCTGAGAGAGGCGGGCTGGTGCCGAACACTAGCTGCTAATTGGCGGGTTGTCCAAAAGCTGGCGCCCCTGAAAGAAGGTTTTTTCCCTTGGATCAAAAGACGTCGAACAGGGGGTGTCCCTCATTTCCCCAGAATTGCAGTTGATTCCAGCTGAAGGGAAAGCGCGCGCTTTACTTTCAGGCACTGGGCATGGAAGACGGTGCTCCTCCGCTGAGAGCCCAGAGGGCTAGACGGCCCGGAGGGCCTCGCGGATTCGGACTCCGAGGCCGTGGCTCTTTAACATGCAGCGCCCTGGGGCCCAGCGAACGTGCGTCCGACGGCGCACGTGTTCGAGCGGACTTGAGTTGTGCTGTGGCTATGGGGCTATGGTTCTGTTTTGGCCCAAGTCCGGCAACCGATGTGGAACCTCAAGATTGTCTTGAGTCCTTCGAGTCTTCCGTTGGTTGCGTTTTGCTTTTTCCGGTTCTGTCAGGCTTGCAGGTTCTTTAAGCCATACGCTGATTTCTTCTTGTTGGCCTTCCATATTTCATTGGCTCGCAGCGAGAAGTCACTTCTTGACTGGAGCTTGCCCCTGTGAGCTGACTTGATCAGCTAACATTGCTCCGCAGATGTCAACTGCTCATCATTCTTTCAGAATCTTATCCATCTTAGGTTTGTTAGCTATGGTATGCATTCTGACGTGTCGTTGGGAGGCTGCCGACCGTTGTTCGCAATGCTTTGGTTGGGCGGCTGATGTCTTTCACTAGCATGCACTGAGCACATTCCTTTTCCCAGTATGTCTTTGCTTACAGTGAATGCCGAGGATATGGACCGCCTCCCGCCTATCCCAATCTCAAGATCCCTGGGCTGAACGCGCCCATCCCGCAGGCGAGCCTAGGATATATCCTGAAAGGCCAACATTTTTGAGATCCCGCGAATCGAGATGACGTTTAGATCACCGAGATCCTGAGATCCCGCAAAAACGCACAAAAAAAAACAGATCTAAACGTTTAGGTCCTGAAACGCTCGCGGAACCGCGGCTTCGGATAGGGCGCGGAGTACGGGTACCATCCTGGGGGCTGGGGGAAGCCGCCGGTGGACGAGTGCCTTCCTCGGGTTCGGAGCGCGCGAGAAAAAAAGCGGCGAGCCGCCGAGACTTGGGATTCCCTGTTGAGGTTTGTTCGTAGTCGTCGCGTTGCTTTTCCCAGGTCTTCATTGACCTTCATTGTGTTTGGCTGCCGCAGGCAGCTTTTTCAAGCACCAAGGTTTGGCAATCCTCTCTATGGCGACTGGAAGGACCAGGCTGGACTTTGAATGATGTGGCAAGTTCTTTCCTTGATAGTTCGAATTGGGGGATATCGAACCTCCTCCAAGCCACCTGCTCAACACCAATTTGTGGGCTGAGCCGAGCGTGCAGTTTCCCTTGCAGGCTCCAGAACGATCCATACCAGAGGCGGCGACAAAAAAGACAAGTGTCCTCAAATATGCCTGGAGCGTTGGGGACTCAGGACCCGACCCTGTGGGGCGAGGTGGACGATTTTGAGGAGGAGGCAGTGCCTCCAAGCAAACAATCCGCGCGGGTGGTGCGTGCTTGCTGCAGGAAGAGGACGATGAGCCGGAGGCAGAGAGGCACGCGAGCGTGAAATCCACCGTGTTTTGGCTGGAAAGAGAGCCCACACAGATGTCATGCGTGTGACTGCTTCTGCTCTGGGGGCTCGTGTTGGAGCTGGAAAGCGTGCCAGGGGTGATGGGGCTGCCACTCCGATGCTGGGCACGGCGACGCCGCTGGTGGGATCCGGCTCAGCAACTCCGGTAGTGTGCAGCCCTCACTGGAGTGGTCTCGTGCCACATGCATAGGTCGAAGGATCAGGTTGCCCAGATTCAACCGGGAACCAGGATGATCACCAACCCATTGATTGTGATTTAAGGCATTGTTCTGGAGAGTTCCTCTTAAGGGAGATCGAAGGAGTTTTGACCATGGTGGTGTGTTGCACGGCAGGCAACGGTCAGCCCTCAGGTCAGGCGGTGTGCACAGCATCAGCGGCATTTCGTCCATCACGAGTGGCATGGACACGCCGCAGCCTTGCAAGCCTGCAGAACTTGCATGGTGTTTGAGCAACTGACGCAATAATTGCGTCCATGGCCGATGTGAGCGCACAGGCGCTTCTGTTACCTCTATATAACTTAGACTGAAGGACTCATCAAAATCTCAGATCATTGCACACTTTGAGTACCGACGCTTTTGCCTGAACATGCGTGTCTTAGGCCGGGCACGGGTACGCGCAGCAAGAAGGGTGGCATCGCCTCAGCTCCATGGCTGCAGTGGCCAGAGGTGTTGACTCAGCCCTCTGTAAGCAGACTCACACCCCCAAACTAATCACACATCCAAACCTTTTGCTTCCCCTTCATGGGGCCGAAATGAGCAACTGGTGAAACAGTAAACACCCATTGTTTGCCAGTTTTCCATATAGAGTTCTCCATTTTGACCGGGGCTGAAACGGGCAACCGGCCGTTTCAACCGAAAGCACTCGGGGTCTCCCTTGGGTCTCCCTTTTGGTCTCCCTTTGGTCTGTTAGTCTACCTTCTGGTCTGTTTCAACCCAAGACGCTTCGAAGCCCTCGCAGCCATTGCGCTTCGCCCGTTTCACTCCAGGTGAGCGGCATCAGCTCCGCGTCCTTGACGCCGACGCCGCAGCTCTTCCAGGCCACATGATGACAGCAAGGGCTGGCGCTAGGTTTCCCACATGGGTTCGCTTTTTGTTTTTTTGAGTTGGTACTAGGGTGCCTGTTTTGGGTGGCTGAGAAAAGGGAACACCAAACATGCACCCCTTTCGGGTTTGTGTTGTTTTGCGTAGGCTTTAAGGGAGACCAAAAGGGCATTTGTGGGGCCGCACTATGTTGATACGTCCCACATGGTTGGATGTACGTCCATCGCGGGTCAATAGACTTCTTGAGTGAAAGATTCTAGGCAACCCCTGCAAAGATGCCTAGTGGAAGTGGAAGTCGGATCGTCCCTGTATGTCCCTTTGCAGCTCTCACCAGATTGTTGAGTTTCCTTTTGGTGTCCTGAGGCTTGAAACGAGACAACGGATTGAGACGGTTCCAGGTGTGCGAGTGCCGAAGCCGCCAGGTGTTGGAGGAGCAGAAGTCTAGATCCGCCAAGAAGGGAGTTCCGGCCTTGGCGCAGAGCATCGTGGACACATCCTTGGGGCATTGCGTTAGAATATTGGGCGGTGCCAGATTTCTTCTGAGAGTTATCAATCCCTGTCTCTTATCAAGTGCTCTTTGATAGTTTCCATGCTGGGTTTCCAGGTAAACACGAGCCCCAGTGGCGGTGTTTTTTATATTACAAACAACGATCATTATTGAAGGAAAACACGTATTAGTGCAAGCTCCTTTCAGATGACGCATGGGGCTTCCCAAACCCAATGTGAAGGAAACTCTGCACCAGGCCGACACGACCAGTCCTTGTTTTTGCAAGAAAGTAGAGAGAGAGAGAGAGAGAGAGAGAGACTCGGCATGCAGGTCTATCCCACCTCCCACACGTACAAAGTGGGAAGCAGGCCGACGTTCTCACGGGCGATTTGATCGCGCCGGACTCTTCTTAAAACGCCTTGCAGGAGCGGAGGTGGTTCCTCCACGCCGATGGGCGGCGTGGGCAGCTCCGGCACAGGGACGCCGCGCCTCGGCAAAAAGCAACGGTCTATGGTTTGGACTGCTTAATGGCAGGCCTGTTTGGTGGCTTGGGCAGCGATGATTTGAGCCTGCTCTGTGGTGGTACAAAATCCTGAACCAGTTGGTGTATTTATAGGTTTCATCCATCCTAACTGGTGCAGGATTTTGTCCATTCACAGTGGTGATAGCTTTCAATGAAGTCTTTTTTCATCACACGGGTTCGCAAGGGAATGTCCAGCCCCTATGAAAGTTTTGGTCATGGCCAATACTCTGGGCTTCTGCAACTGGCTGCCCCGAAGTCCTATTTTCGGCAATTTTAGGCTGGCTGGAATTGGGACGCCGATTGGTGGAATCGGTCCGCGGCTCAGACTTTGCGTGTCCGCGGGTTCTCTTCTTGCAGATGGTTGGCAGTGGGCCCACATTCCCACCCATTAGCTGGGGATGACTCACTGAACTCGCAAAGAAGGATCCGTCAGCCCTGTTAATGTTGGATCTGACAATTTGGCTACCCTTTTTGGTTGGTGGACATGGATTCTTGTGTGTAAATGTCCACAAAGGGTCTGAGGCCAGAGGATTCATAACCGTCGGGTCCCTGGCACCATCGACGCGTAGGAACTCCCATCGCGGGCATTGGAACTCCGCACGGCATCTCCACGCCGCGCACTCAGCCATTGCGAGTCTTCGTTTGCATCTTCCCAAGCTGGGACACCACTTCCGACTTGTTGGTGCGGCCACTTGGGTGTGCTTTTTTCGAGGTTGCACTTTTTGGGTTGGGTGAAAGAGAAGCCAAAATCAGAGAAGCCAAAAGCGCAGCCACTCGTTTTGTTGGTCCTCCCTTTTTTGACACATGCCTCATTTGAAGGGGAGCCATGTGTTGAGACGCCCGCTTCTGAGGCCGCATGGCATCGGCACCCCGGGCATGGGCACAAGGCCGATCTCAAGTGAAGAGGGTCCCTCCAGGTGGCTTCGTGGAGGGGTCCCTTCAACTTTGGGGACCTTTGGAGTTCTCATGTGACCAGAGTGGCTCTCCTGCCTTTCACCGCTGTTTGGCTCGGGTCATTCGAGTCGCTTTAGCATTGATCTGTCAGGACGCCGCACGGGATCACTACGCCGCTGGGAGTGGGCTCGGCAGGCGGGACCTTGGCGCCCGAGCGCCCAAAACGAATTTCTAATTGGCCATCTCTACAGGTGGTTCTACCAGGTGTCATGAAAGTTATATTCGTGACAGAAATCTTGGTAGAAGCAACAGTCAATGGAGTTTGAGCACTTTCCCACCAACCTCCAGCCAACTAAAAAGTTCCAGCGGTCCGAAAACACCCCGTTTCAGGCAAGAGAAGCGGAGACCAAATTCTGAATCTGAGCTTGATAGCAAGATTCACTTTTGCCCCCTTTCTCGTGTATCCGCTTGATAAGCCTCCATGTTCCTCGTGCGTAAATGTGCATCCGGCTGTCCATCACTTGACTGTGTTTCACGCATCCTGCCTTTCTCCTAGGTGCCAGGCTCTTTTTGTTCATGTGTCACTCGCACTTCGCTCGACGCGACAGCTGACGCAGTGTGGCACGTGTCCATCGAGTCCTCTCACCTAAATGGCCGGCTCAGATCATTTGCTGAGCGGACCGGCCGAGTGAGAGTAAATGCGCAAAGCGCCTGCTCCGCCTGCTGAAGGGCAGAGCGCGTGCAACTGATCGACAGTCCCGATTGGGGAGGGCCGACCCGCAAGGCAGCCAAGTTGAGGCCCCTGATCTCACCAATGCTCACTCCATAAGCAGAAGCAACAGCCCTTTTCCATGTGTCAAAATACGTTTGTTCTGCTTTGGGTCGATTGTTTTAGGGACCCACAATGACTTTCACTTCTTGTGCAGGAGGGGTCCACCTGTCTCGTTTCTTGAGCATTCGCAGGTCACGGCACTGGGACCGGCACAGGGACGCCGGGAATGGGCACTCCGGGTGTGGGCACCCCCATCGGTGGCATCGGGACACCGGTGGGCGGAGGCATCCACACGTGCTCGGCTCAGGCATAGAGAGATGAGCGCGGCTTCAAAGGGTGGTTTCTTTTGGTTTCCTTTTGCAGTAACACACAAACACGACGCATCATAGATGAAGGCTAAAGGGGGGGGCTGTCCCAAGCTGCGAATTCGGACCCTTTGGATGAGTAGACTCCTTTAGTAGTAAAGTCAGGCCCCTTGAACCTAAGAGGGCCCACGTAGAACCGGGACCCGCAGGAGGGGGCACAGTGGGACTGCACTGGATTTCCTTTTCGTGCGGTGCAAGGCCTGTGGGCGGCATTGCAACTCCAGTAGGCCGATGGACGGCACTTGATGCCGATTCTGACGTTTGCATTTGACTTGCTGGTTTTGAGGTGGTATTGCCACACCCGTCGCCGGCATTGCCACGCCGCTGGGTGGTATCGCCGGGCCCCAAGCATGGCGAGACGGCTGAGCGCGCCGGCTGCTTTTGAAGGCCACGCCAGTGGGTGGCATCGCAACACCGGTTGGCCAGCACACTCCAGCAGGAGTTGCCAGAAGCCAAGCGGCCAAGCGTTGTGCACAGCCTGACTGGAGCGATTGGTGAGGCAACGCCAGTTGGCGGTGTGTCGACGCCCACCGGAATGCCTGGCGTCGGTGTCTGAGATGTCACATTTTGATAGAAGAAAGTCTTTGGGCCTGTGCCGGCTTTGTTTGTTTTCAGGCACCCACTCCAGTTGGTGGAGCAGACACTCCAGGACCCGTGACCATGAACCTCAACCCAGAGCAGGCACGGAGTCAAGCCGCCTATCTTCGCATGTCCCATAGATTTAGGGCCACAAGCCATGTTTCCCAAAACCGGAAATGATTTGGCGTTTTCCAGCTGGCCAGGTTGAGACCGAAGGCATCCTCACGGCGGACATTATCCGCCGGTCACCGAGAGCAAGCGATGCGGGGAGCGAGGGACGCGGCTGCGGTTTGAGCTAAGGCCAACAGCTGAAGCAGCACGAGGAGGCCGCGGCCAAGGCCAAGCTGGCGGCCGGCCAGAAGGAGGCGCCTGGGGGCGGCCGGGGTTGCCTTCGGCTTTCTTCGGGGGGGGTGGCGTGTTTGTTTAATCGGACAATGAAGTGGCAGTGCTGTCCAGCATTTTGCAGGTTCTGGTACGCCAGATGTTATGTTGGGCCTGCAAGGCCGTAAGGCAATCTTGACACCCCTGTGACATACAACAGCAGCCCTTGGTCAAAGTTGAGCGTGCCAGGTGAAGCGGTCATGGTTGGGCGGGTGCGGGGTGCTTTTTGCTAGTGTGCTAGTGTTTGTATTTGGATGTGATGAAGTGTGTGTTGTCTATTTGCGTAAAGGCAACATGAGCATAGAGGCATGCACATCATAATATTCTGTCTCAGAGGGAATAGCACGGGGCATACCAACATGACCAGATTGGCCCCCTTCCACACTGCATGTTGACCATGCGTGCCTCATTTCGTTAGGCGTTGGTCTTTTTCTGCGGCGCTTGTCCAGGTGGAGCAGAAGAAGACCGTCGCCAAGCCAACCAAGAAGCGCAAGGTGGGAGCGGTGCTCTTCCGAGAAGTTCTGTTTTCCATTCGCTCAAGGCGTTTCCTGGAGAGTTGCTCCTCCCAATTTGCTTCCGCATTGACCAATACAAAAGCCTTGTGAGGGCCGAGGAATTTTGTCTTTTGACAACAAATGCTGTTCAAGTCGCGGGTGGAGAGACGAGGCACAAAGTTCGGTTGCCGAGAAGCTGTGCAGGAGAAGACCAAGTTCAAGTTCTGAGCTGCAGCGTACGCTCATGGACTCTTTGCACTGGCTCTTTTCTTTGCCCAAGCATATCGCATATCTAGAAGACAAAGCAATTCACAATCACCAAGCAGCAGAAGACGTATGACTACGGTATACCTCAATTCACCCAGTTTGTTGACTCGTTCATGCCAATCTATGTCGTGCCGGACAAAAAGGAAAGTTGTGGCTCCGCTGTGAGCTTGATTAGTTGTCAAAGCAGAATTTGGTGGTGTAGGCGATTGGAGCTTCAGCGTTTGTCATCTCTTGGCACCTTCTCGGCCTCAGCAAGCGTGCCTCAATCACCGACAAAGATTTACATGGAGGCTGAAAAGCAGAGAGTTACTGGCAAAGGATGCATGCAGCAAACACACGCACAAGCAGGCACACACACACACATACACACAAGCCAATTGTCTTGCAAGCTGGTGTTGATACTCCGTAGAGATGCAGCTAGATGAAGATGAAACTCTCGAGATCCTTGGCTTTCCTTCGTGCATCCAGTTGTGCAGGTCCTTAGATTCCAACAGCTGAGGAATTGTCGGCTCAAAAGCCGTAGGACCTTTTACCCATTTGCCTCTTGGCCGAGAATGCTTGCTTCGGGAGTGACGTCCATGGCTTGGCAAATTTGATACACACGTCCTGTGAGGATCAAAATCAACGCGAAGAGATTTCGAAGGAGAATTTCAGCGAGCATGATGACAAGGACAAGAGCTCCAGCGAAAAAGTGTTTCACACGTGTAGTGTTTTTGCTGTGCTCGATTGTTTGTCTGCCTTTTGCGCGAGGACAAACTCTGTGCCAGTTTGCATGATGAAGTGAGCGACAAGAGCCTTCGGCGCGTGTGGAGCAGTTTGAATCTAAGCAGCACTACGAAGTTTACTGCGTGTATTAAAATGGGGGACCCACCAAAACATGGTTTCACGTAGTTCCCTCCAAAACCACGCACACAGACACAGACACAGACACGGACACAGACACGGACGCGGACACGGACACGGACGCGGACGTGGACGCTGTTGCGCAGGCACGCTTACACGCGCACACAGCACACAACACAAAACACACACACACAACACACAACACACTCAACACACAACACACAACACACAACACATGACAGATCACACATCACGCAAGCACACACCTCACAACACGCAACACTCAACAGACACAACACAACACACAGCACACAACACGCAACAAACAACACACAGCGGACAGCACACGACTCACAACACACAACACATAACACAACAAACAACACACGACACACAGCACACAACACAACACACAACACACAACACACATCACGCAGCACAACACAAAACAAACAACACACACACAATTCACAACAGAACACACAGCACACACAACACACAACACACAACACACAACACGCAACACTCAACAGACACAACACAACACAACACACAGCACACAACACGCAACAAACAACACACAGCGGACAGCACACGACTCACAACACACAACACATAACACAACAAACAACACACGACACACAGCACACAACACAACACACAACACACAACACACATCACGCAGCACAACACAAAACAAACAACACACACACAATTCACAACAGAACACACAGCACACACAACACACAACACACAACACACAACACGCACACACACAATTCAACACGCAACACGCAACACTGAGCAGACAACACAACTCGCAACACACATCACATATCACGCAACACACAACACACAATACACATACAACACATGTCACACAACACGCGCACACAACACACAGCACACACCACACAACGCACAACACACACCACATACAACACACACACACAATACACATCACACATCACACACAACACACAACACTCAACACTCAACAGACAGCACACAACACTCAACAGACAACACACACCACACACACACACACAGACGCAACACTTCGCACGGCACACATCACACATCACACAACATACAGTCACACGTCACAACACACAATACACAGTTTAGAACACAGGACACAGACTCACAACACAAAACGCATAATATATGGTAGAAGACAGAACACACACCACGCAACACGCAACACACAACACACAACACTCACACAACACACAACACTACACACAACACACAACACACAACACACTGTGCAGCACAGAACACACATCACACAAGACACAGGACACAACACGCAACACTCAGCACACAACACACGACACACATCACACAACGCACAACACACACACACACGACACAGACACACAACACACAACGCACACACACCACACACACACACACCACACACATATGCCACACACACACACACAAAACACACACACAACACATATCACACAGCTCACACAACACACACACACACACAACACACAACGCACGATGCGCACCACTTACACGCCCACGCCCTCACACCCTCCCCACCTACGCCCTCACACACACACACACCAGCACAGGCACACACACACACACACACATGCGGGGCATGGGATTTTGCTGAGGAGCGGTCTTTGGATGGCAAGAGCCTTAGATGTGCCAGGAGGGCACTCAGACAGACCCCTTTAGCCAGTGACAAATAATATCCAGCAGTGTATGGTCCATTTGGGAGGGGCATTGGGAGACTCTCTAAATTTCATGCACGAAAACCAAGGTAGGGTGAGAGAAATTCTGACCGTGGCCCTGGCAGGTTCATGGCAAGCTGCCGCCCAGAGAACAGCCTTTTCAAGAAAGGCAGTTCGGCCTCATGCCAAGGCCGAGTTATTTGTTGGGTACGGGGCTCTATTTTCTGTGGCTTTGGGTGTGAGGTCGCGAGAGGCGGGCGGCAATGTCTTGGTCCCTTGGCTGACTTTCCCAAGCATTGGATGCACCAAGACGTCTCCTATCTGAGGCCAGGCACGACATTGCGGCCATTTGCTGCAAAGGGTGCAAAGGTCACGACAGCTCCCCCGGACAGGACAACTTCAGTTGTGCCCGGCTGGCGGGAGGCTTCCGCTTGCACACCATAGCGGATGGCCATGGACAAGATGGCCATTGGGTCTCAGATCGTGTAGTGCGACTTCTGCCCTATTTCATGAGCTCCAGAGATTGCCGGCAAATGTTACGGAGCGGCGAGGTGGAAGCTGCTTTGATCTCTTCCTTCGAGCGCATGCAAGATGACCTCATCTCTGCTTCAATGGCAGAGGATGTGAACTTGCTGCTGTCAGGGACTACTGCAGTATGCATCCTTCGGCAGATACATAGCCCGTTGGTTTGGGTTGCCAGTGTCGGGGACTCGCGTTGCATCCACATCTGCAAAGATGGGACGGTCTCATTCTCGACGAAAGACCATAAGCCCTGCAATCCTTCTGAGCGGGCGCGGGTGCTCGAGAGCGGCTGCGAAGTCACATCCTGCGATGCTGACAACGGCGAGCTGCTGGAGAAAGTTGCCTTGACCTCAGCGAGGAGGTGCATGTGTGATGTAGGTGTGTGAATGTGTGAAAAATGCACACTCTTTGCTGTAATGACGGCTGGGACTTAGCAGCAAGTCAATCGCCAGTAGGGTCGGCAAAGAGACACTCCACTGTGGATTCCCCAGAAACGTAAGCCGCACTAAATTCGATGGAATGCATTGTTACAGCACGATGTGATGCTAGATGACACAAGTACTGGTACGATGGTTTGTGATGCTTTGAATACACTATTTTGTGAGACAAAACAACCTTGTCTCATCTAGGATCTGTGGTATGCCGGCCAGGGATGCGTAGAATCGACACCCAGAACCGGCGGCTTCGTTGCACCTGTCCCAAACGCAGGAACGTTGCTCGGAGCGGTCCCCAAAGAGGACACCTAGCAAGTCCCGATACTCGAGTGCCAATTGACGCACTGACCAGCTTTTCGCTTCCGTTGCAAGACTGTACCATGTATGGCTTGAATAGCAACACAAACAATTGTACTTGAAATTGGAATGATGGGATCAATAATTTTTTGTTTTACTGAGTCCTTGTCGTTACACGCCCCGCAAGACATGATCTCGTGCCGCAAGCGGTGTGCCAGTGGGGAAAGCTATCTAGAGTCATGCTGTCATTTAAGCATGTATGGCATGAAGCCACTTTGAGAAAAATCGCATGGGCACACTCGTTTCACTTAGAGGTTGCTGACGACGCACGTGCTACCCCAGCCCCCACCACGCACAAAGTCTGGTGTGCCATGGAGGATCGGAAGGGGCGCTGTTGAATGTTGAGGCCCACCCCGTCACAAAACACAATGGCACACTGCCTCTGGCCAAGATACTGAGATTGTTTTGTCAACTACCACGTGGGGGTTTAGTTGCTTGTGTTGTTCAATTCTGTGCCAGTAGGGTTTGATTTGATAGAAGTTACAGGCTTTGAAGTTGCTCGTCGGAAAGCGCAAGTGCGCGCTGCCTCTACTAAAACACATGGGAGTTGGGTTCTTTGTGCTGTGCCTTTCTCTCACACGCTCCGAGGCACGCCAATGAAGGACTGTGTCCGAACAGGCATGCTGGCCAGGGCCAGTCTGTAGACTGTGTTCGCACCTCGTTTTGACCTCGTTAATACCTCGTTTAAGACCTTGTTAAATTGGCTGGCTAAGGCGCCTTTTTCGCAGTGCAGCACTTTCGCAAGGTCAGGCGCGACAGGCACAGTGCTTCCAGAAGGCCAGGCGCAGGTCTTGTGGCAGGCGCAGGCGCAACAGAGAAAGAGAAAGGGAAAGGGAAAGACACAGCGCAAGTGAAAGAGAAAAGAACGAGTAAGGGAAAGAGAAAGAAGCAAGGGAAACAAAGAAGAAAGAAGAAAGAAGAAAGAAGAAACAAGAAAGAAGAAAGAAGAAAGAAGAAAGAAGAAAGAAGAAAGAAGAAAGAAGAAAGAAGAAAGAAGAAAGAAGAAAGAAGAAAGAAGAAAGAAGAAAGAAGAAAGAAGAAAGAAGAAAGAAGAAAGAAGAAAGAAGAAAGAAGAAAGAAGAGAGAAGAGAGAAGAAAGAAGGAAGAAGGAAGAATAAAGAAGAAGGAAGCGTGGGGGAAGTGCTTGTTGAGCGCGTTGCTTGTCAGCCGTTTGTTGGAAGATTGTTGCTTATAACGCATAGGGGTGGCTATGAATGAACAACTTAGCAACGCTGCGGCGCATGTTGGTGAACTGTGGTCTGCCACGCGCTTGTGGACACGGTTCGAACAATTTCTAAGCTCGCAACCTAGCTCAGACAGGTAGAAGCAACGGAAAGCACGTGTGCGCAAACCAGCCCGGGGGCCGCTGGAAGCACACCTGAGTGAGATTGGATGAAGCGCGTGTGAAACGCGGTGTGCCGTGGGGGAAGTGCTTGTTGAGCACATTGGTTGTCAGCTGTTTGTTGGAAGGTTGGTGCTGAGAGCGCATAGGGGTGGGTTATGAACAAAGAGTTTAGCAACGCTACAGCGCATGATGGTGACTTGTGGTGTGCAAACAATTTCTAAGCTCGCAACCCAGCTCAGACAGGTAGAAGCTAATGTGAAAGCACCCTTGGGGATGCTGGAGGTACACCTAGGGTGACGTTGCTTGAAGCGCGTGTGAAACGTTGTGCGCATTGGTTGTCAGCTGTTTATTGGAAGGTTGGTGCTTGTAACGCATGGGGGTGGCTATGGGCAGCGGATGTTGGTGAAGTGTGGTGTGCCAAGCGTTTGTGGACACGATTCGAGCGCTTTTTAAGCTCGCTGAGCGATGTGAGGAGTGGGGTGATGTGGTTCCGTGGGGTGTGAAACCGCGTTGGGTCGTACGTACAAAATCACCATGTGTATACACATATTTTATTTGCTTTGCGCCGGAGCAAGGGGGCTGGGTGGAAGTTGCTGCTGAGGTCATCAAGGGCGAGCGTGGCAGAGCGCCAGAACTTGGATTCACCCGGTCTTTGGGCGATCTAATGCGACCCGCTTGGATTGATCGCAGGCTTGACACAGACCCCCCTTGTGAGGCTTAGATTGGAAACTCTCAGAGTTTGCTGAAATGGGTGGGCGGCCTATTTTCAGCCGGTTTGGGGCACCTTCAGCTTGGGCGCACAAATCTGGGCTGAGGGAGTAAACATAGGAACCTTCTCCCTTTGTGAAATCAAATTATTCCAGCTCCCTGATCGAATCCCTCGACACATCCAGCGTTGATGTTTATTTATGACTCCCTCGGCTTTGCTTTTTGGTTGTATGTCCTTGGTTGTAGTCATGTTTTTTCTGGACCATACCTTCTTCAGACCGGGCCATTCGAAGGCTTAGTTGTTTTGGTTCCTGCGCACCTTGGCGTGCAGGTACAAGAAATACGGAGTTATCGCCAAACCCGAAGTCTTTTGCCTGGAGAAGGAGCTCGTTTTCGTTTGCCGCTCGTGTCCCAAATGTGCAGCATAGGGTTCTCGTTTCATCTTGGGGGTCTGGGGGTGAAGCGTTGTTCGCCGGACGTTGCGCAACCGTCCGCAACCGTTCGCAACCGTTCACACAACCGTTCGCAACCGCTCGCAACCGTTCACGCAACCGTTCGCAAGCAACCGTTCGTATGATTGCGCTATGGCTCTCCCAGTGGGGAAGCGCAGAACGCGTGAGTTTGATGACTTGTGATGTGCTGTTTTCGTTGGCCGTGTGCGCGAATCGCAGCTTCTCAAGCTCGACGTGTCGTTTCGCTGCGCAGGCGCAGTGTTTTGGAGGGCTGCGTGTTCTCGTTGCCGTGCCAGTGGGATTTGCGACCCAGGGTGGTCGTTTTGAGGTGTCCTGCTTGGCAGGCGCGTGATAGTGTTTGCGCCGGCGCCGTTTTCGTTGGCCTGTCGTACAATCGGCTCGTTTTGGCGAGCTTGAAACATGTCAAAATTGGTCGAAATCATTCTGGTGCCACAGTCCCGTGCTAGTTTTGGATGCCTGTCGTAAACGTGTCAAAACTCGTGGCAAGCTTACCTTGCGTGACAAGCGCAGCACTTTCGAACGTTTTGGCGGAATTTCGTGGCAATCACGGCGCTTTGGAGCTTCTCGTGCAAATTTCGTGGCAGGCGCAGTACTTTGGTGCCTGGGTTTAGATTTCGTGGCAGGCGCATCACTTTGACCGCGGTGCACATTTTGAGAACGCGACGTGAACCCTCTGCGCACTTTGGGTGGGTCGAATCGCTGTCGCTGTGGCGCGGTGCGCATTTTGAGCATGCGCAGTGAACCCTCTGCGCGCTTTGGGCGGGTCTGTGGCGCGGTGCGCATTTTGAGCGCGCGAAGCGATCCCTCTCTCTGCGCACTTTGGGTGGGTCGAATCGCTCTCGCTGTGGCGCGGTGCGCATTTTGAGCATGCGCAGTGAACCCTCTGTGCGCTTTGGGCGGGTCTGTGGCGCGGTGCGCATTTTGAGCGCGCGAAGCGATCCCTCTCTCTGCGCACTTTGGGGGGGTCGAATCGCTCGCGCTGTGGCGCGGTGCGCGTTTGGGGACAGAAGTGTCGCTCAGAAGTGTTGATCAGAAGTGTCCATTAGATGTCGTTCAGAAGTGTCGATTAGAAGTAGTGTCGATCAAAAGTGTCGCTCAGAAGTATCGGTCGGAAGTGTCAACAGAAGTGTTGCTTGGAAGTGTCGATCAGAAGTGTTGCTCAGAAGTGTTAATCAGAAGTGTCGATCAGAAGTGTTGCTCAGAAGTGTCGGTGAGCAGCGTGGACCAGAAGTGTTGATCAGAAGTGTTGCTCAGAAATGTGCTCAGAAGTGTCGATCAGAAGTGTCGATCAAAAGTGTTGCTCGGAAGTGTTGCGCAGAAGTGGCAGTCTGAAGTGTTGCTCAGAAGTGTCGCTCAGAAAATTGGTTGCAGCAGTATTGCTCAGAAGTGCCGCTCAGAAGTGTCGATGAGCAGTGTGGATCAGAAGTGTTGACCAGATGCTCAGCACTGTCGATCAGAAGTGTGGATCAAAAGTGTCCACCCGAAGTGTGGATGATCAGAAGTGTCGATCAGAAGTGTCGATGAGAAGTGTCGACCAGAAGTGTAACTCCGAAGTGTCGATCAGAAGTGTTGCTCGGAAGTGTCGCGCAGATGTGTCGACCAGAAGTGTAACTCCGAAGTGTTGCTCGGACGTGTCGCGCAGAAGTGTCAGCCTGAAGTGTGGCTCAGCAGTGTGGCTCAGAAGTGTCAATCCAGCAGTGTTGCTCAGAAGTGTCGCTCAGAAGTGTTGATGAGCAGTGTGGGTCAGAAGTGTTGGTCAGAAGTGTCGCTCAGAAGTGTAACGCCGAAGTGTCGATCAGAAGTCTTGCTCAAAAGTGTTGCTCGGAAGTGTTGCTCAGAAGTATCGCTCAAAAGTATTGCTCGGAAATGTTTGACAAACATGTCGCTCGGAAGTGTTGCTCAGAAGTGTTGACGGGAAGGTTTTCTCAAAAGTGTGGATCAGAAGTGTCGATCAGAAGTGTTGCTCAGAAGTGGGTTTGTCTTTTTTTGGTGTGTTGAGTTGCTTCAAAAGGCAGAAGGTGGGACCTCCCCGAATCATACCCCCGAATCATACCCCCGAATCATACCCCGAATCATACCCCCGAATCATACCCCTTAAAACGTATGCTGCAAGATGCTAATGTTCTTCTACCGTTTTGTGTTGTTCACTGTCTCCACAACAACCACCACCAGCGCTACCCAATACTACCACTACCACTGCCACTGCCACTGCCACTACTACTACTACTACTACTACTACTACTACTACTACTACTACTCCAATGACTACTACTACTGCTACTACCACCACTACTACTACTACTGCCACTACCGCGACTACGAGTATTACTACCACTACCACCGCTACCACCGCTGCTACTACTAATATAGTGCGTCTACTTCTGCTACCCGTACTACTAACTACTACGACTACAACCTTGACTACTACTACTACTACTACGACTACTACCTTTATTACTACTACTACTACTACTACTACGACTACAACCTTGACTACTACTATTACTACTACTACTACTACTACTACTGCTGCTGCTACTACTACTTCTACTACTACTATTCCTGCTTCTGGTCTGTAATCAGTGCCGTTTTGCACCTAGCCGAATCATACCCGCGAATCATACCCGAATCATACCCGGACAATGAGCTTCCCCTGCCAAGGCTAGTGCCAAGTCTTTTTCACAGCGTCCGCACCACTACAGCCGCTGCTGCTTATGCCACAGCTGCTACCACTACTTCTGTACTACCACTACTACTGCTACTACTACTACTACTACTACCACAGCTACTACGAGTTTGCAATCAGTCCCGTTTTGCACCTAGCCGAATCATACCCGCGAATCATACCCGAATCATACCCGCGCAATGAACTTGCCTTGCCAAGGCCAGCGCCAAGTCTTTTCAAAGCTTCCGCGCCACTACAGTCGCTGCTTCTACTCTTACTACTACTACTACTACTACTACTACGACTACTAGTACTACTACTCCTACTACTACTACTACTACTACTACTACTAGGACTATTGCTACTACTATTTTCTACTACTCCTTCTACTGCTACTACTACAACAAGAACAACAACTACTACTACTACTACTACTACTACTACTACTACTACTACTACTAACTACTACTACTACTACTACTACTACTACTACTACTACTACTACTATTGTTACTACTACAATATTACTACTAGTACTACTACTTCGGCGACTACTGCTGCTACTACTACTGCTGCTGCTGCTTCCGCGAATCATACCCCCGAATCATACCCCGAATCATACCCGCGAATCATACCTGCGAATCATACCCCGTACTCAAACCTTCCTGCCCGGCCACCCTAAAAAAATACAAACCCAAGTGTCGCTCAGAAGTGTCAATTCAGCAGTGTTGCTCAGAAGTGTCGTTCAGAAGTGTCGATGAGCAGTGTGGGTCAGAAGGGTGGATGATCAGAAGTGTTGCTCAGAAGCGTCGAGGAGAAGTGTGGATCAGAAGTGTTGCTCATCATAAGTGTCGATCAGAAGTGTGGTTCAGCAGTGTTGCTCAAACTGTCGATCAGAAGTGTCGATCAGCAGAAGTGTTGATCAGGAGTGTTGCTCAGAAAAGTCGATCAGAGAAAGTGTCGCTCAGAAGTGTTGCTCAGAAGTGTCGATTAGAAAAAGTGTGGTTGAGAAGTGTTGATCAGGTGTTGCTCAAACTTGTCGCTCAGAAGTGTCAATCAGAAGTTGTGCTCAGATGTGTCGCTCAGAATTCTAGTACGCGCTGGACAATCGCAACTTTGTGGTGCAAGGCTAGTGCGCGAAGTACAGGTTTCCAGCTCTAGCTGGAAAATCGCAACTTTGTAGCGCAAGTATAGCGCACGCGAAGTACAGGTTTCTGGAAAGTCACAACTTTGAAGTGCAGGTCCAGTGCGCGAAGTACAGGTTTCCAGCTCCAGCTCGAAAATCGCAACTTTGTAGTACCAGTCTAACGCGCGAAGTACAGGCTTCCAGCAGCTGGAAAATTGCGACTTTGTAGTTCAAGTCTAGTGCGCGAGGCACAGGTGCGCGAAGTCCAGCTCTAGCTGGCAAATCACAACCCTGTAGCACAAGTCTAGCGCGAAGTACAGGTTTCCAGCCTAGCTGGAAAATTGTAACTTTGACAAGTGTAGTGCATGAAGTACTGGTTTCCAGCTCCAGCTGGAAAATCGCAACTTTGTTGTACAAGTCTAGTGCGCGAGGTACAGGTTCTTGGAGAATCGCGAAAGTTTAGTACGCGAAGTACAGGTTTCTAGCTCTAGCTGGAAAATCGCGACTTTCTAGTACAAGTCTAGTACGCGAAGTACAGGCTTCCAGCTCCAGCTGGCAATTTGCGACCCCGCAATACAAGTGTATTACGCAAAATAGAAGTTTGCAGCTCTAGCTGGAAAATCGCAACTTTGTAGTACAAGTCTAGTACGCGAAGTACAGGCTTCCAGCTCTAGCTGGAGAATCGCAACTTTTGTAGTACAAGTCTGGCGCGCGAAGTACCGGCTTCCAGCTCTAGATGGAAATTTGCAACTTTGTAGCACAAGTCTAGTGTGCTCGAAAATCGCAACTTTGTAGCACAAGTGTTGCGCGCGATCGCAACTTTGAAGTGCAAATCTAGTGCGCGAAGTGCAGGTTTCCAGCACTAGCTGGAAAATCACAACTTTGTAGTACAAGTATAGTACGTGAAGCAAAAGTTTCCAGCTCTGGCTGGAAGATGGCAACTTTGAAGTGCAAGTATAGTACGCGAAGTACAGGTTTTGAGCTCCAGCTCGAAAAATGCAACTTTGTAGTACAACTCTAGTGCGCAAAGTACAGGTTTTCAGCTCTAGCTGGACAATCGAGTCTAGTGCGCGAAGTACAGTTTTTCCAGCTCCGGCTGGAAAGTCGCAACTTTGTAGTACAAGTCTAGCGCAAGAAGCGCAGGTGTCCCGCTCCAGATTGAAAATGGTAACTTTGTAGCAACGGAGCACGCAAAGTACAGTTTTACAAGCTGAAAAACATAGTTTGCGCAGCTGGCTTGATTGCGAGCCCCATTGGCTTATACAGAAAAATGTTTTCACTAATTATTTTCTTGGGTTTGCGCAAAGTGATGTGCATTGCAGGTTCGTGCTGCGGGATTTAGTATTTTGCCGGGAATCTCCTAAGGCTTTGACTTAAAGGCAACCAATAAGGACACCTATCATTTTGCATGTTCCCCATCTTGAGAGGAACTCATGTTTCACGTTGCACATGGGCTTGGGCAGGAGTTGAAAGACGGCATGGGCCACTTCCTCCTTGCCAGTGACGGAATTTGGGAATTCATGAAGAACGAGGACGTCGCTGAGATCGTTCATCGCTGCTTGTTTGCATGGCCGTGGCCGCCAAAGAACGATTGTTCAGCAACAGGGAATGGTCCACCACTGGAATCAGATGATACCAGCATCTCGATGTCCTTTCTTGTCTCGTGTTTGGAAGGCTCGGGGTTGTCGCTCCAGTGGCCTGTGCCTCCAGGCTCCAACATCTCATGATGCCCTGAATTGAGCATACGTGCCACACCAAGCCCATGCCCACAACACAGAAGAACACCTCACCTGAGCAAGACATTTCGGCAAAACTCTACCCATTGCGACTGACGTGATGGTGCCATGTCTTCAAACAGCACGTTCATGCCACACCGCTTCCTTGACTTTGCAGAGAGAGAGAGGGAAGAACTTCCACTAAAGAAGGCTTGGCAAGCGTCGCCCAATGGAAGGACTGCCTGGCACAATGACCTGGCAATTGGGTTTTGCTTCTCAAAAGGGGGTTTGGATATGTCAACGGCCAAGGGCTGCGAAGCCTAAAGCTGCAGGTCTGCTGTTCAACCAAGGCAGATTGCAGGAAGGCACGCCCAAGGAATTGGTCGTAAAGCAACTTGCAGAGGCGCGTTGTGAGAGATGTTTGTTGCTCGTGGGAATGTCTCAATACGAGCGAGGGATCCTTCCAAGCCGTTGCTGTAATACATGTGGGGTTCCTTCTAAATTGTTGGAACTCATGTGGGTTCCCCTGTGACTAGCGCTGCTTTCACTCCGTTCCCTTTGTTCAACACACACACACACACCCAGACCCTCAAGATTGGGACCCCTGTTGTGGGTGCCCTTTCTTGAATGGGCAGCCAACCACTTTGGGAGCGCCCCAGAGTTTGCGACATTCCGGCCTGCCTCACCTGGCCTTGGCAGGAAGCGCAGTCCAAGTGGAAGGACTGGGAGTCTAAGCGAAGCACTGGTGGCGCACATATGTGAGAATGCGAGCATGCGAGCATCGCGGGATGCACTGCGGCTTTTGGAAGGAGGAGGACGACGAGTATTGTGATGATATTTCCGTCATCCTGGTCGCGGCCGCAGAGCTTGCTGCACAGGGTTGGTCGGAGCGTGTTCGGGTGGTCAAGATTCATTTCATTTGCGCAAAAAAAAGTAACACATTCTTGTTTTTTTTGTAGCCCGACCCTTGTCATCGGCATCCAGGACCCACTCTTTTGCACCCCGTCTTGGGCTGAGGTGCCTGCATTTCAGAAGACTGCTGCTCCGCCAGCCCCAGATGACAGTTGCTTTGGAGGCATGGTCGAGTTCGCCTAAGGTACAGGGGGTCTGGCATGGACAGGGCCTGCAAGGTGTCGAGGCTCCCCCCAAAAAAAGGCGAACAGTGCAACCCGCTTTCCCCGTTTTGTTCGTGAGCATTGGACTAAGAGGTTTTGGAGGTTCCTTTTGCCCAGGCCTCATCTACCTGTCTGAGGAGTGCAGGGGGCGGTTTGACAAGTTGTTTTGAGCCCAGTGCGGCCCTGTAAACAGGAAGCTTCCATTTCTGGTTCGGATTGGAGTTGGCTTGAAGTTGTTCTTGCACGGTCCAACACGTATTGCATCACCAAACCGAACCATCGAGGAAGATAGTAGGCCGCACATTTTGCAGGGATACTTTTAAGACTTGAAAAAAACGGGTGCGCTCTCAAGAGGTGAGCCCGCCGCAAGACTAGGAATTTTCGAGGCAATTCTCGTTTCACCACGACGTACCCATGTACAGTTTTGTGCAAAATGAGGGCTCCGGGGATGGCTGCCAGGCCCCAAAAAGTCCCACTTTTGCCGCGGTCAGTGCCTTCCAAGCAGTGGTTCAAGCTGCTCGCTCAATCCCCACTCTTGCAACCAGCTTCACAGTGTAGGTTACTTCCACTTATGCGCACGCACACACACACACACACATTAAATGACAGTGAGTCTGGTGGAATCGAAGATGCAGCCGCACTGTACGCCATGTCCAGTAAGATCCTGAGACTCGGTCCGTTTGGGAGTCACTTGGGGGGACTCACCAGATGTCCCATAGAAAGGCGAGTTGCCAATTCTTGGCAACCACATGGCTCATTGCCTCGAGGCAAAGACAGAACCAGCTCGAATGACAGGAAGAGCAGCAGGAAGAGCACCAAGGGCAGGAAAGGCACAAAGGAGCGAACCGCCGCAGAGGCAGAAGATCCATTGCCCAGCCAGATGCAACTGGTTTTGCTGTTTTGGGAACCAAATTTGATGCTTACATGCTGATGTAATCAGAGAGCAGCTGCAGATATGTGCCACCCCCAAGGCACCATACATTGCTAGCAGACACATGTCAGAGTATTATCAATTTCCACCATTGATATGCTTAGAAGGTCATAGAAATATGCAACCCAGAAGGGTACCCCCCGATCAGCTGGGAGGTCGAGAAAAGGCTGGCCGAGCTCCGAAAGAAGACCGCCTGCGGAGGGCTGGCAGACTGAAGCTCAGCTTCGAGCCTTCAGGTCTTGGAAGGCTCAAGCGTGACGGGTTCCATCTAATTCTCCCTTAAAGGGGGGGGACAATTTTAAAGGGGAGTTTCGCTTTGGGTGATGTCAGGGGGACTAGATCCCAAATTCCTTGCATCCACGTTTAAGCTGAGCCAAGGCCGAGACAGACTCCGATTCAGATGAGGAGCTGCCAGCGTTTCGGGGGATGTGACACAATGTGAGATGGCCATGTAGGACAAAGCGCCTTCGGTTCCCTCCATCGTTACGGAGGCCTGTTTGTTGTTTCCGCTTGCCCAGCGCGCGGCTGACCGCTGCGCGCTCCGTGAGGTTCAGGCGGCCATGCAGAGCTACAAGCAGTCGAGAGGAGTTCAGGCGCGGGGTGCAGGGCACAGCTTCCGGTGTGCAGATCCGGTGCAAGGAGCACAGCTGCGCGATCATCCGAAACTTGGCGTGCTCCGATGAGTGGCTGGTGTGAAGCTCAGCCGAGAAACTTTTGGGACGGGGGATGGGGCACCTGGACCTGAGAGCTACATCGAGCACATCGATGGCACGGGGCTAGTGCTGGCGGCTCTCGAGAGATTCAAGCTGGCACACTTGGTGCAGGCACGGTACGGCTCATGCGGACATTGTTTTGGTCACAAGAGCCCTCACTTTAGAACACCATTGCAGGGTCAATATAAAGGAAACCATGACTCTGATCCACATCAGCATGGAGTTGTGACCACGTGGCAAATGTTAAAAGACGAGTTGGACGCAGTTGATGAAACGGGGGAAGCGATAGCCTTCTGTTTGAATAACCTTTGCAAGTTGGTGGACATGAGGAAAGGATGTCCGCCAAAGAGTCCCCACACTTCAGCTCGGTGCAGGAGCAAGGCCTGGGCGCGTTCGAGCCCCGGGCCGCTAGCGAGCGATCTTGTGATGTCAAGCCCTGTATTTGGAGTTGGTCTGTGGATGGAGAAACTCTAGCAGTTGGTAGGTGGTCTATTTTCCAACTGGTAGTATCTGTCCGTGCGCAGTAGGGCTCGCCATGAATCCTTTTCTTTACACAATTTGACAAGAATTGATTGACTATGACTAGAAACATGAGTGAGGAAGGTTTGACCATGGCAGTGAGGATCAGCAATCTTGCGAGCAAGAGCCAGCAGAGGGGAAGGCAGGGTCTCAAAATGAGGGCATGGACCCCTGAAATGTTCGGGCTTTTGGTTGGACTTCAAAGCCACAGAATACATGCACACGTCCACACGCAGGTAGCCGAGGTTGGCTCATGTTTCAACGGGGCTCGGTGCTAAGTCTGCCAGGCTCAATGGTGCAATGTCCTTGGTGCAGACCGCCCTCATCGACGCTCGGCTTCCGACTCCAGTTTGACAAATGAGTGGGAAAATCTGCGTAGACAGTTAAGGGATACTCCAACAGCCACTGGGTGCGGATATCCATTGCATTCCCTACGTGTTTGGGTAGACCATTTTGCCAGGATTTAGTTTTGACTCAAAGGCTCTACCGGTGGCTTGTCGAGGAGCATTCCGACAAAGCAGGTGCTTGCGCCCAAGCGTGTGGGGGCCCTTCTGATCCTTCCGAACAGCTTGAACTTGAGTCCGCAACTCAAGGCGCAGCGCTGTGGAACCTGGTAGCAGATCACAAGGAAAACCAGGCTCCGCTAAAAATGCAGGGCTATTCCTTGGTATGTGCGCATGCTGTTGCGCGGCTGGAAGGCTTTAGTGGATCAGCTGCAAATTACGCAGAAAGTGTGTGAGGCAGGATTGCGGCCATGTGCTTAGTGGATGTAACGCCGTAACGCCACGGCAGGCAATAGAGGTGCACCTAGCGGACGAAGAAGTGCTGGAAAACGCGTTTGGGGCCCGGACCTCGGCTGACACGAGCTCAAAATATGAAGACCGCACCGCTCCGGGAATACTAGCGAGAACGGGGATGTCATGGGGAGACAGCAACGCACTGGGTATGTTCCACAAGTAAGTGCAAGGAATGCATGCCACTTCCTCCTGGCATCATTGCATGATGAGCCTTGCAAGAATATGCCAAGGAATGCCGGAATATTATTGAAGCACAGTTTTCTCCCTTACGTCAGAAGTAGCCGCGGGGAAACAGGGTGCTTGCTGTGAACAGACTCTTCTTTTTCTAGTGTCAAGATTCATGCTAGTTATGTTGATCTTGTTTCGGTACTTGATGCCGTTGACGGTGCTGGCGATGCTGGTGGTGCTGGCGATGCTTGGTGCTGGCGATGCTGGTGGTGCTGGCGGTGCTGATGATGCTAATGATGCTTAGCAATGGCTGCCCTGGCAGTGAAATCAGTTTGGAGTGGGGCATGGGCGTAGAAATCTTGCAAGCTCTCCAAACATGGGCGGACTTGTTGTTTCTCTTGCAGCACAGTCCGGATGCTCCGTCAATGAGCCAGGCGATCAGCAACTTCACTTCCTTCAATTTGAGCAACAAGCAGGCCTGACATTTCATGCACCGGGTGTGCTTGCCGGCATAGACTCTGTGCGGGCATTTGGGGGCATCTATACCAAAACAACACCACATACAACCCGTGGCTGGGCAACTCGCTTCGCCATGCAGGCAGTGGTGGACGTGAATGGGCCACGGCCTTGGTGTCTCGCGATCAAACCCATCATGCGCCCCATGTTGAGGGCCGGCAGCATCTGCCGCGGCGCTGCCGGCATGGCATTTCCAAACTGGTTGATGGTTCGATAGGGTCAGATGTTTCTTCCAGGGACTAAGTAAAATACCATCATCCACCGTATGAAATGAAATTGGGAGCTCCTTTTCACGGATTTCTGGTGTTTCACTTCAACAAACTGTCAACAAAGCATGTAGGGTTTTGGCACACGTCCTTTGTGCAAAGTGTCAGAATCCTCGGAGTGATGGGCCAGAACATTCGGTCCCGGGTGGAGCTTCTTCCGGATCAATTGGCCATGGGTTCTTTGCCTGTTTTACACAGCCTTGTCTCAAAATCAGGAAAACTCCCACATTGACATGACGGCGACTTCCTTTGCAGTCTCTTTCAAAGCCAAAAGGGGCTGCCCCAAAACATATTTTGCGGCCTCATTTGCATATCTTTTCTTGGGTAGCCTTTTTTTGGGTGGTTTGAAGGGAAATCACAAGCAAAAACACCGGGCCCCTTATTTTGGACACATCCAATTCCTCCCAACAAATTGGGCGGGCAGGTCACGCCACGCCAGGCATGCAGGAACACCTCACCGCCACGCCCGCCGGGCCCCGAGCTGGGAGTCGGCATTGGCGATGATCTGGGGGGAGATCCAAGGAAAACCAATCTTTTCGGGGTCCTGTGAAGAAAGCAGCCGCGCTTTTTCCCGCAAATTCTTCCAGAGGGATTTTCCGATTACCAACTCAGGGGTTTATCATGAGGGGTGAGCGTGAATTGTTGGAACGCCCTGATCAGCCGAGCCACCACAAAGCAACACAGCACTTTCAAACGCAAAACAGAACTACTGACAGCTGGGGTTAAGAAAAACCAGCCACCACCTTTGCAACTAGCCGAAACTGCATCTTTCCAGGTTTGTCTCAAAATAGGTGAGCCCCAAAATGGGTGGTTTCCTTCTGGCCTCCGCTGACAACAACAACCCCAGGCGGGAGCCGTGTTCGGCCGTCTTCCCGCGCGCCCGCGCGCCCGGAGCGCCGAGGTCCAGCGCCAGGGCTGCGCGGCGCTGTGGAGCTCGGGCCTGGGAGGCTTTTGGAGGCTTTTTGGATCTCATGGACTGATCTTGACGCAATGGACCAAAAGGCAGAGAAGTCTGCGACCTCTTGGGCTCCTGAGCGCTCTGACATGTTACAGAATCATTCCGACTGGGAGGACAATTTTCATGGGCTTCTCTCCTTCTCCAAACTTACTTGTCCCCTGCAAAATCCTGAGCCCCAAAATGGCTACGTTTGTTTTCGCGTTGGCAACTTGTCCTGACACTGCCGGGGGCGGGTTTCGAACCTTCATATGAGGTTCGGCCAGAGCATCCAGTAGTCGGTCAAGGGACATCGGGGACTCACTAAATTCTAGGCATAATCAGTGAGATCGTGAGCTTTCCTATGTCCTTTACGGGAACTGCCTAGTTTGGCCGCTCATATCTTCAAATCACTGAGCTTCCTGAGATGCATCACGTGTTTGAAGCAGAAGCACCACTCCCTCCCGAAATGAGGGGGGTATATACCGTTTATATAGTGGCATATAATGGCGGCATTCCATTAACCCCTTGGGGCTGTGGGTTAGAGGTAAGGAACCCTGGCAGGGACTTGCCGCAGCCCGGGGTTTGCCAAGGCCTTGCGGCGAACAGCGAGGCGGCTCAGGCCGCTCTTTTCGAGGCCAAGGCCCTTTCCACAGTCATGGCCTCAGATGGCGAGCTTTTTTTTTTTTTTTACACAGGTGTACACACTGTTTAAGAGCTGCTGGGGGCTGCAAGAAACACGTCTTCGGAGGCCACGGAAGGGTTTCGGGGTGGGGGGGGGGAGTGGGGGGGGAAGGGGGGGTTATTGCGTTCGGTGCTGTGTATATAATTGCGGGCCAAATGACATCAGATTTGTGCCACCTATGTTGTTGTCTCACCCATATCATACCACCCCGTCCTCATACTGCTCCGTCTTGGCCACCAAAACTGTACGTCAATATTTAAACGTTGGATTAGTTTGAGGACATTTTCAGTTCTTGCCAGTGATCAGTTCAAGCAGGGTTGGAAGTGGTGTTTGACCTGCGTTCAACTCTTAATCAGATTACACCGATGTACATATATATATATATATATACATATATATATATATACACACACACGTGTGTTCCCACATTCAGAAATATATGCTAAGCTGAACAACCTTGACCCACGGATGTTGAGAATAATTATGTCTCACTGACAGACCGCATCTCGTGTGGGAGTGTCTTTGAAGGCTTTCGCAAGGAAGCGAAGTGAAAAAGTGCCGTCCGCCTGGACGCTCCCCGCTCTCACGTGTTTGGCGTGTCTACTTGAACTTGCCGAGAAGAGCACTCAGACACACAGCCAGACAGACACAACACACAGGTCGACACCAAAAGCGGTCAAGAACGGAACCTTTCGGCCAACCCGGGGCTTCTCAGGTCTGCCGTGCTATGGGCTCCGAGCCTGTCGCTGGCTCAGGGCTTGCATGGCGACCCTTCTTGCAGAGGGCACCAGCGGTTCTCCAAACATAGTGATATACATACGGCCAGCCCCTTAGGTTTGCCTGCGCCCCGAACCAACGCCCCGACACAAAAACCCAAAACCTAAACCCTAAAAACCAGAAACCTAAACCCTAAAAACCAGAAACCTAAACCCTAAAAACCCTAAACCTAAACCTTAAAGCCCTAAACCTAACCCCAAACCCAAACCCTAAAAACCCTAAACCTAAACCCTAAAACCCTAAACCTAAACCCTTAAAAAAAACCAAACCTGCTTGCAGAAACCTAAGCCCTAAAAACCCTAAACCTAAACACCCTAAACCTAAACCCTAAAACCCTAAACCTAAACCCTAAAAAACCCCAGACCTGCCTGCTACCCACGCCTCGTGGTACCACAGCCCCACGTTCTGAAGAGAACGCAGGTCACCACGTGTCAGGTATGGCTGCACGAGTTCTGCTACTTGAGTAGTAAAGGGTGCCATACTTGAACCATGTGCTGGACAAGGGTGGATTAGGGGGTGCCGGCAATCCACGGGGGCTGTGGGTATACATAGGAACATACATGTATGTAGGTACACATATTATATATATATATGGGTGTAACATTTATACACACATACATGAGTTCAGTTTTGCGTTCACGCAGATACACCTGGTTTGGGCTAAGCAGAGTCTTCAAAAGTTTTTAAGGTTTCTTTCACCCAAGGAATCTGGGAGACGGAGACCACATCCGTGATGAGTAGCCAGCAGGGATTGCCTCAAAATCCACATGTGGCAAGATTTTGCGGCGTCATGTGCGTGTTTCCTGATAGTGAGTACACATTTTTGTTCCTTTGCCTTGTTTCCCTCTGAAACCAACTGAAAGCTTGATCCCGGATTATGCAAGTGCTCTCTCTCTCCCCCCCTCTCTCTCTCCCCCCCTCTCTCTCTCTCTCTCTCTCTCTCTCTCTCTCTCTCTCTCTCTCTCTCTCTCTCTCTCTCTCTCTCTCTCTCTCTCTCTCTCTCTCTCTCTCTCTCCCTCTCGCTCTGTTACATATTCTTCTGCGGAGTCCGAGATCTTCTCCCACCGTGTGCGCCGAGATGGATCCGAATCTTCAAGAGAACGGCTGTGGGCTGGTGCGGAATCTCACCGTGAGCAACGAAGACTGTAAGGCGCAGCGCCTGGATTCAGTCGCAGGGGAATAGGGGCTTCGTCTGTCAAAATGGGTTGACACGCCCACAAAAAGATGAGCGGTCTTGAGGTTGTCTGAGTGGACGAGAAGGGGGGTCATTTGGACTAGACACATTTTCTGTGCCCTCTTGGGGGAACAGTAATCTCAGGGGCTCATTTTGCTTTCCCTTGAACCCAAGCGAAGGGGTACTGAAGCGTAACCACCATAAGGATTCAAGGATCACCGGAAATGGAGTTGACTCTAGCGGATTTGGCATCCACCACAAACATGTCCCTGAGACAAATTGTGGTTGCTGTGTTTTCCGCGCTGGGCCCGCTGGATTCACCTTCGTTTCGGGCGAGGTGCAGGCCATTCAAGTGGGATGTGCCGAGAAGGCCTGCGGGGCTGTGGGGGGAGGACCGGCTGGCTGGCTTCAATGTCAGAGCCCCCACACCACAAACCTACTTGCAAAGGATTGGGGATCAAGTTGCTGCCTTTTCCAGACTCTGCATGTGCCAGGGATTTGGGGTTAGGGCCATCTTTGACTGCGAGGTCTGTGCTGCCTTGGCTCGGCACGAAGACGTTCGCGTGTGCTTGGCTCGGTGTTTTTTGTCTTTGTGATTGCTCAAGGGCGAACCAGTGCCGTTTGGAAAGAGCTTCCAATAAGCTCAGAGCTCGCTGCCAATTTGCAGGCGGAGACAAGGATGCGGCGCGCTGTTGAACATGGCGTCAGTGCAGCCAGAACATGTCGAGGAGGGCGAGTGGAGAGCCAGCTGCGTGTCTGGATTTTGCCACCCGATGCAGGAATGCCATCATGCAATTGTTCAGCTCGATGGTGTCAGCCGACTTTGCCTGGCGATCTCTAGCCACCTCAAGGACGCGGCTCTTGAGCCTTCTCACAGGAAATGTGTGGTTTCACGATCATCTTCGAATGCGCCATCGAAAGAAGTCCAACAGTCCCTTGTTTTGACATACAGCCAATTGAAACCACCGCATCCTGCCAGGAGGTCTCTGTTGTTGAGCCAGTCGGGTGCTTAGCTGGATTGGCCTGGAAAAGTCTTGTATTTTGTGGAACGGGACGTGCCTGGATCTCCCAAGTATGGCAACTGGGTAAGTCCTATACAATTGGTCTTAGTTTCGCCGTGAAAACGCCAATCCTGCAGCCATCAACAGGCGTGGGAACACGTGTGCGTGCTCGCTCACGCACGGACGCGTGGGTGCGTGCGCAAGGGGAACATCCAACCCTCTGCTGACCAATGACGCTGGAACTACAACCACTCGCACGGAATTTTGTAGATTGTTGCAACGTAGGCATTGCAGAGTTCAGGGTTGGCACGCAGGCTACCACTAGAGTAATCCCGTCCCGCAATGAGCATGCATAGGTGGCTGTTAGGGCAGCTTGTGTGCCCCCAACCCCTCCAGTAGGCTGGTATACGCTTTTGCTTAGGCAATCCTGGGACCGATTCTTGTTTTCTGTCGCTGCGGCAGCAGAAGCAGTCCACAAGCCAAGGGCTGCTTCGGTCATTCCTTTCCATACCGATGCCATGTGCTGTCCAATCCGGGCGCGAGCAGCATCCAAGTCGTTTTTCACCTCCCCGTTTTCATCTCCAGCATATGCAGCTAGAGCCAGGGAAAGCATTCGTTCGGCCCAAGAAAAGCACCGTTGGTACCTGGCACTGGATGGGCCCACGAGTTTGATGGAAAGTGTACGCAGGAGGGTTTTCAGTTGTTGCACCGGAAACCCACCATTTGTCGAGGCCCTGCTATTTCCACATATGCGCAAGTATATTGCAGGAAGCGCCATGTGGGGCGTGCCTTTGGAATCCCCTTCCTTTGGCACATCCCAAGTAAGAGCCTCTGTCACGGCCGTTTGCTGAGGCTTGCGGGGCGCTCCGAGCCTTGGCTTCTGGCGCGCAGGCCTTTCAAGCGCCAAGATTATTATTCACCAGGGTCACACATAACATATATATATATATATACATATTAATATATATATATATAAACACGTATATATGCACGCGTTGCAGGCATATATATATATATATGTATACACACAGATATATGGATGTCTGTATACACATGCATACCTACACAAACAGTGCTATTCCTAAAGCTGTATTTTATAGGGGCGGGCCACTAGGGAGGTCAGCTTGTCATCAGGATGCTCGCGGGAAGTCAGTCGTTTTTGCTGGCAAATGTGCCAGTCTGCAGGCTGGGACCCATGGCCGGCGGCCGAGAGAATGACACAGTGTCAAAAGCTGGGACAACATTTGGGATGGTCTTTAAAGGAATCCAAAGGGACCCCGACTGTTTGGAATCTGGAACTTGTTCTGACCCATATCAAATGTGAGGCAGCTATGATGCGCACATGCAAGGGTGCATACTGAGGTCCACGCGAGAAGATCTTGCTACACGACGAGTTAGCGGCTAGCCTAGATTTCCGTTGTCAAGAGAATGCAAATGTCATGGAGTCAACATCAGTTCATTTGCTTCCTTTGCTGCTTTTTGGCAGACCTGTCAGCCATGCCTAAGCAATGCCGCACACGTGTGCTACACAGGCGCACACGTGCAAACACACAGCACACATAAGTCATCATTGAATGGCTCAAGGACCGCTTCACTGTGAACTGCTTCGCTCAGGTGCCTCACGTCATACGTGCGTCTTTTGTAAACCTGGAATTCAACCTTGTGCTTGGGGCTGAGCCGCGGGAATCCTCCGATATCTCCGAGAGAGCTCACAGGACCCATTTGAGGCAGGAAAACCCTGTGAGGTTCGGTCAAAGTTTATCTGTGCACGGACATGGGGACACTAATTTTCACAATTTTTGACCACGCGAGGCATCCCCTGTGAATCTCGAAGCTCATCCATGGCTCCCGACGTCCCGGCTCAGGCAGCGTCATTGTCTCGAGGCTTTGCGCCACGTGTCAGGCGCTTGGAATGTGAAGCTGAGGGCCCTGCTAAATTTGCCAGTGGTCCTGAAAAACGTACGGGCTGATTCTTTTCCACGCAAAGGCCATTTGAAGAAGGCCCACAACCGTCCCATCACTCCCCTTGTGGCTCATCAATATTGGTCCTTCACATGCGCATGAAGCTGCTCACTTCTGGAATCGCTGGAGTCCGAGGTGTGACTGGGAATCTGGAGCCGCAGAAGTCAATGCAGCCCGAGGCGTGGCTTCGTGTCAGTCGCCCAGAAACTCTGCTGGCTCCGAGGCGCGCTGGCTACATGCAGAGCCATGGCCAGGCGGGGCGGACCGAATCGGAGTCGGAGTGACGGTTTTGTTTCGGCTGAGGCAGTGGCAGGACCCAGTGGTGCAGGAGCGCGGGTGCGGGATCTTGAAAGGCCCGGCGGTTCACTGGGCTGGTTTCGCAGCTGCAGATTTGGTTGTGTTTGTTTCTACAAACTGGGGGTCGGGGCTGGGGTCGGTGGGGTCTGAAATTTGAGCCAGAGCCAGTCCTAGTCTTTGTAAGTGGGCAAGAAAGGAAGCTTGCCATGCCAGACGAAGGGCTGAAAAGACGCGGCTGATGACGGACGAAGCCTGCATGACCCAGTTCAATATGAAGCCACTCACAGAAAGAAGCTGAAGAGTATAGAGCTGTACTCACGGTACTTTGACTGCCTTCATCCGGCACTAAATGCCGGCACCGGCACCGTCCACTTCAGCAGCTCCAGCTTCATTTGCATCATTGAAGAGAGAAGCCGCTATGAAGCCACTCAATGTCCCAGAGAGGTAAAGGTCGGAGACATTCGATCTCAATCTCTTGGTCGCTCTCTCTTCTGCCCTATTTTCAAAAAAGCTCTTCTTTGAAAACATGTAGATTGAGCGCACAAGACTCTGAAGCAAACAGTGTTGTTTGCTAAGGCATCATTCAAACATGCATACTGCATGGAACACCCCGTGAGACTGCAGCCCCCAGCATGCAAGTGATAACTCCTGGCCTGGTTGAAGTAGTGCACACCCTGGGCAGCAGCCAGAAGCAGGAACAAACTTGCAACAGCTAAATGCATTGCCGCCAGTACACAAGCATACTTCAGATCTTCTTTTCTGCTCTCTTCCACTGCCCTCCAAGCAAGATAGCATTCCTAGGAATTTCAGGTTCCAAACTCCTGGGTCATGATGACAATTCTTTTCTTTAAGGCCCTCAGCCCATCTTGATGTTTGATGCCATGTCCAAACTTCACTGATCTTTCGTGAAGCTCTTTCAGCACGGCAGCGTCGGATTTCTCAGTACCCTCGGCCTTCAGCTTGGCAATGAGATGGCGAAGCTGGTCCAAGAAGGATTCCACTTGACCAAGGACTTGAGCATACTGGTCACACTTCTCATTCACCATTGTTGGCTTCTTAGCCCCTGCCCTGAGATCCTTGATCATGGAAATGCAGCTCTGCCACTCCTTTCCACCTTTGGCTTGCAAGATTCGAGGACCTTCAAGTCATTCTGCACCTGCACGTGCTTCTCTAACTTGATAACAGGGTCATGTTGAGGGATTTCAACTGGGAGATGTTCTGGTTGGCCCCTGTGATCTTCAACTCAGTCGATCTCATTTCGGTGTCCTTTGTTTCCACCACTTCAGGACGAAACACGTAGTAATACTTCGTGAGCATGGGGTTGTCTTCGTTCACCTTGATCAAGAGGGGTTCTCGGTACTGTCCACCAGACCCTCTACCTTGTAGCAATCCTCAAGCAATCCCTTAAGGATCTTCTGGGCGTTCTTGGTTTCCATCTGGTACCATTCAACTTCAGAATCTGGGTCCCACACCTAGAACGACAGACCATCAAAATCAAGAAGTTTTATCCAGTATTGAAACTTATGTTTAAGTTTAAAGTGTGGTTCATAATTAAACAAGGGCTGTGCATGTAAGACATCCCAGAAAACTGCCAGGATATATAAGACCCTCTTTGACACCACTGGTAGTGCTTGATGAGGAGGTACTGGTGTCGATCATGTTGCAAAGCACTTGCAAGTTCCCTTTGATGCCTCCACTAGCCTGATACCGTCCAACGAGAGCCTTTTTCTCGTCAGCGCTGAGTGAGTGGTAGGTCTGCCAGGGTCTCAAGAAAACACAAGGATTAATGTTAGATATCTACATAAGATACTATACTGGGGAATCCCATCACACTTGAAAAAGCACACTCCAAAAGCATATTTAGTGAGTACACAGTGACTGCCTTGTCCCATTGGGTGAAACATCATATGGGAGTATGATTCCCACGCCTCCAAAAGCTGCTGGGAGCCTCAGCTGTGTGCTTGTCCTTGGGGTTTTTGGCCTTGTACTTCAATGCCGTCAGGAAGCTCGAGATCTATTTTCGGTCAACCCCATCATCACGAACCTCAATGGATTTGTTTGCAGCATCTTTGCCAGGCTTTCTCTGCTTGGCGATGTTCTTAGGGGCTGCCTTTGCAGCACTGTTCTTGGTCATGTTTTCAAAGCACAAAGTAAGTGATCAAGGGTATGTCCAATTTGAGCAAAATCACTCAAAACACACCATAAACCAAAAAATGTGAACTCAAAACACACCATATATCAAAAAAAGTGATGGTTACAACAAAGTATCGTTTTTGTTTTTTGGTTTAACACTTTTTGAGCTGTTAAAAATCTTGCTTACATTTAAAAGTAAAAGGAAAGTGTATTTTTAACAGTTAAAACAGGCTAAACAAATAACTTTTTTTTAACCATCACATTTTTTGATATTGGCCAGCTTCCATGTTGGTTCATATGTCAAAATATCATGATTTTTGGGCTCCAGGCATTCAAGAAAGTACCCGAAGTGCAGCTTCCTCAAGTGTCCCAAATTCTGTTGAGGTCAGTGTTTGACTCCAAAACAGTTTCAACCTTGTCCCATATTCAGTGGATTGATCGAACTAAGTTCAGGTACTAGCCCACATTAACATGCAAGGATTCTCTCCACAGTCTCATTGATGCAAAAGCGACTGGGCTCCTGGCAGCTGGATGGTTTGGATCTTGCTTGGCCAGGATGCAGTATGGTCTCACTGAGTACCCGTGCAACCACTGTCTGCTCATCCCACACCTGAAAAATGATGGCGTATCATCTCAGAGAGGAGAACATTGGGCTTCAGAATGCATGGCGGCCATAGTTAGTTGTGAATTCCCAGGATCAAACTGATGATTTCTTCTTTGCGGAGATAACCTGCTGCTAGAAAAGCAAAACACATCATGCAACTTCCCCATCTTTACTAAGTAATCTATTCCAGGAATCACTCCTCCGGGGGGCATGAAACAAATGCAGGCGCTGCACAGCCATCTACATGCATCGAACTTTTCCTCCCATTTGTGTGCGGCCAGTGGCGGACACCGTTCTGCAGGGCGAGCTTTTGAAAAATAATGCGGGCATCCACTTCCAAAACGCAAAGATGACCGGCGCGCTTGGGAATCCTCAGCTTCCAGGTGCTTGAGCAAGTGACGCACCATCAGTTGCTGAGCCAGATCAATCAATGCTCCTTAAAGTGCCATACCATCACCCAGTGAAGGTGCTGTGGCACGGGACTCCGGTCATGGCCCCCCCAGCCGTGTTCTGCTTTGGTCACGGACTGTCGTGAAGAGCCCCTTGCCCTTCCGCCCGTATGTCTCCTTGGTGCGCTGCCGGCAAAAGACCCGTCCAGCGGACCAACGCCTGAAGGTGTGAAAAGCGGCGCTTCGGAAGAGTCAGTGGCTGCACATTGCACGCGTGCTCTGAGCTTTGCCATGTGAGCGCAAAGTATCCGTGTGCGTTTTCAGCATGTTTGTCACGCAGGGTGATGTTCAACATGTCGTGTTGCCTCGTCATTGTGTGGAGAGGTGCAGTTTTTTGCCTTCACGTGTCCTTGCTCGATTGTTCTCTTCTCGCAATAGTTGTTGCGCTTCATATCTTCCGGTTTCAGTCCTAAGGCTCATCCGTGAACTGGAGGGCATCCAGGCATTCCTGCAGACTCAGCAAGGCGTTCTGGGACAGCACTTTGATGGCGTCATGAAATCCCAGAAAGAGTCAGTGGTCAGAAAGCTTGACGGTTTGTCTGGATTGACTGTCGAAGAATGCATTCAATGTTCCGAGCTGATTGGCCAGGGCCCCTGGACTGCGGAGCAAGCCAAGGAGCTCTGCCTTCAAGTTAGCCCAGTGCAGGGGCAGCAAAAACTGCGACCCAAGCGCGAGAACCAGGAGTGCATCAACTTCTTTCTGAGCCACGTCCCAGGTCCTGGAGAGCCCGTGTAGTTTGGCCTCCAAACTTCAGTGCGCCGCTGTGAGGTGTGCGTCCATTGGACTGCACTGGCCCAGCGAACGCACTTGCGCATGTTGTTTCAACGCTGCGTGCCTTGGGATCTTCCGGCCGGCGCCGGTGCGCGGCGCCGGCCCAGAGTCTCCAATATTGCTTAAAGAAGAAAGCCCCTTAAATTAAATAAACAATGTTGTTTTTTGACATTAATGTTGCTTAAATAAGCTGTTTTACACAGCTTACTTAAGCAATTTGCATACCTCCTATTTAAGCAATATTGCTTCTTGATAGCGTGAAGGCTTAGAAAGTCAGGCTGCTTTAGAGGAGCTTGTTGTTGGCTAGGCTGGGAGAAAGTTGGGTTCCCAACATCAGGAGACGAAGGAATTCAGGAATTCTTGAGCAACTTCCTTGTCGAGGAACTTCGGTGATGGCCTGCCACATCAGCTCATCTCGGGCCCGGATGTTGTCCAAGGAGATGCGGCCCTCCGAGCAAACCGCAGGGTTGACTTGCTGCTCGCAGGTCCGCAGCACAAAGTTCGTGTGCGACCCGCGCAGGGTGGCGGCCTTGAGCAACGCCGGCCCCAAGTGGACCAGGGCGCCGCCGGCGTTGGCCACCAGTCTGGCGTTGAACTGCCGAACGTGCTCGCCCTTGATCTGCGCAGCGATAGCGTTCACTCGCTCCGGCAAAAGCCTACTCGGTCGCGATGGAGTCCAGCAAGTCTCGCGCGTCCCCCGCATTGACTCCGAGCCGGGTGAACAGTGAGGTGTTGGGGCTGCGTGCGAATCATGTGCACAAGGTGGGCCGACTGCAGGGTTGCCAAAATCCCGTGCACCGTTGAGACCAACTTCTCGCCATCCTTGGCCTTCGCCAGCATGGACTCCGCTTGGCGCCGCACAGCCATGGACACCAACGTCGTTGCAAGCGAGTGCAAGTTCGTGCGTAATGCGCAAGTTGATCTCACAAACAGTGGCTCGAGCACATGACACGCAGCAATCAAGGCGAGTGCGCTTTTGCAGCATGTTGATCTGCCGCTGACGCGTGCGAGCAAAGCCCTGCGTGACACGCGCATGTGCAATGATGCAAATAGAACCTTTGGGAAGCAGCGTGCAAGGTATATATATATCTATAGGCGAGTTAGGTTGAACGCACTAAGTCTGCCAAGAAGTGTGTTACACAAGTTCACTGGCCAGAGTTAGCCCACTTAAACAAGTGGAGGTAGAACTAGGTCCATACTGGCAAGTAAGTGCAACAAATAGCAACAGGACATTGTAAATAAGCACACTCATTTACTAAAACACACAATTAAATGCCTCATGTAGGAAAGGTATAACCTCTGTTGGAGAACTTGTAAATCAACTTGCCATATATACTCTGTTTCTTTTCTTCTCTAAGCAGAAAGTAAAAGGCCCGCCCCTTCAAGTAGGAACTGGCCTCTTCACACCCCTCCCCTGACTCGGGCACGCGACTTTAAGCTCGGCCCTTGGCCGTGCAGTCCGGAGCGTCGAGCTTGCAAGTTTACGACGCAACTCTTTGGGAATACGGTACGCACACACACATCACAGACATGCATGGACATAGCCGGGTAAGTATGCTTAAACATAACCAGAATCAGAAGTCGTCCACAGCCCGTGGCTGACCGTCATGGGTCTTGTGCAGATGCCAGAGCTCGCGAATAGCGCTTTTCAAACAACATGTTCTTTTCTGCAGCATAGATGCTTCTTCGCAAAGAAAGACAGTGCTGGAAATTCCTGGATTTTGGCAATTCCTCGGATTTTGAGCCCTGGAATTTGCAAGCCTCGAATGCCTTCCGACTCGTACCTTGTGCATGCTGAGTAACATTGCTTTCCCCTATATTCACCTCGCAAGGGCTGGTTTGCTTGCGGCCAAGCGTGGGAATTTCCAATGGATCCGAGCTGCTAGACATGAGGCCAACAGAGTTAGCTTCTTTGCCGTCTTTCCTCCAAGTTCCATCTGGGTTTGCCAAATTACTTCGCTTCGAGCAATCCCCGCCCTCCACACTCACGGGCTTACGAGCGTGAACACGGTTGTGTGAGTTCAAGCATGGTTTTCGAGTGGCTTGGGGCCTATGACTGCTCAACAAGCTTTGCGTTGAGAGCCTTATCCACCTGTTTGTGTGTCAACCTCCACTTGTCTGCGAGCCGATCTCGAGAACTCAATCATCGGTTCCGTTAACAAAAGCCAAGCCCCTTCCAAACAGAAACCCGACGGAGCCTCAGGGTACACTCAAAAAGCACGAAGGCACCAACATGAAATGTAAACCCAACTGTTCGCCGGGCGGGGCATTAAGCAAAACCTGGCGAGCTGCTCTGGCGGGATACTGGCGCCACTGGCGAACACTGGCGAGCCGCTCCGGCTTGTCGCTGGGATACTCGGCAAGATCCACCAGCAAGGCCATACTTGGTGCGATTTATTGGTGAGTTACTCTGGGATACTCAGCGGGATACTTGGTCCACTGGCAGGCTGTGGGGTACTCGGCGGGTCCGAGCTGCTGGCTGTGCGGGACCCACTGACGAGCTGCTGCCCGGCTACTTGGCGGGATCCACTGGCAAGCTACTCTGGGATCAGCGGGATACTTGGCGGATCGACTGGCAGGCTCCTCTGGTGGGATACTCGGCGGGATCCACTGACAAGCTACTTTGGTGGGGTATTCGGCGGGATCCACTAGTCCGCTTCTCTGGACGAGCTACTCTGGCGGGATATTCTGCAGGGATCCACTACTCTGGGATACTCAGCGGGATACTTGGCGGGCCCACCGGCGGGCTCTACTTAGTACTCGGCGGGATCCACTGGCCAGTGGATCCCGCCGAGTATCTCGCCGAGTGTCCCACCAGAGCAGCCCGCCAGTGGATCCCGCCCAGCGTCCCGCCAGAGCTGCTCGCCAGTGAGTGTCCCGCCGAGCGGCTCGCCAGTGGATCCCGCCAAGTATCCCGCCAGAGCGGCTTGCCAGCTGCTCTGGCGGGATACTGGGTGGGGGCGTGGTGCAGAAGCATCGCAAACGCGGATTCCAGCATAAAATCTAACAGCCCCTTCCTGTCGAGATGAATTCAAAAGGGCTTGCTACTTCAATCACTCCGCAGGCCTCGCTGGCACAATCCTCAGATCTGACTTGTGCTAAGCGCTTGCCGCTTGCGCTTTGGTTCTGTCTGTGAGGTGTCAAGGATGGCCCTGCCTCAGTTGTCTCTGCTGGAGGGCCGCCGACTGAGCCGACCTTTGCTTTCTGTTTGGATCCCGCGCATTTTTGTCCTGAGCAGCGTGCAGGGTTGTAGGCCCATTCTGATTGAATGGAAGCATTGCTACTTTGCTGTTGCCGGCGCCTTTTTTGCGACAATCTCAGCTGAGCTGTTCTCCGTTTGTAGGCGTGTGCATGGTGACACGCGTTTCCTTTTGAACTGCATGTATCTCCACGTTTCTTTGGAACACTGTGACCGACCGGCGAAAGAAAAGGCGAAGAGGACTGTCCTAGGACAAGAAGCCGAAAACCGGGGTCTTTTGTCCTGGGCCGAGGTTGGCGCGGATTGCCGCGGCCCTACGCAGCTTCCGGGAAGAGCGGGGCCTGCAGCTGTCGGCTTTCGAGGCGAGGGGGTGGGGTGGGGAGGGGGTGGTATGGGGTGGGTGGTGGGAGGCATGGTGGGGAGGATGGTTCTCGTTGTTCACCAAAGGCTTTCTGCATATGCAAAGCAATATGCGATATGTAGCCGATTCAAGTTGGAACCTCGAGGCTTTCACTTTAGCGGCGCGAAAGACACGGGGCCTCCCTTTGATATCACCCATTTGGGATTTGCTTCTTGGTTTGGAGCTCCGATGGCACTAGTTGCGCCGCCAGTAAGTTCCGCCTCAGTTCCCGCGAGGCCTTGTTGGCGATGTCCAAGGAAGCTGCTCAAGATGTGGAGGCAACTCGCGGTTGCGGGGCATCTCTTTTGCGGGAGGGTTTTGGCTTCTTGGGCTCATATGAGCAGCTGGCAATGTCATTGGTAGCTGTTGGACATTTGGGGTGACTTGTGGGGGGGAGGGACCCCACAAAAATTGGAGGGCCAAAACGCCGACTTTCTTTGATTTCTCTTGGAAAACAAACAGGTCTTTGATTTTTAGGCAGGCCTGACATGCTGTTTGGGACGCTGGAAAATCCGGCTTTGCCGGCCTCCGTGCCAGGCCTCTGGCTGCCGTCAAGCGATGCTGCTGTCCATGCCGCATCAGGACTTTCCGTTGCTCGCGGCAGCCCAAGTCCGAAAGTTGAGGGGCGCCAAAGCCTTGGTCAGAAAATATTTGTGCCTTGTGTCAACGGGTCCCATTTGTAGTGCTTCATTTACGCTGGTAGTACCGAAAAGCCAGTGGCTTGTGGGCGTCAGTCGGCCGGCTTTACAATCCTTAGCTGTTACCCCAGAATTCAAGCATACGCTGACCAATATCACCGTGTTTGGAGTTTTGGGCTGGGCCCATTATTTTGACTTTGTGTGTTCCAGGGTTGTGAAGTGTTACGGGTAAAATCATGGGTCCAGCCCATTGCCGGCAATACCCAGCTCTTCAGTGGTTGCCGTTCACCAGTAATCCGTTTGCTCATCTTGAGAGCCCATCCAGCCATAACAACTTGAGGGTCCCTCCGGCTGAGGTGGTGGGCTGCGGGGTGTTGCGCAACCTGGCCCTGGGTGATGTCGCCGCCGTGCAGGCGAGGGGCAACTTTGAGATTTGCCTCGTGCCACCGTAACCCCATTACTGTCATTTTTTACAGCACAGGGTTCGGTGGTTGGTGCGCTTGCAGTTCGGGATTGCGGGATGACATGGGATGGAAGCGGGACCCAGGTTGACCGTTCTGGTTTGCCTGTAATTGCAACTCAAGCGTTTGTACTGAGTGTTCTCCGAGCATTTGCTTGCTCAGGAAGCTCGGCAGCTGCTGACAAGTTACCTGGACAACTTCCCAGACGAGGCATCGGAGCATGCGTCGAGCAATTTTCGTCCTTTTGCTGCCAGGTGGACTTGCTCGTAGCAAGCTTGAACGCTCTGGCTGAGATCTGCATTCTGGAAGGGCCCAACGATGCTGATGCGACGCTGACAGCGGCCGTTTCCTCCGCGTTGGCACGGCACCCAGGTTTGACTTGAGCGATTCAAAGAGGGCTCCCGTTTTTTGAACTGGTCGACTCTGTCTGCTTTGGTTTTTGTGCTTGATTTCGAGGTCGCACATAAGAAGGTGGCCAGGGTGCAGGCAGGGCCAGCTGGCTGGCTATGCCTAGACGTGCGCATCATGCAGGCTGCTGGACTCAATGTTTTCCGGGCGATGGCGGTCATAGGCAGTGTCCTTTTCAGTGCCTTGCCGACTTGCTGATATCCGCGTGTGTGCGGTTGAGGCAACCAGTCCCTTGATGCCGCCTTGGAGGCGACGAGCTTCTCGAGCCTTCCCGCTAAACCCTGGCCGGACCCGGCCAGGCCCGCTGCATTGAACGAGCACGTGCCGGGCTCGATCTCACTCTCTCTCTCTCTCTCTCCTTTTTTTTCTCTTCTCTCCTTTTCTCTCCTTCTCTTTCTCTCCTTTTTTTGTTTTTTCTCTCTCTCTCTCTCTCAAAGAGTTTTGGTTGTGCGGAAGAGAGTACCGAAAGCGCGGCAAGGCCTGGCCTTCACCGATCACAGGGGGGACGAGGCGCGAGTGGGTGTGTTTTTTGTAGAGCCCTTTGGTTCGCTGAAAACCGAAGGGACCACCCGAACTTTATTTTTGGGTGTCCCAATGTTGAACCAACGTGCCGTGTTCAGAGTTCAGTCCATTTGTGAGGCTGTGCAAGCCAGAGGTTGCGAACTTCTTCGACGCGCCAGGGCCTCAGGGCTGCGCGGCAAACTGGACCACCAAAATCCAGAGTATGGGATTTAGCATTGGGTATGGCTCAAAATCAAAGAGCTGGGGGTTACGCGGGTTTTAGTCTTTGATTCCATTTACCAAGGTGCCATTTTGGTACCACTTTTTTGAGCCACAGCCAATTGGGGCAAGGTGACCCTGACATTCAAAAAACAGCCAGACGAGCATAGTTCACAACTCTTTCCTGGATTCCTTTCAGCTCGAGCCAAGCGATGCCGAGTTTCCTTGTGGCGAGTTTGCGAAGACATGGCCTCAGGTAGCTGCATCAGCCGCAAACTTACGTGCAGCGCCCAGTCACATTTGTTCATGAATCCCTGGTTTGGTGGAGGCTGTAATGGGGGTCATTGGAAGCACGTGGATGTTTGTCAAAATTAAGAACCCCTCCAGATAGGTGGTTTCTTTTGGTTTCCCTTCAAACCCATCCAAAAGGGGTCCCCTATTTTGAGAAACCTCCACATCGAAACGCTTTGGTTTGAACCCAGTTTGGCTGCCATTCAAGACAAATACCAGGTTTGCGAAAACGCCGGACGACCCGCTGACAAATTTGGGCGCGGACAAGATTCCTTGTTCCTTCAATCTGGAAACCCGACACTTAGTTTCATTCTGGGGTCCCTTTGGACATTGTCCGAAGCGGGTCCCCTGAATTTTGGGATGCCGTTTCAGCCTTTCGCGTTTCAGTCAGGTGACAGCATCGTCGAAGCCGGGCTCTTCGCTTTGATCACGGAGGCGCAGGCCGGGAGAGCCAAGGCCTTGGATTTTGGGAATGGCCGAGCTTTGGATCGAGATCGATGCAAACATGGGGGACTCCAAAGAAAAAAGCGGCTTCCCGTTTCTTGCCCTTTATACATATCTATATATATATATACATGCACCAAGTTGTGGTCCTTTTCCAATCCAAAGCACAGTGCTGATTTGTAGCGAGAAAAATCGCGCCACTCCCATGCCAAGAGCCTTGCGCCAGGAGAATTGCAAAGACAACCCAGAGGCGAGGAGTGATGGGTCGAAATAAAAATCCTCGCGCCTTGTCGTTGTGTAAGGCGCTGTCCCTTAACTCGTTTTGCAGGCCCAAACCGCTGAGGAAAAAAACACGATACCTCCAGAAGTCAGGAAGACACAGTTGGTTCGAGTAGTCCTGGCTCTTGTGAGCTGCGCCCTGTGTTGTTGATAAGCTATACGAGGCAATTGTTGCCAAATCGAGGTTCCGAAGATGAAACTGACAGACCCCTAACCGATACTCGATACTCAATTGATGCCTAACCGATACCCGATACTCATGCCTGCCAAATCCAACCAGCTGCCCAGTAGCCCCTTGTCTTTGGTTTGCTATCTTCACAAGCCGCTGCCTGCTTTCTTTTCTTATGCGCATTGTGTGGTCGCGTCAACGACTTATAGTGGATTTAATAACTCAGACTCATAGCCCCCAAAACATGCTAGACCGATGCTGAGGAAACAAGAAAAGCGATTCTAACAAAATCTAGGGTATATGGGTATGGGTAAAAAGGTTCATACGGGGCTTTTATTTCAGCCCATATGTTGACTCCAATGCATGAGGCTCACATGCGAGGTTTGTGTTTGTGTGTGTGTGTCTTTGTTATCTTTTTCTTTTCTCCCCCTTTCTTTCTTTTGCTTCTTCTCTCTTTCTTTCTTTGTTTCTTCCTTTCGGTTGGTTTTGTTGTGTGTCGTTGTGTTTTGGTTTGTATTCTTTGTTTGTTTGTTTGAGCGTGTGTGCTCTTGGAGCAAATCAAGTTGGACGCTTTTGGGGACTTGTAAACGGGAACCAAGGCAAGTTTCCAACCATTAGGGGCTCCAGCTGCTTTCGACACATCTCCGAGGTGAGTGACGGTCAAAGTGAGTGCTCATGATGCGTTTGATGCCCGAGATGATCCTGTGCGGAAGCCATTGCAGTCTGGCCAGGTTTGCCGACAGAGCATCCATGCTACAGCGACCTTGCTGGGCTTCATGTCCTCAACACAGAGCCGTCAGGAGCCTGACTGGTGGAAAGATTGTTTCCACTCACTGTCACACACACACATAGTTTCTGCAGTTTCTCTCTTGTGTGTGTGTGCCTGTCTGTGTCTCTCTGTGTGTGTGTGTTGAAGCTGCAACCGTATGGGAGGGATGGTGATCCTGTCGCGAAACCGCAAGGAGGAGCGGATGCGCATGATGAAGCAGAGTGCTGCAGAAGTCCTAGTCTTTTCGTCGCCGGCTGTGTGTGTGTGTGTGCGTGTGCGGGTATTTTTTTCCCTTTTCAGGCGGGTTCAAAGGGAAATCAACAGGACAACTGTCGTTTGGCGCCACTGTTTGGACGCACAGCCAACTGCACCTTGAACAGATGGGCGTGTTCGAGCGTCTGCTGCCGGGACTGACGAGAGCTTGCCAAACCTTCAGAGTTGAGAGTCCAACACGGCTGCCAACCCGCGACAAGGCCAAAGCCAAAGCTGTCTGGGCCCGAAAGTCGTGTGAAATCACCACCCTCAGGGGTTTGATGGGATATTATGCAACCGCTATATAGCCAGTGTGTCGATGCAAAGGATATATACCCCATCTCTCCCTGTTGGTGGTAGGGGTAGTGGAAACCTGTTCAGATTGCCTGAGCCTCACATGCGCCACCTTGCCAAGGCGGCTGCGCCCAGGGCCCCAGCGTTCTGCTTGCAGAATCTAAGTCACAAGCACGACAGTGGTTGGACCTCATGCTTCCCTGTCCCGGATTGCACAACAATGGGGGTGAATTGCCCAGGTATGTCGGGGTAGCGAAACAGATGTGCGGTTCCTGTAAAGGGACCCGTTTCGGTGCTTCGAAGAGGCTGCCTTTGAACATGCTGAAAAAGGCCCCCTAATTTTGACCACCGCCCCCATTTGCCGGTTTCGGGGGGTTTCTGCAGGCAGAAGGGCGCAGCGGCGGCCCATGGGAAGCTGGTCAAAGAAACCGACTCGGACTCAGCCCGGGGTTCGCCTCCGCTTTCTACGGACCCACTTTGGGGGTTTGAAGGAAACCGAGGAAACCATCTCCTAATTCAGAGACACACCCATATTGGGTCTTGTTTTGATCTTGTCTGAAGTTGCTGACACCTGTAAACTCACTCCTCGAGTGCCGAGGACCTGACGGAATTTGTGACTGGCGTAAATGCCTCAGATTTCTGTCGGCGGACACGCACAATCGTGGCTTTCCTTTGGGTTTGCCTTTAAACCAAAAGGGGACACATCCATGTGTCGAGGTTCTTGCTGAGGTACAAAAGCTGATGCTGCACCACAAGAACAGCAGCTTGTTCTTGCAGGATGCATGCCATGTGTGCGAACCTCAAGAGAGATGCGCTTGTTTTGTGCTCGCGGTGCTCGCGGAGCCGCAAAGGTCGGCTATCAGCCGGTCAGGCGCCGTTGACTGACCGGCTCAAGCTCGGTGGTTTGCGAAACTTTGGGTTTGCGCCCATGGCTCGGAAGAATGCGGGGCCTCGTTTTTCCCCTCATTTGCATTCTGTTCCCCTGGGCGCTGTGCGTCCGTGAGGAGTTCGAGGAGACCTTGGGTGCCCCGGGACTGGAGGATGCTGCAAGCAGCCTGGAGACATCCGCGAGCTCCGTGGGTGTCACGGAGCGGGACCAGAAGCGCCTGGATGCAGAGGCACATGCCGCTGAGGCGCAAGCCTTGCTATTGGAGGGGGCGCAAGCCGTTCTCGAGAGCATCCGGCACACTGCCGAAGTGAACCAGCTGAACTTGGGGCGGCTTGAAGCCGCACATCGGAGCCTGCGTGAACTTTTGCAGGAGAACGCCAGTGGGCGCCTGGTGTTTGAAGCACAAGCCGCGATCCTCGCTGGCGCCGGCAATGCTTCCGCCGCGAAGACCGGCTCCAGCGGGTCGGGCCCCGGCAGCAAGCATGAGGAGGCTAAGTACGCCATGAAGCCATCGACGGATGGACTAACCGGCTTGACTGACCGCGTGCACGGGATAGAAGCAGCTCAAGATGACGCAGCCCAGCGAGCTCGCGCTGTCCGGGACTCAGATGCACCATGCTTCTCTGAGAACAGGGGAGGGGGTTTCGGAATGTGGGAGCTGGGAATGGCATGAATGGCCAAGGTGGACAAAGCTTTTGCAGTGCAGCAGCGCAGACTGAAAGAGATGGGGCAAGCACTGGACCACCTGGCAGTGTCTGCCAAGAAGTACGAGCTGGATGTTGTCAGTTACTTCGTAAAGCAGGAGGAGGGCGACAAGTTTTCGCCGCTGGCGAGGCGCGCGGAAAGAGACGTTGAGCCATGAGCCGAGATCTCGGGCGAAAGAGTGCCTTTGTGCCCTTCGAGAGAGGCGTCGTGTGGTCAATGTACCGTGCATGGTGAGAAAAGAGGTGCCCGTTTTCGCTGCCTCAAATTGGGTGCTTGAGTCCTATTTGGCAGAGCTTTGGCGCAGATTTTCGGGGACCGAGGCTGCACAGTCTCGCGGACAACTCGGATGATGGCCGCAAGGCCATCAGCCGGTGATCCTGTTGTAATCCCAAGACCTGGCTGAGTATCACAGCTCGCAAATTGTGCAACGTGAAGCGACCTCCTAATTCCCTTGTTTGGCTTGGTGCTTCGAGCAATTGCTTGCCATGTCATCTATGATCCGTGGACAGGCAGTGCATGCAGCAAGCGTTCTGGACACAGTGATTGCCGCACTCAAGCAACACCGGCGCCGGTGTCCTAGATCTCCAAGACTTATGAGTCTAAAGTAAAGGGTTCATGGAGCGAACGAAGAAAATGACGCTATGGGTCCAATCAACAATCATACCCAGCTGTGTTTCAATTGGCTGCCGGTTTGCTGAGGTCTCTGACGACATGGCCAAGTAGGAAACCATAGGAGAAGCACCCATTTTTTTTTTAGGGTGTCAGAGAAATCAGAAGACGTTGGGGCTTGACTGGTCTCTAATGGCATGACTTTCTGATCGCGGCTCAGAAGTTGACAATCACTGGACCCTTCTTTTCAAGAGCGCTTTCCAGGCGTGTCGCGGCTGTGGCACAATATGCCGGCCAACACTTAGGATCGTGCTGCAAACAGCAAGCTGTCAATGGAACGCACGAAATCACAGGGACGCGAGGGGATTCTCAGTGGGGCTTCGCTTGGACTTGGTTTCCATCAAAAACCACTCCCAAAAGGTCGAAACAAAGGGTTCCCACTGAAAGAGACACACAGACAAAGACACAATGGGCACAGACACAGACAGAGACGCAGATACTGGCTCAAAGCGACGAGGCTCAGAACCCTTGCCTTTTCCAACGTGTGTTTTAGCAATGGCAGCTCGCGTCGTGATCGCATGCCTGCTTTCTCAGCAAGTCTCGGCCGAAACTTACAGAGGTAGCATGAGCATGTGGGCGTCTACCCATGACACACTGGTGGGCTACAAAAGCGAGGGGAGCGCTTGCAAGTTTGCCGACAAGAAAATGGGCGGCCTTGAGTCTGTGACTGCACAAACGCCTTACATCACCGCCAAGAACTACTGCGCTGTAAATCGTGGGCTCTATGGCAACGGCGAGGTGTGCGGCCGGTGCTACAAGCTGACCTACAAAGGCGACCACGAGCAGGGCCTGGGGCGCCCGGGGAGCCACGTGGTGCAGATCGTGGACTCGGGCAGCTGGGCCACCTTCGACTGCCACATGACGGTCTTCAACAAGGAAAAGCCGAGTTGTTGTTTCTTTTGGCCCCACTTGCTACTTGGGGCCGGGTTCTCCCAGGGCAAAAAGCTAGCTTGAGCTGTGCGAATACTTTCTTGAATTCTTTTGGCTCTGTTTTTTGTTTTGTTTTGCGAGTTCCACCATTCCGCCCCTTCTCGAAGATCACCGACTACGACACCGGCTTCTTTCCCGTGGATTACCAGGAGGTGCCCTGCGAGACGTCGCCGGCGGGTCCCATCGCGGGAGTCTTAGACGACGACTTCTACTGGACGAAGTTTGTCTTCAGCAATCTCCGATATCCGGTGACGGCTGCCACCCTCACCATCAACGGCAAGCCGCATGAGATGAAGCTGGTCGGCGGCTACTGGGGGGCCTGGACCGGGCCGATCAAGGGCGAGGCCGACATCGAGATCACGGAGGAGAATGGTTACCACGTGAGCTTCCACAACTGCTTTGGTGGCTGGAAGAACCGGCGTACCGGAGATGCTTGCCGAGCCGCCCAGTCCCGGTCCCTTCCGCAGCCAAAGCTGCGGGGGTCGCTGGCAAACGCCACAAACACCTCAGAGTTTCTCCCTTGAGGTCGCACCAGTCGACCTCTCAAGGGCGATGCCTTAATGCCTCAATGCCTCTGCACCCGGCGCTTTGGCACAATACCTTTTTGGTCGCTTGCTCCGTCAAGGGAAGGAGCGAGCGATTAGTCCCAAAGTGGAGCAATTCGCTGGTGCTCAAGCTCACAGCCTTGCAATCGCACATTTTTCTTTGGTTCTAGAAGAGATGGACACAAAAAGAGAGAGAGAGAGAGAGAGTGAGAGAGAGACACACAGAGACACAGACACACGGTCCGCGGGAGGGGGGGTGGTTCTGACAATGCTCCGACTCCTCGAGGGTGTTTGACAGCGAGGCTGCGAATCAGTGACCTTCCACGGATTGCGCACGCTGTGGAGTCAGAAGCTCGGCTGGGTGTTTCCTATACTCAGGGATCCCTAGAGGGGTCTATGGGGGAATCCATGGTCGCATTGACCTCTTGGTGAGGCCGTACTAAGGGCTTATCCTAGGCTTGCGCTTATCCTGGCGAGTCCACTGATATAGGTCTAGCCATACCGTCCTTTTCCATTCCATTCGGGCATCCTTCTACAAACGGCGACAATCCTGGAAAAATGAGGGTAGCTTCCGTTATCAACTGTTGGAATGCGCCAACGAGGGGTCCAACTCGTTTTGACAAATGCCTGAATGGGGTGTTTACCCTGCAAATCAACATGGAACCCATCAAGGTCCCGGAAAGGAGATCCCTTTGAACAAGGAGCCCCATTGCGCCATTGGGCTTGCAGAAATCCAACCATGCTTTTAGGGTCAAATCCCATTCAGCAGCATACCCATGTGTAGCAGGTCAAATTTCACATGATGTTCATCACGCCCATTCCTCTAGTTTGGACAAGCACCACTCTCCTACAGTTGCCATGGAACCATCAAGGGCTTCCCAAAGCAGGTTCTAAAGTCTAGCATCCATAGGAGTTAGGATTGCGGGATCTCGGCAAGCAATCCCACAAGGTTTGGCCATCAGACGCTGAACGTGAGGCCTCCTGACAGGGACCGCAGTCATTCGCGGCAAGCTCAGCGCGGCAAGTTTGGGTTGGTCGCCAGTTTTGGGGACCCCCACTGCCCCTAGAATTGGGGGGCCCTGCACCTGCTTGCCAAGATGAACAGGGTGTTGCCTCAAAACGCAGGCAGATTTGGAGGGAGCGACTCGCAAGCTCAGGCCATGCCGTGGAGGCACGGGATGATGTTTGTAGAATCAAAATGACAAACAAATAGGATCATGTGCGGGGGTTGTCACAGGGACCTCTTTTGGAGCCGCCGAAGAAGCCACCTGTTAAAGGGGATGCCCGAAGGACCCTAATTTTGACAACCCCCGACGTGTATTGCTGTTGATGTGGTTTGGATAGGCTGGGTTAGATTGGTACCAGGTCAGGTTAGCCAAATCAAGTCAGAATCAGACCAAAACACACCAGGCTAGGTATGTATTTGGTTGATGATGTGTTTGGTGGCAGTTTCAATCTGTTAGAAAAGGGCCGACAAGGGGGAGGTCATAGCTCAACTATTTCATCCTCGGAAGCCTACAGCTGGGACAAACCACCGACTGCTTCGAAGTAGATTTTGTCCATCAGTAGTATCTCCGGGTGGGAGATGATCTGAAGTGATCCGGTTTTCATCCAAGCGCTGGGCCTGCGCTCGAGAGGCGGGCGCCGTGGAGTTTGCCGGCGCGGCTTTGTCCAAATTTCCGAACTCCGCTCCGGTGCAGAGTGCCGCGCTGCTTGTGGTGAATCGCACCTGTGTGAAGAACACAGAGGCGGGGATGTTTTTCATCATGTGCATTTGTTTCGTTTGTTTATGGCAACCTGGGTGGCTGGGTCACTACAACCCAGGATGAATAATTCCTGGGAAAGTTAGGGAAGAAACGAGGAAGGAAAAGGGACACCCAAGACCACCTGCGGTCTTTTGAGCAGAAAGAGGTGTAACAAGCTCCTGGTTGATTTTTGTGGTGGGTGTCCCATTAAACAGGGAAGCACCGAGGCAAAACACACATATATGTTTTCCAGCATGGGTGAGCCCAAAACCACCCGAGGGCCTCTTCTTGACAACTTTTCGAGCAATTCCAACCCAGGATCCACAAACCCATTGATTTCTTCTTCCTTTTTTAAAACAAAAAGGGTAATTTATTTATCGCGATGTTTTTACTCAAGGAATTCCAGGCACGGGTGGTTGGCTCAAAACAGCCAGGTGAAGCAGATGTACCTGGAGGCCGGGCTCATCCCAAGCATCCAGCGGCTCCAGGCGGAGGCGCCCAGCACGTTCCTCCGCGGCCGCTGCCTGGCGACGCTTGCCAACCTCGCCAGCAACTTCCCGGAGGAGCGGCGGCCGATTTTTTTGAGATCCGTCGGGAGAACCAGGACCCACCCCAAAAAGACGACAACGGGGGGGAGGTGGAGCTGTTTTGTGTGGGGGATGGGCCTGAACGAAAATCGGCTCGATGTGTCCATAGCAGCTGGGGTGCTCGCAAAAATAGTAGCTGGGAAGCTCCCAAAAGGATTTTGCCCACCGAACGGCCCAAGCCAAGCTTCTAAACGCCATGCTGTCTTTTTGCTCCGGCCGCTCGGGGCTCAAAGCATGCGTGAAACAACTCGTGTTCAGGCGGCAGAGCAGATGAGGGCGCTTGGGGTCGTGGAGGCGGTGGTAGACAGGCTGTGCACCGATGAAGACGAGCAGATCTTGTGCCGATGCCTGCAGCTTTTGTGGGCCTTCCTTCGCAGCAGCAGGCGATTTGGTTTAGCTTTGCCTACAAGGGGGAAAAGAGAGAGAGAGAGAGAGACAACCCAAATTTAGGCACACGTCCCCTTTCAGGCCCATTGTAAAGACTTCCCCCTCTTCAAGGCCTTGTCAGTGTCCCTTGGATTGTTTTTGTGTCAAGCAACACATCTCCCAATAGGAACAAGCAGCACCACGAGAAGATCGGCACGATGAAGGTTCTGGACGCCGTGCTGCGTGCGGTAGACGCCAATCCCAAGAATGAGAACCTCCAGGCCATGGGCCATTTTTTCCGATCTGTGGTTTTCGGATGTTTAAGCAGCTACAGACCGCCTCCTTTTGGTTCCCTTTTAATGGAGGCCAAAAAAATAACCTCCTTTTGGTTTCACTCAGGCGCCAGCCCTGGGCTTCCTTTGGAACTTTGGATGCCTCAGCAAGGAGCGGACCGAGTGGTTGCAACAAAGAGGAGCCGTTCAGAAGGTGTGTTTGTCCCCTGGCACCGAATAACATCAGCTTCCCTTTTCCGTTTTCCAGCTGTGGAAAACGCGTGGTCTTTCGCCGAAATGGCGCAGTGCCGAGTTACTTGTTGAATGAGAAATGATGGTAAGCCCATTTCTGGGGGCAACGATTGATGTTCGTTAGAAGCTTTGGTGCCCTGTTGACATGAACCAACGGCTCCAACTCGGTTTGACGCAAATGGGTGTGCGCAAAAATAGGCGGCCCGCGTTTTTTGCGGTGTGCAAAGGGAAACAAAGGTGGACACTGCATTTGTGGGGGGTGGTCCCCCTGATTTTCTATAGTACTAAACATGATTGCATAAATCCAACAATGCTTTAAATGATCTCCAAAAGATGTATTTCCAACGAAGCACGATACCCACTGGTGGTGCTTTCCACCTTTTGTTGTGCTTTCTTTTTGTCGTCCTTTCCTAATGGGCCTAATGTTTTGGGTGCCCCGCTTTCCAACCTTTTGTAGTGTTTTCTTCTCTTTTTTTGTGTGTTTACGCTTCTGGTTGCTTCTTTCGTTTCGTGGTGACTCCCACGAAGTTGCGCGGGGATCGGTGTCAGGTGTTTGGACAGCTTCTCAGACAGCCCCACGGTCCAGCGGCATGGGCTGGAGCTGCTCAGGTGCTTGAGCTGCCCCGCAGAGTTCCGCACGGAGGCCTGACCAGGGTTCTTGTTCGCCAAACATCACCTCCAGCATTTGAGTTGGGAGAAACATAAGGAGTGTCCCCTCGTTATTCTTGAGGCAAGAAGTTTGGGGGAGAAACTCTAAAAACATCGGGACTGCCGTGTACCCCTTCCCCTGGCTTTGTCATTGGACCACCCTTCCCAGCCATCCCCCTTCCTGGCTCCCAGTTGCACTACGAAACTCGAACCTCCCGCCGAGCCCTCGGAGCCCTGGGAGCGCTCCCGAGGTCTACGAGGCCAAGGCGGTGGACTTGGCCAAGGCGGCGCTCTTCACCTTCCGCCGCATGGCGCAGGTGGCCTGCGCCGCCGTGGGGCTGCTGGGGAACCTGGCCTGCGGAGGCGAGTGGAGGGAGAAAGACCAGACGGACGGAGTGAATAGAAATTTGAAACTTGTAAATAAATATATATATATATATGTATAATATGGCTGTATCTTCTTTTAATGCACATACACATGTATGTGAACACGGGCATTTGTACAAGACCAGGGTGTTGTTTTGTTTCTTGTGAAGAGATACCCAAGTATGGGGTATGCAACAACGAGCACGCAGCAATCTGTTTGGGTCAAATTAACCCAGCAAAAGTCTTTTTGCCAAGGACCGTGGAGTAAAGACTCAAATGACAATCCCGCAAACTCCGGCTTTTAAGGGTTCCCCTTTTGCTCTTTCCGGAAGGCGTGCAGTTCAAGCGGGAGATGTTCGAGCAGGATGTGCCTAAGGAAGTCCTGGCAGCGATGGAGGAGCATGCCAGAGACGCGGGGGTGCAGGCCTTGGGGTCCTGGGCGCTGGGGAATTTGGTCGGGGTCAGCCGGAAGCGCGCGCGGGAGCTCTTTGAGCTGGGGGGTAAAGACCGGGTCTTCCTGGCGATGTCGGAGCACACCTTGAACGACAGCATCAAGATGTATGGCACCTCCATTGTGCGAAGGCTGGAGCTGGTGCAAGATCTGACACAGAACTCGGCAAACATGGAGGAGGACGACGAGCCTGAAAAGTTTGAGGCAAAGAGCTTTGCAGATCTGGACAAGGATGAGAGTGACTCTGAAAGCGATAGCGAAATCTCTGATGACGAGGATCCAGAACTCAAAGCCAAAATCAGAGCGTTGGCGCAACAGACAAGGGACGACGGTGCTGAGGAGCAACCCGCACACCGCGGACCCAGATCGGGCGTCAAATTCCACTCCAATGACTAGCGGAGCGTCGCGGAGGTGTGGTAAATGCAGGAAGCATCATTGCGCCCTGATTCGAGCGGACTTTGCAGCGCATCTGCGGCAGATTATCACACGTGCCGCAGTCACTCACGCTCAAACACAAGCAGCAGTCGACGGCCAAAGCTTGCTGGAGAATGTTTTGGGTTGATCCCTGGTGCGAACGACCTTACTGCTGCGAGGTGCCCAAAGCGCTGCAAGCGCAGCTGCTGTACCGGGGACCTCAGTCCCGCGTGCTGCGCTTGCCTTCGAGACTGTGGCTGAACAACAGCTGCCCCTGCAATCTACTGGGCAAGGTACGGGCAACATGGTCCTGGCGATGTGTCGCGGTCGTAATTATTTGGCTGCTGCGAGTCAGGGCTGTTTGTCAAATGGAGGAGCACAAAGTGGACTTCAGGAAATGCCTTCTGCAACTGGTCGCGCAAAAAGGGTTGTGGCATGCCTTGCAGAGGCACTGGTGCTTCAATTCGAAGGTCACTGGTCGCATGAGCTTGACTGGTCACGGGCCGAAGGCACATCTTGCCCCATCAAACGAGTTTGCACGACCGCCAGTTCTGGGCGGGTACCATCTTGAACGGTTTACAAAGCAATCCATTTTTAGGGAGTTCTTTGTGGTTCCCCTATTTTGAGACACGCCCTTCTCTTTCAGGCCTAATTTGGAAGCGCCACTTTCAGTTGCTCGTTCCCCGAAAAAGCATGGCTCAGGCCTGGCGAGTTTTTCGCCGGGCTTTCCATAGTGCAGGTTGCCTGCTCCCCCCGCGTTCCATGGAACAACGAACCTGATGAGCTCTGATCATTTGTCCACCTGCATATCTGTATGTACCATCACGGTGGTCACTGGGATCTACGTTGCCGCCTGGGCAGGATGGGACCTCTCACATGTGCCTGAGGTTGCATGTGAAAGGACATAAGCAGGTGTTTCCTGCACCCAAACTTCACGAAAAGCAAGGAACCTCCCCACTTGATTCACACACAAAGTTCCAAAGAAGTTTGTCCACCTACCATTCGTGAGTTGCCTTGACATCTGCCATTTGCGAGTTTCAGGATACCACCTGCTGCTCCACCCGGGCGTTCTGTGGGCGTGTCTTTTCAACGTCACCTGGGCTCTGGCGCTCTGGAGCTACCTGCAGACCAGTCTGACGGACCCGGGCAGCCCGGCGAGCCCTGAGTGGCAGGCCTGGGCCCAGGCGCGCCAAGGGGAGCGCTCCCTGGAGCAGTGGCAGAAGGACGCCGAGGAGGAGGGGGACTTGGGAATTTTGAGTTGGGGACCCTTTGGTGGACATCAACTAGTTGGGGATTCATGTCCACTCGCTACTTTTCAGGTGGTTATCTATTAGAGTTGCGACCCACTTGAGAAGTGAGCTCGATGGTGTTTGGTTTATGCTAATTCTTTTGCCTTTTTTGGAGGTTGGGTTGAAAGGGAAGCCATCAAATTTGTTTTGGGCGGCCCATTGTGTGGGTGGGGGGGGGGGGGCTGGGAGACGAACGTTTGAACAAGCCAACTCCTGGTCCCTGGCCGAGAACTAAAAGGAGGTGGAGATTGGCCCGGCCCCGGTTTGGGTTCACATGTTACGGGTTTGTTTGGGGCCTTTGCGTGTTGAAGCTTTGTGTTATGTTGGGTATGCTTTTGTTCAGGTTGGTTTAAAGGGGGAGCGAGCGACCATTCTTGTTTTGGGTACCCATTTTTTCGTTTTTTTTTTTTTTGGGGGGGGGGGGGTTTGAAAGGGGCACTAAAGGGGAGTTTCAACATGTTTTTTGTGGCATGGGGCAAACATCGCAAGTCGCAAGGCCGGTTTGATCAAATCCAGGCAACTGATATCGAGCGTCACCCCCCGAGTTCACGCTTTAGGTGGGAGGGTAGTAGTAGTCAAGGGTTCAGCTAGCCCTTAATTTGTAGTTTGGATTGATGGTTGAGTTGAGCCTCTGGTTCTTACAGTTGATACATAGCACCCACCAACGAACCAACTCACCATAAACCTTTGTATTGATGATGGTAGAGCCCAAAGCCACTAGGTTTGTGGCGCTGCTCAATTAGAGTGAAGCTGAAGACGGCTAGCCCCTGTGCAGGAAGCTGGCAACTTGAGGGAAAGGAGTTGGGCCCCAGGCAAGCCGACATGGTGCCGCAGCTGCCGCATGGAACGGCCTGAGCGTCCAGCGCTGAGGCTTTGAATGTTGACAGAAACCACGAAACCCTGGTGTGTCTCCCCTGAAGTTGGGAACATTTCAGTCAGAAGTTTCACCCGCATTGTTCGTGGAGAGCTAGAAAGATAAGAAACACCCTCCCCGCAGCTTTTGGCTGGAGGGATCGAGTGACACCGTGCCGAAAGACTTATATATTCATGTACACTTTCAGGCCCATCTTGCCATCCTTCGTCTCCTCCCCTTTGGCACTGCCATCCTTTGGATCCTGTGCCCCTACGTCAAATCGGCGTTTCGGGCGAAGCCACCTTTGCTCCTTTAGTCTTCCGGCAAAGCACCGTGTTCCCGCCCGCAATCGTTCAGTTTCTAGGCTTGAGGCCTTGCCGTCTTCCCGCAGTCCGGCCTTGTAGTCTTCCGATTCCCGTATTTGACGTAGCCTCGTGGTTTACCTCCCCGATTGTTTGACCATTGCCCCGACTTTCCCCGATTACTTCTCATGTTTTTCCTCGATTTCCCCGACCATTTCCGCGACCATTTCCCCGACAACTCCCACTGTTTCCTAACGATTTCCCGACTATTTCCCGACAATCCCCAACGATTTCCCGGCCCATTTCTTGTCGTGGTCTTCCCGTAGTCTTCTGGCCTTGCCGAGGTCTTCCCGTGTCTTTCAGCCTTGCCGTGGTCTTCCCACGTGGGCAGGCATCCCATCTCAGGAACCCATCTGACTGCCCGTATGGAATTGAACGGCTTGGATAGAATTGAATGGCTTGCGTGGTTGGTCGGGGTTATCAAGTTTTTGTTGCGCACTGGCGTAGTTGCGCACAAAGCGGCGCGGTAGCAGCTCTTTTGCGGCGCGGATGCTGCCAAAACACGCCTTCGTCGAGATTCTCATTGAGATTTTCTGATCTGATTCAACCCGAGAAACCTGAGTCAGGGTTGGAAGGAGTTGATTCCCAGCGAACCTCCCTTCATGTGATTTGAGAGGCTTTCCGTTGGTATCACATAAGTCTCCACTCTGTGAGCCCTGTGAGAAGTAGTTCAGAGTCATTCAGGTTCATTCATTTGGAGCCATTCAAGAGAGGCTTTTCGCCGCCAGAGGTGCCCATCACTGCGCGAGCTGTGGCTGCTGTGTGCTCCGTATGGCCCCCTACTCAGATGGAAAACATGGTAATCACAGCGATCGTCCACCTCCCCCCACCTATCTGCACTTGAGCATGTTGCGGTTGGCACTGAACACGACGCTTTGTCAAAACGAATTGTCCAAAAGGAGTACTTGACATTGGGATGCGTGTGGAACTGGACTAAATTCGGCTCGCAGCTTTGCAGGACCACCACTGCCCCTGGATTGGATCTTGCCTGGCACCCATGCGGCGATGTGTTGCATCTGGTTGGTTGGCGCTCGACTCAAGGTGTTGGATGGCGCAACCACAAGTATTTCCTCCTCCTCAATTGGTCTGGCGCTTGGCGCAGCGAGCCTTAGCGGGTTGTTACGCTTAGCAGGTTAGGAAGTGGCCACTGGAGCTACAGCTTTAAAGGGCGCAAATGACTGGCGAGCCATTCTCTGCAATTGGATGCTTTTCGGGATGCTCAGCCCCAACGTAGGCCACCCTCACTGATGTAGAGTGAAACGTTCTCCTTCGCACTAACTACTTGGATTATTTCATTCTTCGACTCTTCAATCCTTTCATTTGTTTGCTTGATTCTCTGATTAATTGATTGTTTGATTCCTTGGTTTCTTGATTCGTCAATTCTTCAATTCTTGGATTGTGTGATTCCTCGAATTCTCGATTCATCGATTTGTCACATGCTCGAGTTCTCGATTCCTCGATTGGGTTCTTCGATTCTTGGACGTTTCGGCAGCTTTGGCCGGAGCCTTGTCAGGCCTTCTTTCCCAAATTGAGCTGATCCCTTTTGGCAAGGATGGTTGGTTTCCTCGTGGTCCTCTCTCAACCACTCACCAAAAGGAGATGCATAATTTAAGGACGCCCCAGCTCCGGGTGTTTCCCCATGAGCTGCAGCGTGTTTGTTGCGCCGAGGTGGTGCTTTTGGAGCTGTGCGTGCCTCCTGCTGACCATGCGCAGGGCTCAAGGGTCGCCCGCAATCTGTTGTCACCCTTTGACACTCAGCAAATTGACAATACACAAAAAGAGGCCCCAACAAGGGATTCCTCCAAACACGTTGGCATTTTGGTCCACGTGGTTTTTCAGGGAGTATTTTGACTGGGTCAGGTTTGTTGCGGCTGATGGTTCTTGGGCAACAAAGGGCTCGCGTCGTTTGCTGGGGTCCGAGAGTGACAGATGTGCCATGGTTGAACCATCCCTTCACTTGGGGTTTGTCGGATGGTCGTCAAGCCTTTAGTAGGTGTTCAGATCACCATCGCCCGCGAAAGTTCCTTTCACCATGGCACAGATGTCACCAGGCCTACGTCTCACATATTGAGTCTGCCACTCTGGAGGACAAGGCCCAGCGTCATAGAAGCCATCGGCATCTCGTCGAACCTCTCCGCCAAGAGGCCCTTGCCGGTTGTATGCACAAGGCCTCGACTCATGCGCCAAGAATTGGAGGTTTGGCCTCTTCAGGAGCTACCAGTGAATGACTTTGTAAGCCGTGGACAAAACACCGTGGTGGCTTTGAACCTTTGAAGGAACACGTCAGATGTGCGACTGCCCTTAATTGCAAAATACTACAGCACAGGCTGGGTGGACACATGTTTGGGGTAACCTACTGAATCAGTTTCTAAATGACGTAGGAAGATGACATTTTCTATCTGGTTGACAGACCAATACATGTAGCGTTGGACAACGAGGTCCATGAGTCCAAACGCGTGCAGGGTTGGGAGAACGAGGTGGGAACACCCGACCATTCAACCATGTAGCAAATAAGTGCTGTAGCTCAGATGCTGAAGAACAAATGCCAGAATTCCTTTTAAGAGCCAGCACGACCACACACACATGCGCACACACACACACACATAAGCAACGCTTTGCAGTATCCTGCGGATGGTGATGGTGCTCTCAATCATGGTGTTCCTAATGCTCACAGGCGGGGTGCATGGCTGCACATGCACACAGCTATCAACATCATGGAGCATGGAGCCCTTTGTCCCAAAGGGTGTCAATTTCCATATTGGGCTTTTTTGAGGGTACCCTTCTCAGGTTTAAAGGGACACCAAAGGGACAACCGTCATTTTGGGCGTGCCTCTGTTTTGATACATTTTTTTTTGGCACACCCCCCTGCAAGAGGCTTGCTTTTCGCGCTGTCCTTGTACGCGGCGATGAGGTGGGCTTTTTGTCGGTACCATGGTTCATTTGGAGAAGACATCGGGTCCTGCTACATGCTGTGCAAAAAGGGAAGGGGCTGAAGACTCAATGTTTGGGAAACATTTTATGAACGATTCATGTGCTTATCCAGGGTTTCTTAAACTTTCGCTCAAAGCATAACTTAAACGGGATCAACCGGGAGATGTTCAAAAAGCATTAAAAAGGGAAACGTAGGGATTCCTGTTGTCAGGAACGCTACCACTATCGAGGAGTTCTTTGCAGGCGCCAACCCGTGCGCCGTCCGGCAAGCGCGCTGATGAGGCTTGTTTTGCAAAAATGACTTATATATATATTTATAATACATTTCTATTCATAATATATATATATATATATGAAGCCTCATATATGTTCCCAGTCCCAGGTTCCACATGGCATCTCCCCCAGCCAGCCCAAGCATCCCCAGACCCCAAGCATCCCCGGCATGCCCGGTTCTTGGGCTAACCCGAGCCTGCACCCTTCAGCTAGCTCCAACTCACTCTAAACTAAGCAACCTTCCAACAACCCTCAACAAGCTCTTAGCCAACCGAGCCATTGCTTGGCTTTTGCAGCTCACTTGAGGTACACGCTGGACTCCTCCATGGACAACTTGACAGAGCTCCTGGGGCCTCCAGGGCTGCGGTGCCTCGACTGCCAAATTCGCGTGGGGAAAGACCTGATGCAGTGTAAGGTGCATGTTTGTGTTCTGTAACCCAAGAATCTTGGGACCTCAAAATTCCTTTTGTGAAACAACTTAGGGGGATCCTGACCTTCTCCAATGCTCCCAAAACTTAGTTCAACAAGTGCAGAACAACATGAATGGACAAACAGCTAGGAGAACATGGTGGCAGGGGTTGCACGGGTCTCATAGCTTCAGATTCTTTGCCCCTCTGTTCCAATTTCCTTGCGTGACCTTACGCTCAGGTGGCTTGTGCCGGTGCCCTGTGCTTGCAGGCCCGCGCACGACTCTTGGAAGATTTGCTTTCAGGCAGAAGCCTCCAGCTTGGTTGACATGTGGTGACATCTAAGCCAGCGACTGGCAGGAACGAACCCGTTTGGAGCCCCACATTCAATATTGATAATCACTAATGAGGGGGATGAGATGGGTCACACTCACCAAACATCCGTATTGGGAAACTGTGGGCTCACCAAATCCTATAGGCCCCCTCCCCACACACGTCTTGCATTTTGGGCGAGCCTTTCGCCGCTTGCAGACGCTCCGATGGCACACAGTTTCCGACCAAGCCAGAGGTGGGGGGTGCAGATCAGGTCGAGTCGCGCAACATCTCCTGGGATCCAAATCTGTTGGGATGTGCGGTTGTGTGAGGGTGGCCCTTTTCCTAGGTTTCAAGGGAAGCCAAAAGACAACATAGTTTTTTTTCGAGGTTGTTTGTTTTGACACACACACACACACACTCGCACACACTCTCACACCCATGCCGCAGTTGAGTTGTCTATTTATGTTGAGGTTTGTGTACTGAATGCCATGCATGTGCTCGCGGCAAGGCTCTGAGTTATGGCAGCGTGTGATGCATGGGCCGAGGTTCAAAGGGCTTGCCGATTGCCTCGCTGCAAGTCGCTGCGTTTCAGCTGGCCAATGAAGTTTCGGAGGGAAGGTTCACGTCCATTGCGATGTCTCCGCATATCGCTATGGGCTCCGGATGCTATTTTGGCTCACAGCCGGATCGGGATCGCTTGGCCTTCAGCTATTCGCGAGGCTTGTGCCTCATTGCACGCCGTTGTGCAAGTATCACACGGCGAGGCAGCATCTCCGGCTTCGCGATGCCCGAGTCAGCCCGGAGCCCAAATGGGCTTGCCAGGTTGGCTCAGGGAATCCAAATGGGCAACCACCGTTTTTGGGGTCCGATCCCCATGTATATATATATATGTTGACACACACACACACACACATACAATCGGGACCCAAACATGGCACTTTTCGTTTTAGCTTCCCTTTAAGCAAACTCAAAGATGCAAAAACAAAGCAGCCCTACCGGGGGGGCATGTGGCGCCGCGCACTGCTGAGTGCGCGCAGCTTGGAGCCACGACGCGTTCGAGGCTTTGGCGGCGGCTGGGCGCAGGAGTTGTTTGACACCCAGGCAAGGTGCGTCGAGGCGCGGCGTGGGGCACTCGGGCTTGCCCTCTGGTGAAGGGCCGATAGGACCCGCAGGACCCATAGAATCCATAGGAGCCGGGGACGTTGTTGTCCTGTCACGCGCTTTGTTTTTTGCCTCAAACAAACATTTGCGTTTTTGGTCGGTGTTTTGCTTTGAGGTTGGGTCAATCTTTCCAGCAGTGTATGGCTTGTTCGGGGAGGGCCAGGCTTCAATTTTTTGCCACCACAAAAGTCGGGGGACCTGGGACTTCTGAATATCGCTGCACATTGAGGGGCACATTTGAGGGCTCATAGGCTTCCCCGCCACCCGCGGCTTGCCGCAACTCGCTGCTTGCCGCGACAGGACCCACCGCGTGGCCAGGGAGGACCAGGCCTTCCTGGCGTCCTGCCCCGGGAACTCGCCGCGCCCGAAGTGGGCTCGACGGGAGTTTTAAGCGAAGGGTTCGAAGGCTTCGAGTCCGAAATAAGTTTGACCCTTAGAGTGGTTTTGAGCATCACCCTTCGGGGAGGCCCTTTCTTTTTGGTGGCTTGAACAAAGGTTGACTGGTTTCCTTTGGACATGTTGTTTTGTGGTATTTGGTTTTGTTGGTTTCCTGGTGGGGTGAAGGTTGGTTTCCTTTGGGACCGAATCTGCCCGATTGCTTAGCTTCAGGCCACGGCCATTGGCTGGGAGACTGGGGGGCATCTGCCCAGGGCGAGGTGCCCAGCTGTTGGATCGTGTCCGAAGTGGTTTGAGGAACCTATAAGTCCCCTGAAAGGCAAAGATAGGTGATGGTTCTAGATTTGTTTGGGGAATCGCCCCTGGTGTTCCCCTTTGGTGGAGTTTTATTTATTTCTTGCATCTTAGTGTACGGGGCATGTTGCAAGGAGCAGCAAGCTTGTTGTCAAATAGTGAGCTGTGTGCATCTTTTGCGCACATGTGAAGTGTATTGTCTAGTCTCGGGGGGGGGGGGCTCTTCAGCAAACGCCGCTGGAAGCCGTCTTTCGCTGCACGTCCCAAAGCCACAAAAAGCATGCAGTCATGTTTGGGGGGCTTTTCTGCCTCAAGTGGCGTTTTGACGTGGTTTTCGGCGGCTCAGGGGGCAGTACTGGCCACCACACTATCCAGCTGGCCAGTATAAATTGGAGGACGGACATGTGCTCTGAGTTGCGTAGGGAGATGATGTCATTGGCTTCTTGCGGAACCAATGGTCACAGCTGTCTGGTGCCCTAGGACACTATTTCCAGCACCAGGGCCACACATACCCATGAAGCCATCAAGCCGAGCACTGCTGGCAACTTCAGGCCAGGTCCGAAGGAATTCGTCCGGCAGTTCTGACCTGATCAGGGGCCCTCTGCGGGTTCATGGCTGGGGGCGTGGGACCGGCTATTGCCCGCAACTTAGACAAGCGAGTTTCCTGAGGCTAAGCGGAAAGTATAGGATGTCCCCGCAGAACCTTGCCGGAGACTCCCAACCAAGATTGGTTTCTTTTGAATCTACATAAAACGCACCTTAGGGTACGATGATCGCCGCAACTTGTGTTTGCTTGCGTCCCCTTTCGGGCGCATCGAGCTCTGGAGAAGCCCTCAGGTCCCAACACGGCCTCCATCTTTGGCGTCGACTGGTCCCACAAGGAGACGTCTGGTGGGGTGCTGCGGCTTGAGCAGCGCCCACCGATTCCTCAAAGGGCCATTCTAGTAGAACCCTAAGTCAATGGGTTTGGTGCGGATGGTTATCATCACTGGGATTTGTGAACGCTCCTGCGCAACGTTCCCTATTATGGGGACATGTGCCAACATGTTTTGCCCATAGCGCGTACACCCATTGCAACAAAAGCCAGGCACGCCAGTTTTGCTTCATGTTCATTTAGATTTTTGGGAGACGCTTGACCTCACAAGTTTCTCTTAGGAGACTACAGACGTGTTCCACACCACCTACAGCGACACCTTGAGCTCCATCCGTGTCGAGCGCCCAATGCTTCCGCATGGGAATGATTGACTCTGGGCGCACGCTTGATTGCGCTTCAAAGCGGTTGATGTGCTTAAGATGCACCGGGTCGAGATCGATCTGCTGGCTCGTGAATCGCCCGAGTCTCCGAATTCCCTGGCTTCCACCTGCTCCTCCATCATGTCTGTGCCCCAGACATGGGAATTTCCCATGGGCATGTGTTCTTTAAGGACCTTTTTTAGCGTCGTCTTCAGGGGAAATCAAGGCAAAACCACCATCTTGGGGGTCCCCCTCCCCAAACACTCTCTTGGTTCCCTTTCAAAGCACATCCGGAAGGGGATTTTTATTGTAGAGGCACACACACACACAGATCCGTCCAGTGCTTCTCAGAGACTTTGTTTCGCATTTGTAACTATAGGGGGGAGTGATGTGCGCCCCACACGAGGACCCCTCGAGGGCGGCAGCGTGTGCGCCTGAGATTCCGCTGGCCACCATGAGCAACTGACAAAAACCTACTAGTCTTCTTTTTGGGTTTGGAAAAGTTTGGGAAAGACCGGATTTTGCCACATCCCCTTGGGGGAACAAGTCATTTTTGCCCGGGGGCTCACATCTTTGCATGGCCTGATGTTTGGGGGTCCCTTGTGAGGGCTCGAGGGTCGAAGCCCTCCAGCTTGATTGTCCCAGGCATGAACGTCACACAAGCTTGACGGACGGCCTCAACCGGTGGCCGCCCCTTTGAGCCGCACGCGAATCAGCTGGGCGTCGCCCCAAGAGCAAAGCTAGAGCTAGCATTTCAGGAGTCATTACAGTGCTGGTCAGCGAAGCTGCCAGCCCCCGTAGCTTGCCTTCTGTAGAACGGGCCGAAAGCCCGCAATCTGGGGCTTCTTTAGAGCTGAGAGGGTGTGCTGAGATCAATCTGTGTACCTCTGTGTCACGTTTGTTCGCTCAGGTGTGAAGTGTGCCATCGAAAGATGTGATGTTTGATGTGTGTTTAGGATGGGACATGCGCAACGAGGAGCACCGCCTCATTTTCCCATAGATATGCATGCCGATGTGCTACGCGGCATGCCTTATGCCTTGCCGGACGGTTCACCGAAGGTGGCCGATCCCGGTAGCTTCATACTGTGCATGGACAACATCCTGCACCAGTTAGTAGGTGTTTCTTCCCAGTATTGACAGAGAGTTTCATCCATCCCAACTGATGCAGGATTTTTGCCCATCCACAGTAGCTTATTGAACCGATCAGTCGCTGAATCATGGGCTTGTGAAAGGGCTCGGGGCAAGGCACTTGGAGTGACTTGAATTCAAAGTTGCTCACTCTGCCAGCCTGAGCAGTCGCAGCCATGAGGCTGAACAGTTTTGACACCCAGGACATGATGGGGATCATCGCTTTACCAGTGGACACCTGAACCCTCTCAACAAGCATTTTGAGCAGCCAACACAGCCCAGTGCTTCACAGGGCACGTGCGCCAGAGGGTGCGGAGTGCGCAGTCCGCGATGCCCCATCCCCAGGACCTGGCTACGCTTTCAATTTGGAACCTCCAAATGCTAAGTCGATATACATCCCCATTCAAGTGATGTTCACAAAAGGGTTCCCGATGATTCATTTCCAAATGAGGACAACACCTTTTAGGTTGGTTTTCAAAGACAGCCCTGTGACAACCAACCCTAGGGCTTCCGAGCTTGAAATCAAAGGTTGGCCTCTGGCTTCCTTTCGCAGCCCGACTTCTGGGCGGAGGAAGGCTGGGAGTTCGACATCTGGCTGTGGGTCAAAACCAATGGTACCATTTTGGGGCAGATGCACCACCCATTTTAGTGTATTTTAGTGGGGATTGGGATGGGGGTACGGGATTGTGACCCTGCTTTGGCCACCTTGGAAGGAACCGGCCATAAATTTGACCACCCATTGCTTTTAGACTGCGGGGCCTTTCTTTCTTTGCAGGGGATGCGCCGATTCTGAAGTCGCCGCCTTAGCTTGCCGGAGAGGTTTCAGGATGTGATGTCTCTGTGTACAATAGGTAAGGTAGAAAACCAAGCGCTTTTTGCGAGGTTTGACCATGGCTGGCTCCAGGACCACACAAGCGAGGCCAGTGCAATTGTGAGGGTCAAGCTTTGTGGATGGCCGTCAAAGCTGAGGGTTGCCTACCTGCTGGCTTGCTGGCTTGCTGGCTTGCTGGCTTGCTGGCTTGCTTGACTGCTTGACTGCTGGGTGGTTGGCTCAGACACCCACACATCCCACACCTAATCCGATTCTGACTCAGCTGCAGCAAGTGGAGCCATGGGAAATGAATTGACTGGTGGCATATTCGCCAGCTTCTGTTTGGAGGACTACCAGTGTCAGGGAATCAACACCTATCCAATGGTGTCTGTCAATTTTCCGGGCAGAGGGGAACACAAGATCACAGAAACAATCGCAAAGCTAGCTTCAAAAAGACTACACCACGGCTTCAGAGATGCATGTGAGGAGGGTTGCGTAGATGCATGGGGTGGTTCCGAGGAGGGTTATGGGATGCATGAGGGTTCCGAGGAGGGTTCTGAGGATGCAGGACGCGGGTCGCAAAACGGTTTCGGGGATGCCCAGGCGGTTCTGAAGAGGAGGGTTTTGCACGATGGGTTCTTGGGTGTGGGAGAAAGCATCATGGAAGCCAACACAAAGCGCAAGAAGGCAACACGAGCACACACGAACTCCTGTATCTGGGCAACATGGGGCTGTTCCAGAGTTTGTGTTTCAGTCACGCAAAGCTCACCGTGGGAGGGCCCTCGGTTGTGCGCTGCCTCTAAGCGGGGTTCTCAAAGGGCGCCGTTTTGTCAACCTATGTGACTGGCAGGCAATTGCCAGAGCAACTGCGTGGCTGCCATGTGCGGGAGTTGAGCCCAGCCGGGTTGTCAGGGACTTAACGCTTGGCCAGCATGGGCATTTGGGCGTGCCTTTTTTTGAGGGCATTATTATACTTGTTCTTGAGGAGACCGTTTTTGAGTCTGTTTGAGTGGGAAACCAAAAAGGAGACCGCTGTTTGTTGAGGTGCGCTATTCCTGAGACAAAGCCGTATCTGCTATGACAACCTTTTTGCTTGAGTTTGGTGGGATTGTGCTGGACCGCTTCATAAGGAATTTAGACAATCGTGATAGGGGTTTCAAATCAGGGAACCATGACCATGAAGCAATGCAAGGAGTTTTGACCTGCCCAAAGCTTCCCAGCTGCCAGAGCTGGGTCGGCCGTTTGGGTGGTGGGGCGGCCCGCCAGACCGTTTACACCCAGTTTGTCAGCGCTGCGCGGGGATTGGGAGCAGTGCAGGATTCTTTGGCATCCCTTGGCGTTGTACAGCAGGCCAAACGAGTAAACAGATGAGTCTGGCTTGAGCAGCTGTGGCATGCCCATCGAGAGTGTGGGCGATATCCACCCAGTGTGGAGCGGCGTGTGCAGCGTGTGATGCCGTCACATCAGAAGTTTCCTTGGCAGGCCTTGCCTTGCAGAAGAGCAGCAGGTGTAGATAGTGGGTCTTCGAAGTCCTGCGGTTCCTTGTTGATGCTGCTTTGCCTTAGCTTGTTGGCATGGCTTCAGCTTGGGGACTTCCGAAGTTATTCGGAGCCGGCGTTCCTGGATTGAAGTAGGCCAAGTTGCCATGTTTGGCAACAGTGCCTGATGAGCCGCGCCAGATGTGTTGACTTACACAGCCTAAGCTGGGGTCCCTGGTGGCCATTTGGTTTCCCCTGCACGTCACGCTTAAATGGCCCGGGCTGACTCACGCAACGTCGGAGGGAGTTTTTGACCGTGGCACGCATGCGGTCTTGCTATCATGCTAGCTTTGCAACATTTGTATGGTGGTTTCCTTTTGCCTTCCAACAAACACCGGGCAACCAATCTTTTAGCACCTTGTATTTTAGGCAAACCCATTTTTGCAGGGCGAAGCCTGCGTTTTGGCCCAGGAAGTGGACACTACGCCGCTCTCCTCGGAGCCGTGGGCATGCGGGTTGGTGCCCTCCAGTTGTCCGGGATGAGTCGGGCCAAACAGGTCGGGTTGGAAATGCCAGGTTCCCACCATGGAATATGGTAGTTTGCAGGAACATCCTCGGATTCTGTTTGCAACATGAAGGGATGTGGGCGTTCCCAGTTGAAGTTCAAAGCGCAGGAGGGGGCTCGAATCTTCCGTGCCGATGCCAACCGCACCTTCCGCAGCGAGACCGGGAACTCAGCTTGCCACGTTGAGAGAGGATAACAAGGATCTAGGAGGCTTCTTTCAGAACTCCCGATTTTTTGAGCTTTTTTTGCCCTTGGTCCGGTTGAGGGAGAACCCTTCTTGCTTCCGAGGCCAAATCGGCTGATGTGCATCAAGCTCCTCTCCTTTTCGGCCGGCTCACCTAGCCTTCCCACGAACCATCGGTGCTTCTCACAATAGGCACCCCTGTAAGATGGCTCGTTTCTTTTGGTTCCCTTTTGAATGAGAGCCCCTGTTGAAGATTGGCATGCTTTGCTTTTTCACCGCGCGCTTGCCTCAGCAGCAGAAGTTCGGCGACTACCAGCAGTCCTTGGGGTGCTTCCCGAAGCGTCGTGCAAAAGGTAGCGGCCAATTGGTGAATGACAAGTGATGTGCCCCCCTTGCGAAGGCAGCTTGAACCCGCCAGTGAGCAGCCATGAACGTGGGAAACATAACATTATATCATGAAAACTGCTGCAGAACTTTCATCATCCCCTGAGTTTGTGTCAGGTACGTTGCAGGCCTTTTACTACTATTCTTTGATCCGGCAACCTGCTTCAAGGCTGAGCTGCCCACTTTTGCTCAGGGTCCCAATTACTTCACAGGTTCTGACTGTCCTGAACGACAGCCCGAAGTACCTACCTGGCTACTGGCGTGGGGAGGCGCCTGGTTCGGTGATCAAAAAGGTCCAACAACAACCCCTGAGGCGACCGCCTGCGCGGTAGACGGCTACGTGTGTGAGGGTTTGCTGAAGCCGCATTTGCGAGTGCGGCTGAAGGACAGTAACTTTGGTTTTTGTCGCGAATTGGATCAAAGTGGCCCCAAACTGAGGGGCCACTGAATTGATTGATTTCCATGTCGGCATTGTGTTGAACGTCCAAAGATGGTTTGCTGTTTGGAGAGACCTCCAAATCCAGTCAGGAGCTTGGTCTTCTTCCCGAGACCTTTGTGCAGAAATGGTTTGCTGGGCAGAGATCTCGGGATTCATGGCGGTCAGCTTCATGAAATGCGATTGCAGGGAATCCTTGGCTTACCATGCCCACTTTGTGAATGTTCAACGGGCATGTTCACTCTATTGCCCTGATGGCAAGCATGATATTGGGGAGACTTGAGGAAACACACAACCTTCCAGTGCCAAACAAGGACCATTTTCTTCCGCGACCACTGGATTTTCAATGATGCTATCGTAGGTTTTTACATGGAATGTTCTGCCATGTAATGCGTTGCTCAGTTCAAAGCTTCTGAGACTTTGGCTCGCTTCTGACTGGTTTCAGGCTGTGCATACACCACCTGCCATACAGCCTCCTGTTCGACTTTTTGGCCTCACTGCCGCGTTGCCAGGCTTTGTCTTTAGAGGGAGAGACAGTTGATGCCAGGACAACTTCTTTAGCCATGGCAATGCGTATTTGCTGCAACCCCAGATGCGACAGCTTGTCAAGACAACACGGTCTACTGAAAAGAAGGGGCCTGTGCAAGTTGTCAAGTCTGCCTGTGAGTATGTTGGGCAAATAAGCAGGACCCAGCAAGTACGGCAACATTTTCCCATTCCACTCTGGACAAATCTCACGGCTTGTGGAGGTTCCAGTTCTTTATGTCCTTCTTCGATGAGTTCGAAGCCTGCTCCCTGATTTCGATGAGTTTTGCACAATGTTGTGCTCAAATCATACATTTCTCATTTGAGTATCCAGTTGTCAGGTAGACATCATGAACGCAGCGAACAATCCAGAGGTCAGGACGCAGATCATGCCTGGTGTTGTCATCAGCCGCGATCGAAACGCGACTGCGAAGTCACCTCCTCATCATTTCGCCTTGCGGCCATTTGCACATGGTAGACATGTGGCAAGCACTGCGGTTGCGAGCGTTGTGCCAGGCCAACATGCTCATACGATTTGAGTCCGCTCCACATCCGCGCCTTCGGAAGGTGGTCCAGGCGGCACGTCGCAACATTTGCACCTGAGAGCGAATCGTTGGGACTTGGCCAAGAACACAAGTACGCATGGCACCTAACTTGTGAGCAGCTGACAATATTGCAATGATCCATGTTCGGAGGGAATGGGAGAATCTAAAAACAAATTTGGGGACTTCCCGCGCGTATGTTGACCGCTGGTTCGGATGAGCTCGAGCGTTAGGAGGCCACAGCACAGAGATACGTGGATACCGTGAAGTCGCAGGGCCCCTGAGGGCGAGTTGGGAAGTGGCGAGCTGAATGGTCCCGCTGGGTGTTTCATATAGGAGTTGTTCCCTCAAATGGCAAGGGTTTCTTTTGGTTTCCATTTAAATACACAGGGGGCCCATTTGGAGAAATCAGATTGATCAAGCCCTGGTTGATTTTGGTGGGTTCCGGACATGGAGCCGAAGACCGGCCTCTCTTGGCCAGGCCTCTTGGCCCGGCTTTTATTTGACTTGGAGTTTGACCTTGGATTGAGGGTGTCTCATGAAGGGAATCCGGATTGCTTTGGGACACTGCGTACCAATCAGGCTCGACATTGTTGGAGACTCCACTGGGAACGCTGGCTTTTGTCATTCGCAGAGCTTGGAGGTGTCCAAAGAATCAGCAAATGTGACCTGAAGTAGGGGGTTTGCGCCGGCACCAGGCTGGACGTCCACCAGTGCCGCATCGCCGCCTTTCAGGACGCTGTGAGCTGCGGGTGTACAACAGACGCCCTGCTCCGCTTCTTCATTTTTCGCCTGTTTGCGGGGACCGCTTAGCCAGGGCTCCCTATATGTCCCCTTAAAACATCACCCCCACCAAGGGACACTCACCTTTCATGGGCCCCCTGTTAGCTGAAAAGAGTCCAAAGAGCCGTTGGAGCCATCATGTTCGCCTTGGTCTCTCAAAGCGCCTGCAGGAAGCCTTGTCCAAACGTTTGCAGGGCGCCAACGAGGGTATGTGGTGTCGCTGGCTGTTTGCGGCGCTGCGACTCGCCCCCACACGTAAACCCGGGCTTAAGACGGGTCGGCGTTTGTGGTCTTGATTTCTGGAGGCTGTTCGAGAGGGCGCGCTCAGTTCACTCCCGCTCAGTTAAAGGTTGCCAACCCAGGTCGACGTCGTTTGACTCGTTCAATGCCACGCTTTTCCCCACACTGACATGTGTAACATCAGTTGGTAGACGAATTCTCGGAGTCCTTGTTACGGATCCAGTGTTGCTGCTGCAAGAACTCGTGGAGTGCGGTGAAAGCAGAACCTCAGTCGCCGCTCACCGCCACTCATTCATTTGCCGGCTCGCTTGCCTGGCAATGACAATGCCAGGCAGAAGATGGATGACGGAATCGAGTTCTCAGATGAGGAAGATTGATATGTGTTATGGTAAAAAGGCCTGGTTGTATGCAAACAGCAATGATCGCCTGCCCATCAATATAGCACCTATTTTAATATCTATGGTCGCCCCTAAAGTATCCCTGCCACGGGAACAATGTTGATGTGGCACGGCACATGTCTTTGGCCTGCCCCTGCCGCGGCATGAAATTGTCAATCAATGGGACCATGACAGCGAATGAGTTGCCGCAATGTCATGTTGGCCTTACGTCTTGGCCAATGGCATCGCTGTAATCAATCAGCAAACAAACAGAGAAGAAGTCAAGCAATCCAAGAAGCAAACTACCCATCAGCCAAACTCATCAAGCAAGCCAATCAAGCAACCAAGAAACATTGATAGCGCATGTGGGGGGAAAGCAAGCATATTGGAGGGAACTCACCTTTGCTTCCCATTGTCCAGCTGGATTGGAAGCTTCTCATCCTCTTCAGATGGCCTGCGCGCGTTGAGGTGCCACGTTTTGCCGATCGCTCCTTGCCTTTTTTTTGGACAGGGAGCGGACGTGGAAGGTTCAGAGCGATATGTCACATGTTCTGGCATGTGAGGCCGGTTCTCAAACCTTGAATGGCCCAAACGGGGGCCTAGTCAAGCCACATCTGGAACGCTTGAAAGAGCGGGATACGGTGCCAGATGAGATGCCTTCTTCACCGGGCCCGGGCCTTGGACTGGAAGCGAGGCCAGCGGAGCATGCATGCGCCTATGGGCGGCGCGGATCACGCATGGTGGGCATCAGGAGATGGGAACTTGAAGCCTGCGCCATTGGAGGAACGGCGGGGGGAAAATGCGGAAAGAGCCAGCAAGAGCAGAAACAGAGGCTGCCAAAGCAAATCAGACACACACACACACACACATTCCTAAGACTGACGACATGAGCAAAGTCAAGTAAATGATGACGGAAAGCGCTTCTTGAAGCCGGTTGAATCACCAAATCCACATTTTGCACCTGAACCGACAAAAGGAGCTAAAGTATTGGGGTTTGACACTCAAAGACACGCTCCCAGAGAGACGGAGCTGTGCCAAAATTCAACGGAATTCAGCGGAATTCGCGTCGCCCATGCCATGGGGAGCGCCAGAAACGCCGCGGTCTTGTTGATCAGCCTCTGGTGCCTGGTCTGCAAGGGCTCATGGGCAGTGAGGCGGCAGGCCAGTGGCTGTGTTCGGGGCTCAAGTGGTCTGAAGCCCCAAAGTACAAAGAGACTTCATCGCACTGCCTTTGTCTTCCATTGCTTTACTTTTCTCAGCTTTGCCTCGTGTTGCCTCGCTTCATTGAATCAACCATTTCATCCCGAGGGGTAGGTGGAGCAACTTGTAGAGCGAATCTAGTATGCAAGACATATTGCCCGGAATTTTTGGGTGAGGAATGTAGTTCTGGAAGCGAAAACACAGTGCTGGAAACAGTTCTCTGAATGTGGTTTCGTAACCTCGACGTAAGCAAGCTGCGCTGTGTGCGCCCTCAAAATCCCGCCAATGTAGACCGCACTTTTTGCATCTCCAGGCCGAATTTCCCCTGCGTGAGAGATTGTTGAAGAGTGCCAGAGTGGCGTTGCAGATTTCCCAGTCGACAAACACTTGCGCAAATCGTATCAACTAGCAGCTTCGGGCTACTTGGGTTGTCAACTTTAGGTGCCCTTTTTGGCATCCTTTTGAAAAGGCGGCACAAGGCGGCACCAGGGTTCAAAAGGGGCCATGTGTTTGACAACTTCCCGTGTGGAGTCCACACAAGCAACGGTCAATATTCACACTTGTCTCAGCCGCATATGGGTACGTCATATAGGGGGACATCCCGCGCGCACGATTCATGGGCTTTCTCATGCATTGGGACACCCATCGCGGAGGTAAAGAAATGTGAAGCATGCTCAAGTGTGTGATCATTGTGAACTGAACACATAATGTTTGCTCTTTCCTCTCGTCAAAACATTCCTGGATTGCTGGTGTGTTTGTTGGGCTTGCTTTCTCCAGTCTGCAGCATCACAGTTGCTCGTACTGCTCGTGCTCGTAAAGGGAAGACATCGGCAGCCGAGGAAGAACAGCAATAGCACATGACAAGCGCCACGAACCCATAATGGCTATCCTGGAGCGTAGCTCTAGTTGAACGCGCCTTCAAAGGAGTCCTTTTGATTGGCACCCATGACTTCCAGAGACGTAGGGATAGCCCATGGACGCGCCTTCCGGTTTGAGCAGAGTCAAAGTCGGGACGCTGTCAGGTCAAGAGCTGCATCGCAAGAGCCCGAGCCGAGCCCCGTGCCGGAGCTCAGCGGAAGTGCCTTGGACGATATGTGTGTGTGTGTGTGTGTGTGTGTGTGTGTGTGTGTGTGTGTTTTTGAAGCTCGGAACCCTTCTTCAGGTTGGTTAAAAGGAATACCACCATTTGAAAGTTTCATTTCGGGTGGAAGTGCAGGTATTTCGGCTACTCAGCCAGGTGGTGTGAAAGAATTGGGGGATGCGCGGTTGCTGGGGCGAGCTGTTTGGCGCAGGTTGCGCTCTGCAGGCTGCACCAAGTGCAGCTTGGGTTCTTGTAATTAGCGGTGGCGTTTGTGGTCTTGGTGCAAGTGCTGGTGCTGGTGATGCTGGTGCGCTGGTAGGGTGCCGTCCGGTGCGGACGATTGGGGTATTGATCAGGGTGATGCGGTTGAGACTGGTGCGCTGCTGTGGACTTGCCAGCAATGCGGGCAAGCAGCAAGTGCGAGCGACATCTTTGACCTTTGGCGCCGTCGCGCCCAAGCGGTACTATTTTGGTCGGGCGCATCAGTGGGTCCCTCCCGGTGGGTGAAGCCGTGCGCATGCTGGGGTGCGGGTTCATGTGCTGATGTGTGTGGGGGGGGATTCAGCGCATTCGCGCGAGGCACCTTTGATGAGATGGTGCGTGCCAGTGCGGCATTAGAGCACATGCAGATATGCAGATTGCTGCGTGTTTGTCGCGCTCCAGTGAAGCTAGGCGATGGAACAGACCAGCCTTGGTTTGTCGCGCACTGAGAAGTGTCCCAAAGCTGCAACGCGCGGACACTTTCCTCATTCAGAGGTGAAGTTCTACGCACCGTGGTGCGGGCACTGCAAGCGGTTGGTGCCACTTTGGGAGCAGCTGGCAGCCAAGCTTCAAGGCTAGGCTTCCACTCTTTGCAACTTCTTTCGGGTGTTCCGCTTGACTTGAGGTCAGGTTGCTCTCGCCAAAGTCGATGCGACTGCGGAGGACTGCCATGGCTGCAACTCAGCTCAGCTCGCACATGGGTTTGTCCTAAGGGGAAGCTTCAGAGGGAAGAATCCTTTTGGTTCTCGTGTACAACAACCCCGCAAAGGGCACCCTCACAAGAAAGAGACACCCACATCTTGGCAGAGCCTCTTGCAGGAGGGCCTCGCGTACAAATATGACGTCGCAGGCGAGTGCTTGCCGCTTGCTCCATGCCTCGGCTCGGGGCACGCCTGGTTGCAATCCCATTCGAGCAGCGCCCACAACCGATTCCAGCTGGCCAGATCCTGGGTTCTGGGCGCTGCGAATTGTCTTATGGCGAGAGCTACCAAGAGACAAGTCGGTTTTTAGAGGGCCAAGCAGCACTCCTGGACCTCCAACCGGGGCTATGGGGAGGGCTATCAATGCACTCCTTAAGGTCGGCCGGTCGGACCGCACCCGAGCGGTGCAGGCTATCCGACGCTTGTCCTCATCGTGGATGGCGAGCGCTACAACTTCCGAGGGGCCAGGCCAGTCGCGGGATCGGCCGTGCGGTAAATTGGTCGGGTTGCCGCATTTCGCATGGTTTCGACATTTGATCAAATTTCTGGGTACCATGATTACCCTGAAAACGGTGGGAGGGTACCCCACCCTGAAAAATGGTCGGTGGTTGCACAAATCCAACCATGTTTTTAGATGAGACCATTTGCCAATCAAAGTTCTGTGTCCACCAGTCCAGCGGGTTTTGTCAGGACGCTGGAGGCGCTGGAGGCGTTTGCCCTGGGAGGTTACAAGGAGGCGCCGCAGGACAGCCCCGGGTTCGAGTCAGGGTTTGGCTCAATTGGATGGACCCCGGGACCCTCACAATGGGTTGGCTTCGTTTTGTTTTTGCTTCCCAAGATAGACTCAAAACAGACCAACTCGCACCAACTCGCACCAGCTCGCCAAACCTCAAAACGGGGCAGTCTCTCCCCGGGCAAAGGGATGGATCTCAGGAGCGCTACGAGAGCTCGGAGGTCTTCGGAGGGCCAAATGTCCTGGGCCTGGGAGGTGGGGGATTGCGGCCGAGGGGCTCATGACGTCGACTTCAGCAGATTGCTGTTCACTGAGCTTGGCTGTGCGATGTGGGGTGTTGGCGCGAACATGAACAACTCATTTCTTCGCAGGTATATTTTCGCATCATGTAGCGATTCATTTGCGTCAGAGTGCCTTTGTGTTGTCTGCGCTGAAAGACAAGTCGCCGGGCGAGAAAAGCTACTTTTCGTATAGAAGATGCTTTTCGGGTTTGTAGGCAGTTGAAGTCGAAGCCTACTTCAGCCTGAGCTCCAAACGCAGAACAGTTGCTTGTCGCAAAAAGCGGCCTTCTCGCAGAAAGTGACTTTCCGCTTTTTGCGGGGATCTTGCCTGCTTTCAGCGTGTAGACAGACCCGAGTCAGTCCATGGCCCCCATGTTGCACTTGGCAGACCTTACACCCCACAGTTCTGCATGACATGGAAGCTGAGAAGAGCCCTCCATCGACCTGGGCTCCATGTCGGCAATGCGGCTGTTTCGGGAAGAGGGGCCTTCTCGCGAGGAGACCTGGACGAGGCGGTCCGATCCTCCGAGCTGCCACTGCTGCAGCCTAAGAGCGAGGTTTAGAGGCTCAACGCGGGCACACTTGCAAAGAGGCTTGTTTCAGGTCGTCTCAGTATTTTCTTCCGAAAATATTCCATGACTCCTGAGGTTGGTTGTCTTCTACATACGGGGTTGTGGGCACTGCAGGCTCGAGAAATCCCACGCCTGATTCGAAGGGACTGCAGCATTGTGGCAGGAGCATGGAATCTGCTTGGGGAGAGTTGGCCGTCGAACTCAAAGACCAAGTTTCTCCCTCAGCTGCGGTCGTCTGTGGACTGCGATCTGCTCACTTCGTGCGCACGTCGACGATGCTGAGAATCGACAGATCAGGTTCGTGTGGCGAGCCTGGATGCAATGGCAAACCGACCACTTGCAGAGCATTGGGATGTGGGCCGCTTCCCGACCATAAAGCTGGTCAAAGGCAGGGTGTGTCCACCTGGGTAGTCTCTTTTGACCATGAGCCATGCCAAACTTGTCTGAGCTGAAGTTGTCAAAAGGACAACGTGCGGCTCGAGCAATTGCCAGGGGGTCGAGTCTACGACTTCGACGGCGACCGCACAGTAGAGGACCTCAAGGCGGCAATGGGTGGGTTGGGGGGTGGGGGGCCTCCTGCAGAATGTCATCTTTGGTAGGCCGGAGTTTGTCTGATGTGGGTCTGAATGTCAAGGGACCCTGTGGACATCATTTAGGTGAGGATACGACCCACCACCTGAGAGGCGGTTTCCCATTTCTTTTTCACGCTGATGTCCTCTCTTTGCGTGCGAAGACACCTCCGCTTCAGACCTTCGCGCTTGGGGACTTTGGCTCCGACTCCTCTCCGCTTCCTTCGCGGTTGAAGGATGTCAAGGGTGAGAAGACACCAGGCGGGGTCCTGAAAAAGTCCCCCCCGGTTTAGATACAGCATGATAATGTATGATTCTATGATACTTTATTTTTATGAGAATATTGATATTAGCTTCTGTTTTGTATTTGTTCGGGCTTTGTTTTTGTTTTGCTCCGGCTGGCTCTCTGGCTTTTGCGGCATTCTTGTGAGTTTTTTTGTGGCTTTTGGCGGCTGTTGTGCCATCAACACCCCCAGCACTCCAGCTGCCAGGAGAATCGGTGTTTCTAATCGCGCAGTGTCGCCCCTAACCCCCCGCCCCCTTTCCCAATTCCTTTCCGTGGCCATTTCCAAAGCCCACCTGAAATCCACCTTTCAGCTTGTTGTGGTTTTCTTGACTTGTCATGACTTTCCGACCCTGAACCCACTCCTAAAAACCACCACTACACTCACCCTAAATCCATGCTGAAGAACAGCTAAAGACGATCTTAAATCCGCCCTAGCCGCCTTAGCCAACCTTAAAACCCACTGTGTCCGGAGGGACTCTGTGATACTGTCCTGCGGGCGAGCGCAGCGGAGCGCAGACGGCGCAGCTGAGCACAGCCGAGCAAAGCCGGCAGTCGCCGGGTTGAGATGTTGCTTTCCCCAGTGACCCGGATCCCCTCAGTGGGTTGTACTCCATTCATCAACCCAGATCCGTCTGCTTGAGTCATCTTCATGACTCAAAGTGGAACCGCAGAGCACAGCCGAGCAGCCGAGCGCCGCCGAGCGCAGCCGAGCACAGCCCAGCCCAGCCGAGCGCAGCTGAGCACAGACAGACAAGTTATGCTTCACCATGCCTGTCCGCTTGGCCATGCTTGGTCTCGCCTGGTCGCGCTTGACCGCTTGGCCGTGCCGTGTTTGCGCTTGGGCATCGGGGTGTGGGGGATGGGGGGATGGGGGGCACAAGAGTTGCGCCATTATCGGATTTAGGGCTTACAAGCCGCCTGTCTTCGGGCGTGAAAAAACTGATGGTTGCTGGGCCGGCCAATGCTGCAAAGCCTTTACAGCAGAAAGCTTGCTCAGCCGGTATTCAGGGGATCACCCTCACGCAGGCGATCCGCAAGATGCGGGCTATGAACACCTGGTCGACGTCTCAGAACTCAAGAGAGACATTGGACCCCCCCCCACCCCCGGGAGAGCTTCTCAGAACCCTTCCCCCCAAGAAGGTTCTATGCCTTTGGGTTTCTCCCTCATTTGAGCATGACATGGGGTGCCCAGCAAAAGGTGATTCCAACTGGGATGGTGACGGTGATATATAAAGGGAAGCCAAGAAGCAATCATGTCTCACACTTACCCATCATCACAGAGGATACATTCACTCACCTGAGTACCAGACTATGGCGCACAAAACCTTTCATTTTTGGAAGGATGTCCAGCCATGTCAATTTGCAGTGGTGCCCTGTCCGGTGGTTGGCTGAATGCGTCAACCCCTTGACTGGGACTTTAGGCAAACAATACAAAGGTTCCTACTCAGGGAACCAGGACCAGACGTTTCTCAAGATACCGTTGAGTTTGCATGAAGCCTCTGAGGTGGTCGGCTTTCTACTGGGCATGGCTTGCGCGGGCTCCTTCTGGGCGCTCTGGTATTGCTTCAGGCAGAGCGAGCGGCTCACCCATTCACAGCAGTAAAGGATGACTAAACCAACATGGCCGAATCGTCAAACAACTGCAACCATTTACGGTGTTCTTCTCAAATCGCTCTGCCTAGTCCTCCAGAGGGATCACTCAATGCACACTCACCCAGCTGGCTGTCGCACGCCTGAGTGACATGGCTTTCTCAAAAAACAAATCGGCCGCTGGAGAGGCTCGAGGCCTGGCAGCCTTTGATCTTTCCCTGAAGCATCCAGACAAGTTTTGGGTTTTGCAGCCGCCCGCAGTTCGAGCAGCCGCGAGCCCGCTGACAAAGAAGTGAAGGCGGATTAGGTGCAGGTAGACACGGTGAAGCGCGGCATCGGGTGGTTGTTGCTGGCTCCGTTGGTGCCAGAAACAGAAAGAAGTGTAGCCCTATAGCCCGCAGATGCCTGGCCCCTCGGATCATGCAGATTCGAGGTTCCCAAGAGATGCCAATGCTGCATCAAAAAGATATATGCACGCTGCCGACGGCACCTGGTGCACGATCTCTTCACCTGCCCAAAAATAATTGTGTCAGTGACTTATCAAGATCCTGATTTCTGCAAGGTAGTCTGATTGGCCCACGTGGCCGTGAGCTTCAAAAGCAGGGGACAGCCGTTGGGCTTCAGATGGGAAGAAAAAGGGGGAGACGGCACGTATCGAGTCCCCGTCTCCGCGCGTGCGTCCATGTTGCGCGACTTGAGGCGCAAGGATGGGCTGGCAGCCAGCACCTGCCAGATGCCAAGCCTGGCTGCTGCATTCAAAGAAGTATTTCATGTTGAGACGGACTGTTTCGTGGCGGGGTTTGGTTTTCCCTGTGATGTGTCCGATAGGCGAGGCTTCGTGAGGAGCAAAGGCTCCGGGTCCCAGGCCGGAAGGGAAACCCGGTAGAGCCTCAAAATGGGCGTGGCTCGTTTGGCTCGGCACCCTTTTCAGGTTGGGTTAAGGGAAACCAGAAGGAAACCACTGTTTGCGGGGACCGCACCAAACGGACACGGTGCATTTGTCGAGCTCCCCTTTTGGATAAAACCCGAGATAGACACGTAAATGGAGGCACACGACAGCATGTTTCGTCACAACAAAACCATTCCAGCTATGGCTGCACGTACTTATTCGGACATGTCATTTATCAAGTAGAAACTACCAGACGAATCAGGTTGTTTGATCTTGATTCAATTTTCGGCATTTGTTTCAGCGGCTATGCCGCTGCTGCAAGGCCCAATTCGCCTTTCAGGGTCAAGGAGAGCCTGTGAAGAATTCGTTCCAACTCTCGCTGGACCAAATAGTAATAGCACGGCTGGTCTATTTTTGTAGTAGCAGCAACCTCGGCAATGGCACGAAAAGGCCTGGTCATCTCTCTTTTCTTTTTCCTTGGGTCCTTGAACGACTGTATGAAATCAGGAAACCTTACCGCGGTAGCCACCTTGATCCTATCCCAATCCAATATGAGCCTAAGCCCCCAACCCCAAAATGACTAACAGGTCGAGACCTTGAGAACCGGCTCGGTTGTCAGGATACACGGGGCATCACTGCCTCGAAGTCTGGAGACTTCGGCGCTTGGTACACACAGGCCGGCAACGCACTGTGACAGATGACTTTCCCATGCTGCTCCATTTCACCACAGTGAAATTAGGCAGTCCGATTATTTCAGGAGTGTGATGGTCGTTTGTCAGAGGATCCGCTTGACGGGCTCCAATAAAGAGGGTCCAGCTTGCACCACAATATAGTCATGTCTGCAACATCCTAGAACCATTTGTTAGACCACCCAAGTTTGTCACACTTTGTGAAGGTCATCACCCGTGCTGAAATGATCGAGTACCACGACATCAGCGGGTGCGACGTGCTCAGAAGAGCCCCACAAACCTGCCTGATTCAGGGGTCCCGACTCGATTTCCTCGAGAGGTGTTACATCCTCCGGCCGTGGTCCTTCTTCATTTGGGAGCAGATCTCACATTGGCACGCTGCCCAGGAAAGACCGTGGTCAAAAGGCCCCAATACGCGTGAGTATGTTTCCAGAAATGAGGGACCCCAGGTCGCTTTGAGTTTGCAAGTTTTGCCGTTAGCACAATTCAAAGGCAGGTTCTGCTGTTTTTTTGGGGGACAAACCCATTTGGCGTGCCCAGGCTGGATGCTAGGATCAAGGAGCTCGGGGTACAGAACGCCTACTTCCCCTGCTTTGTGAGCCAGGAGACCTGGCGAGTTTGTTGCAAACCTCCAGTTTGCAGACGTTGCCGGAGGAGGCGCTTGAAGCAGAACGAGCCCACGTGGAGGGCTTTGCTCCAGAGGCACTTTGGGTCAGCCGAAAGCCAGGTTTGATTGATCTGAGTGCAGGGTATGTGTGTAGGAATGTGTCAGATGTCCGATGTGCCTTACGCAGGTTGCTTGGGTCACAAGATCTGGCGACTCAGACCTCACGAAGCCTGTGCTGCCCTCATGATTTGTAGTTTTCCCTCAGAGACAGTCACTTGCACAGATTGCCGTGCGGCCCACCAGTGAAACAATCATGCCGGGCGCCAAGAATCTGTGAGCTTACGGGTTTACAAGACAGGACCTCGAACGACCAAGGTATCCATCCTTTGCAAAATGGATCCGCTCTCACAGGGACTTGCCGCTGACACTTGGATGATATCAAGGCTCGCTGGTGTCTTTTGGGATGGATAACGATCACACCCCATGCTTGTCCTACTACTTTCTGCTGTGCCTGGCACAAAGGAAACTGAACCAATGGGCGAACATCGTTCGCTGGCCGCACTCTGAGTTTGGAGATGGTGCGGCATTTGGCTGATGGGATTAGGCTCATCCAATGCCCCGGTACGTAGCTATACCCCTGATATACTGATATGGCTGTGGGTCAAAACCAATGGTACAGTTGGGGTAGGTGCACCACCCATTTTAGTCTATTTGAGTGGGGATTGGGATGTTCACTGGAGGTACGGTTTGGATTTTGACCCATGGCCATATACCTGTCGGTTGGATTTGAAGCAGTCTGTTTTGAAAGATGCCCTCGAGGGAGTTCCGGCAGCCCACGCCGTTCCTGCGCACCCGCGAGTTCCTCTGGCAGGCGGGCTCGCGGGAATGGGCGTGGGGGGTCCAACAATGGCATGTGCGTCCCACAAAGGCCTTGTTGTGGTTCATAAGGCCTTTCTTTTTTTTCTTTATGTCAAATAGAATAGGGTGACGCCCCAAAATTGCTGTTTCTCATTCTGGTTTGGCTGTCCCACAATGTGTATGGCTGGATGTTTGTTTGGCTCAGACAGTCAGCACAAGTCAGACAACAGAAATCACATCTTGGCGGGGTCCTTCATTTGCTGGGGCTGGGAGTGTGGCTGGCACGGGGTGACTGGGGTGACTGGGTGCTGTTGGCCTATGCATTTTAATGGTTGGAAGGCCCTCAAATATGCTTATTGGGGGACATCAATCCCGAAGGATGTAAATGATGTCCACCAGAGCATCCCGATCATCAATCTCATACCCACGTGCTGGAGCAGAGTTTGCCAGCTGCTGGTGGTTGGTTTTGGACTGGGGATGCTGCTGAGGTGTGTTTGATTTTCCTGCGCCGTAGTGTTTGGTTTGTTTCGTTTTTTCTCCGGTGGGATCAGGCATGTCCTTTTAAGTGCCGCTCAACTTGTCGTTTGAATTGGTGGTTCCTTCTGAACACAAATGGGGAAGGTATCCCTAGCGCCCAAACCAAATCACCAAGAGGTCTCCGACGAGTCCTTTTGCAGAGACAGGAGGGCCACACTGCACATGCGACGGAAGAGGAGGCTGTTGAGATGGTGGCAGCGGCCCTCGACCTCTACGAGCGCGCGTGCGCCCGCCTGGCAAACTCAAGTACAGCGAGCATGCCGTGGTTTCGGGCCGTGTGTCTAGGTCTGTGGGTCTGTGGGTATGTTTGGAAGCACCACGAGGTTTGGCCAACATATCCATGTATCGTTGATTTGGGCGAGACATATTTTGACCTTTGGGGCAGGTATTCTGAACTTCTTGCAGTGCCGGTCATCAAGGGCATGAAATCCGAGGAGGAGGGCGCGCCAGCCGTTTTGCCCTTTGCCGCTGGCACCTGCTCAGGAGAAGTTTGCGGGCAGTGTCCACAGTCAGACCCTGGAAGCCTTCATTCCAGAAACTGGACGTGGGATCCAGGCTGGCCACGCAGATGTGTCCATGCAGCTCTGTTTTGGCGCTCAGAGGCAGCCACCTCGCACTATTTGGGGCAGAAGTTTGCCGAGATGAGTCGCTGGCATTTGTTTCCTTCCATATTGCTCGAGTTCTATTGCACATAAGGGCAACGCGTGCCAGGTTTGACATCCGGTATGAAGATGAGGCAGGTCAGAAGCACTTGGTGCACCAGTTCTGGCCTCAGGAATGGAGATATCTGCAAGCTGTGATGAAAAATGGCTCGAAGGACATCTTGGGGCTTGACCACCCGCAGCCTCGGCATCATGATCATGGCCGGGTCCTTAGTGTCTTGGCGTCGTGCCTTGCAGAGAGGAGCCTCCCAAGGTCCATGGGGACGACAAGGGCTTAGTGCTGCCGCCGCGCGTGGCGCCCTTGCAGGCAGGTCTTCTGCATCTGCAATGCATGCGGCACGGGCGATGGCAGGTTGTGTTGGTTCCCATACTCGGAAAGGAGGAGACAGGTGCGCCCTGCAACATGCGACTTGCGGCGTCTTTGATTTCACGCGCCGGCCAGCGTTTCAAGCACTCGGGACCGGACCTGGGATGTGGGAGCTCGGCCGGCTTTCGGCTTTGCCATGGGGACACCTCATCGGCTTGGGTGAGCCGATGAGGCCGATGAGGGACAGATGAGCTGGCGTGCCACCCTTGGGGTGCAGGCAGGGGCTTCCCATGAAGAGATCCGCGCGGCTTTCAAGCGAAGGGTGCTGGAAACCCACCCGGACAAGGGGGGCAAGGCCTCCGAGTTTCGGCAGGTGATGCTGGCCTTCGAAAGGGCCACAGCTGACTCTGTTGGAGCCGACGTCTTGAAGGCCAGGGGGGCCAGGTGGGTGCGCCGCGCGCCCAAGCCACGAGCCAAGGCGCGGCCAGCGACGACACGGCCTCCACAGGGTAGGCGGAGGTGCCCCAAGAACACAGCGATCATGCAGAAGCTGCACGGGTATCTGAAGCAGCTGCAGCGGGATGATCGGCGGGTCACCATCGCCACTACGCTCCAGCAGCACCACAGATTGGCACTGGAGGCGTGGATTCAAGCCCAAACCATGCGTGGCTGGCACCATGAGGACGCATGGCCAAGACAGGTGGCCAGTGAGGAGGGTGACAAGAGAGAGGGCAGCGACACTGACGAATCCTTGGAGGATCTGCAGCCGTTGGCGCTGGAGGATATTACTCCAGCGGACGCGAAGGTAGGAAGAACCATGCGTCCAGGACCTCACAAGGGTATTATCCGAAGGCCTGGGCGTGTGCGCTTGTACAGCGTCATCGTCGTCATTAGCAACATTGAGCTCTTTGCAGCAAGTACCACAGACCTGGCCGCAGCGGTGGATGTACACATGGCGCTGACTTCTCTGAAGCAGCGGATTTCAAAGAGGCCAGAGCTGGTGCGCAGGCTGGGTGAGGAGCTGGAGCTGGCCATGAATGACTACGCTCCTCCTCCTGACTCAGTCCTCCTTTCATTCGCGGTTGCACCACTTGTTCAAGGGGTCTCCAAGTGGACGCTGATTATAAACGGGAGCCCCTATTTTTTTCTTCACAACCCCCCAAACGAGAAGTTCCGATCCAAAGAAGGTGGGAACAAGCAGTTGAGCACTTTTCTGCTGGTCGAGCCGCCGTTCTTTTCACCATTCTTTTTGGAAAACCCTCTAAACTCCCGCGGATCTGTTTGGCAAGTTAGAGATCCACAAGGCGGCACCAGGCCCAAAAGGAGGCCAGATCTTGACCAGCCCCTGGCCGAAGGATTTGTCCATGGAAGAGGCCCGGATTTCGCTGAGGGTGCACTTCCCGGTGCACCACTGGACCGGCAGCGGCCTGCGCTCGCCCACCTTCCCAATGGCCCAGCTGGGCACCGTGCTGGAGGTGTGGCGAAAGCTGCAGGAGGCGTGGGACGGGGAGGGAGGGTAACCGCCCGGCTCGGGTGCTGAAGGGTCGTTTTTCGATGACCCGAAGCAAAGCCTGCGATCAAGTCCAGTTGTTCCAAACCCTGGTTTGGATTTGTCGATTTCCAGGCACCCTGTGCACCTCGATCTCAGGCCCGGCTCCCGTACAGCGGCGTGAGCGCCAAGCGGGGGGGCATCTTCTTCCAGCACAGCCCCCAAACCGTGGAACGTGCCTGGGAGAGGAGGGGCGCTCGAAGTCGCAACAAACCGCAAGGGAGGCCTACTATGTTTGAAAAGGGCAAGCAGAGGTGGTTTCAGGACTGGTGACATGTTCAAACTCGGGGGGCTTAAAATGAGTTGTTTCCTTTGGGGTTCCCTTCAATTAACCACCCAAAAGCGGTCTGAAATCCACGTTTAGTCCCTCGTTGGCTTTTCCAGCAGGTTGTTGCAAGAGCAGAGAGCGGGTTTGCGGATTTCGGATCGAGGATTACCAGCATTTTTGCGGAGATCTGGGTGAATGCCGGGTGCGAGGAGCAGATGTCACCGGAAAGGTTGGGGGGGCCGTTCAAGAAAAGTGCAACGCGAGCGCGTGTGTCACGAAAGCTAGGCGCCTTCCTTGTGCAGCTGTTCAGGTTGGGAGAAGCTGTGCGCTGCGGTACGACCGAGGGGTTCCAAGTTGGATCGGTCGACAGTCAGTTCTGAATTCTCCACAGGCCCCTGTGAACGCCGGCGCTGGCCAATCAAGTATCTGGGAGCGCCCTTAGATTGCGGACCCTCTTTGGTTTTCAAGGGGAAACCAGCCGGAAAGCATTCATCTGTCGGTGTTCACTGCCTATTGTAGGAAACATCCATCCCATTCAATTCCACTCCTGTACAAGACGTTTGGACAACTTCTTTGTTTGCAAGGAGAACTTTCAGAACAAAGCAACCTTTTTGGTTCCCAATCCCATTGTTCGAGCACAAGCCATTCGGCCACAATTAAATGGTTAGCGGACACACATCCCCAAGTACATGACCGACAAGAAACCTTCAAATCGAGGAAGTGCTTCCCCACAAAGTGGTTCACGTCGTTTTGGTTTGCCTTTGAAGCCAAGCCACGGGATGTTCGCAGCCAGCTAATCCCGCTTCAGGAGGCTCATCTCCGTGAACGCCTGGAGGCACAGCGCAGGCGCCATGAGGCGCAAGCTTCAAAGCCGGGGATCCTTCTCAGAACTCTAAGAAGGTTCTAAGAATCTTGCATTTCCCCTTTTGGTCGTTTTAAGCAGCTTCGGGCCCTTCTCTAGTGGGCTTCCTTTGGGTGCTCCCTGTGCGCGTGGGGTTCACCCAAATAGCCTTGGGAGCTGTCCCGGCCATCATAGCAGACGGAATGTTGATTCACCTCCGAATGCACGAGTTCTCCGACTGGTTTTGCCTCAAAATGTGATTCTTGAAAATTAAGTTTGTCCATTTTAGCCACCCCAAATGTTTGTCCATTGCGTCTCAAGTTACGTGGCTTTGCACGCTGATTTTGGTGTGTGCTCCAAGCTTGCGAGACATACCCACTTGGTGCTTTGCACTTGCCCGGGTCCATGCCGGTGTTTGCATAAGGACTCAGCAGGGAAAGCGAGGTGTGGGCTCCGGAGCTCGAAATAGGAAAGAGTTTCCTCAGCCCAATGCGCCCTTCGCGGATGATACTCGCAACAACAAAACACAGCAAGCAACACGAAACAGTACGAAAGGATATATGAAACAATGTGAAGCAACGTGAAGCAATACGAGACAAGGTGAAGCACCAACACCCCTGGCCCATGTGGCACTGGAGTCCGGTTTGTGTCCGTGAGGCGCAGCGGGGGTGTCAGCTGGCGGCCTGGAACCGGCACCGCATGGCCGCGGAGGAGCGGCGGCAGCAGCTCTGCGAGCGCCTGCTGCGGCGCCGCGAGGCGGATCTCGTCAGGTCGAGCGCCTGGAGACGCGCGCGGCGTTGCGCGCCATTTGGCGGTGGTCAAGACCGTTTTGGATCGGATCCCATTTTGGTGGGTAGGTGAATTCACCACCCATTTTTAGAACCTATTTTTGTGGTTGGATTGGGATGTTCACTGGGGGTACAGGGTTTTGACCCATGGCCATTTGTTTCTTGACTCCTAACCCGTTCGGTCCTTTTTGCTTGGCTCACAACCAAAATGAGCACTGGTGCGCTGACAACAACCGGCATGGGTCAGAAGTTAGGACCAAACATGGTGGCACCGCTTGAGGTCTCACGTGAGGTACCCGGTCCAAAAGAAGGCCCCGTTCGTAAATCATCCAACAGGGTCTTTGCAAGCCATTGCAAAAGAGGGTTCGCAAGTGGCCTGTTTCAGGAACCAGGCGATGAACAGCAACCCAGAAACCTTGCGGGAACAAACCCACCGAAGGCAGGGGATTGTGTTTGCCACATCAAGACCCTTGTGGAAGCCCAGGGGCAACCCACAGCCCAAAGCAGGCCTTGTATGCGTGTGTGTGTGTGTGTGTGCGGAGTGGCAGAAAACCCTGCCACCAAAACCTTTTTCTGTTGCAGCAGGGGCGTGTGGCACTCTCATCCTACCACACGCAATGAAGCTGTGGGTGAGAGTGGGAAGCAAGGCCTGATCAGCCTTGTGTACCTGCACCTTTTGAGTGATTCTGAAAGTCTTTTTGGCCCTCTTCTTTGCCGCTGTGTGTGCTTCATGTTGATTCTGTAACGTTTTCGCCTCTAGAGGGAAACCGAGTGCTTTGCGAGCCGAAACTCATCCTACTCGAGACTTGTCAGTTGTACTCGAGACTCATCAGTTGTACTCGAAAGATTAGCACTCTCCATCTGGAGTTCAAGTGTGTACACCCCATTCGTGGGGAATCCTCGGGTGTACCCATTGTGTGACCCCGGGCCGGCTCTGTCGGAAAATTTGACCTCAACGTGCTTATCATAGAACAGCGGAATTTCACATTTAACCAGGAACGAGGTTTCACTAAAGGGAAGAAAGCCGTCAGATCATAGCGACGTCTCACACGGTCTACTGTTGGCTGCTGGCTTGAACTTGCATGGACTTGCATTTATCGGACTTGTTCCTCTCAAGAGTGTTGAGTTGCGGTGTTGCATTTGTTGTGCCATCATGTCTCGACGTGAAGATCGAGATAGATCTAGGACTCGGCGCAGACGTGATCGGAGTCCGTCCCCTCAAGCTCGCAAAGCACGCCGACGTGAACACAATGACAGCCAGGTCTCGGAGAACATGGATTGGAACAACTTGGTTTCATGGCAACACAACTCCGGCTACAACGCTGCCAACAACTTTCCGATGATACCTACCAACTTTCAATCGACTCACAATCCCACACAACAATTCCAACACCCAGCGATCAACTACATGATGCCGATCCCTCCAGACCCCACGCCAACCAAGTTCATGCCACCCGTGATGCCACCACCGGTTACTACTTCCCAACCTACACCTCCACCTGGACCTCCTGCGGCTCTACCGGTTCGTCCTCAGAAAGCCTGGCTTACACCCTCGCCTGACTGGACACCTGGAGATGGCATGTTTGATGTCAATCAGCTCTACAACTTCAGCCTGCCCATGACTGTTGCCAACACTCCGCATGGCAACCTTCGCGACATGTCAGGCATGGATATTAGGGACGTACGCCTGGTTCAGGTTATCCACGGGGGCCTCACCAACTGGCTACTCAGGCCGTTTGCACACGGCAGATTCGTGACGTGGGAAGGCTTTCGCACTCGCACCGAGGCCTTACTTTGGAGTACCTGTTCCAAACTACTACGAAGATCACAGTCACTCAACCTGCTCACCCTGGAAAAGGACCTTGCCAACACGCTGGGTCTCAACATCGATGACTTCAATCAGCGCATCAAGGTCCACGACCATTTGGCCAGCTTGGTACTTCAATTTCTTCAGCAACATCACACCTCTCTCGCACCTGCCACCCAGACAGATGACATGGTCAAAAAGTACAATGATCTAAATCGTGCGCACGAACTTCTCCAAGCTCAGTATTCCGCATCGCTTCGCGCATCGACCTCTCCCACGATGACAAACCAGAAGGATGATGCAGAGTTGGTTACACCGCCACCGGTCAACCACACACCATCCTCGTCACCTGCCAGCTCCCTTCCTACAGCCAGCGCAGCCGCCCTGGATGGCAAGTCGTTTGATAGCGTGGTGCAACCTCGGATCATTCAGTCTCTTCACGGAGTGTCGTCACCGCCGTCCAAACCGGCGGCGTCACAATTGCTCACCATGCACAGCACGCCGGATGAAGTTGTCAAGTACTACACATGGACCAGTGACCAACCTCGCCTTTATCTCAAGCAATCACCCACAACCACCACTTTGGCATCGCTGGTTAAGTGGGCCAATCACCCGTCCCGGCTCAACGGCAACAAGTCATTAGATTCTATGGCGACGCAGCTCCTTCAGGCGCGGCAACGCATGCCGAAAGGCGACGCACCCACTCTCGGGGCGATGGCGGCTTCGTGGGGACTAGAGCCCGGCTATCTTACCAAACTCACTGAGAAGGCGTTGAGTCACCTCATCGTGACCGCTCGCCTACTCTGTGATGATGAGAAGGCATCATGATGACCTTCGTTCTCTTATGAGCCCGGAGCGGCAACAATGTCACGGATGAGTCCAGGTGAAAACTCGTCCGTCAAGTGTCTGCGTTGCACCAGATTGATCTTGTACTTGCTCGTTCTTGCATTGCCTCTTGTGTGATTGTCTGTGATGCTTGTATTCATGTCGCCGCCTTGTGGTAGATTTCATTGGTTGTATCTCACCATGTTGGATGAACTTCGCCGCTGCGGAATCTATGATGATGTTGCACAATGGCAGTCGCTGGACGACCTTCTACACTCGTTGACCATGTTCTCTACGTGCTGGCAGTACTGTTTTCCTGGACTACCACCACCGTCGATTCCAACTGAGGAGTACGAATCAATCATACAATTGCCGTGGCTGGGTCTCATCCTCGAAGTCTTAGTTGTGGTCCGGATAGCCCTTCAGATTCCTAATCACGCCATGTCACACTCTCAGCACACCGTGGCCAACAGGTATGAGCTTCACAGATGTCGGTGCGCTGCCTATTTATTGATTAGTTTCTTACAACGTCTCATTTCACAAGATCACGGCTACTTCCCGCCGTTCTTTGAAGTCCTTCACTTCAACAAGACTTCTCTCTTGTGTGAAATCATGCACTCTACTTTTGCTGACACGCGACATCTACGCTCATTGCGGGCGCGATTTCCTGACCTCTATATGACGTCATACACGATCCAGGTCATCATCAACAACCGTGCGTCTACATTCGACTTTCCCCATGGCACACACCCTACTATGTTGGGGCGACGGATCAGGATGTTCTACGTCGTGAACACTCACGCAGTCGCAAATTTCTACAACTACTTCGTGGACGGCATGCCTTCTTCGAACCAGCGCTTCACTACTGGAAGAGATCCAATACTTACTGGCTCTTCTGTGCTGTTCCAGTGGAAATCAAACTTCCTGTTTCATCGGTGTGGGTTCAAGAAAGCAAATGGCAATACCTGCTACGCCCGCATTTGAATGCGCCCTGGGTACACAGAATCTTGCGCAAGGTGGGCTTCCGGGAACGTCTTGTGGATTGTCGACGTCACTCGTTGTCGTCTCCCACTTCCCTCGGCTTGCACAAGCGCTTTCGACGACGACTACATCCGGATCTCCAACGGCAACTACGACCTGACATCCTGGATGACATTCAAGCCCATTACTCTATTCTCTATCAGCTGGGATCGAATACAGGAGCATCGTTCCAAGTCATGCGTGACCTGCTGTCGGCGGCTTTCCCTCCCACTCAGCTGTACTACTTATTGCGGCTCGCAGTCTTTGTCAACGAGCCCTTCCGCTCCAAGGCGCAGAAACTCCTCGCCCAGGTGCTGCGCAAACGACGGCTACAACCACCCACCACTTTGACACAGCTACTCTTACCGCCGCTGCATGTCCGGAATTGGAAAGCTCTACTTGGCACGTGGCTACAAAGCTGGATTGCTTCTCATCGGGATCTGTTCCCTTCTCTTTTCATTCCAAAGATCCGGGTGGTGGAAACTCGCAGCGCCACATTGGGCGACAAGATATACAACTACCGCACATGGCAGCGCAGATGGACTCCTGAAACATCCTTTCCGTGTCGCTGTTTGGACATCGATGATCACCATATACACCGTGCACATGGTCACGCTGTAATGGTGGATGAGTTTTCTCGCATCAATGCGGACATTGACATTGAAATCATGGCCGCCTCAATGAAGGATCAGTTTTTCGGTGATGTCGACTTATTGCATCAACGTTTCACCACGCAACTTCGCAAACTTGCTCGCCGCTGGCATGTACATGGTTCCAGTCTCCTTTCAGATCTACAACCGGTTTTGACACAGTTAATGGACACTCATCGGACGAACCTCCAAGATCGGGCTTATTGGTCATCGACATCGTTGCAGCGCACTGTGGCTTCTTTGTCTTCGTGGGTTGTTATCCCAGCGGATCATTTTCCCTCCCGCGCACATGTGATTTGTCCGTCCCTGTTTGCCATACTGATGCGGAAGACATTCTGCTCGGGGGATGTCTTCTCGCTTTGCCGCGAATCCGCAGCATCCTTTCGCTCTGAAGTGGTAACCACGGTACCTTCTCTCCTACGTCAACGATATGCATGGGGACTTCGACTTCAAGCACCGTTGCCCACAGCGCGCATCCTCCCAAAGCCGACCAAGGACTGGCAGAAAGCTCGACCCATCATTTCATTCTTTCGCACATGGGCAGCTCCCTTCCTCACGGTCTTCGGTGCACTCATATTTGAACTTACCAAGGCTGCCTTCCCCGACATTGCAGGTCAACTTCCAGTACAAGAACTTGTCCAGCAGCTGTGGGAAGCGCTGTCAAAA